CACTTTGAATGCATCCAGAACGATTCGAGGACAAATAGAAGATTTCAATAACGCCAGATCCTTACCTCGGGGCTGTTTTTTCTCTCCCCCAACCGTGATGTGTTTTTTTGCCGGACTCCCTCGGTACACAGCCCCGAAGAAGGGCTGGTCAGTCTCTCGAGGGACTCACAAAATCTCCGAGAGTGAAAGGACTGAAACATATGGGAAGGAGCCTCATAAATTTATCGTGTGACAATGAGGGAATTTTTAATGTAAAGAGCCAAGAGCTGATTTTAAACACTGATACGCGAGAGGTATTATTGGCAAAATAGGCATAAAATCCCGAGAAATTGCCAGAGTCACCCCTTCTAGTCCCGCAGAGAATATGTAGAAAGGGATTTCGGTAAAATTTCCCATCACTTCTGTCAGGATATTAATTCCGTGATATTAATCAGACCATCAAGGGCGAAATCACTTCTAATTGAGTGATTTTCAGCACGAAATTCCTCTTTAACCGTGCGATGTTGACAAAATACCTCAACATGGAATTAGTATTGTTGAAAATTTCTTTTAGGTGACAACCTTTTTGTCCTCAACTCTACGCTATGTTACAATATTGATGACAGTCATTTACTCAACTTTTACCAGAGATCTTCCCTCTTGGAATCATCGCAGATAATAAGAGGGGACTTATGGTTTTTTTTTCTTTCTTTCATCGGCGGAAGAGTGAAAATGAGATTAGAGACTCTCATTCTCAGGAATGATCCAATTTTGAGACTGGCTTCCTCATGAATGGAATCGTTATTTTCATTTTCACTCGAACCTGTCCCGCGAGGAATGTGAACTCTTCACTGAGAATTTTTCAATAAAACCATGTCTAAGTAACGAGAAACATGTTTACCCAAATCGTGCTTTTTTCACCTTGATCTACACCTCAGTCCATTCATGAGACGCCAAAGAATGAATTAAATTGGGGAGATGTGGTGGTAAAGACCAGACCTCAGAACCGCGAAGTGGCGCAATTTCGGTGAAAGAGTTGCGACTAGTTTAGAGATAAAATTGCTCTGACTTTACACACTGAACTTTAAAGAGGCTTTATGTGGACGAAGTGCGATCTCGCATCTAGAAGTCAAGCAAATCGTGTCTCTTGACGAACGGTAACAATGGAAATTCATTTCACATTCACTCGATATCATCACATACCTCAGCAATAATCCACCAAATCATTGAGGGAGCCGTCGCGGGGCGCACAAAAAAGGGAGCTACTGTGGGGAGATCGAGCAGCGTCATCGATCAACGGGCCGTGAAATTAGATCAGAACGCCCGGAATCCCAAAAAGATCGCCACTGAGCGGCCCATGAATTAATTACTGGTCACAAATCTCACTCCTTTTTCATGCCCTCGCATTGGAGAGCCTCCGTCCGTTGATTTGCCACCTCGAAGTGTTGAGTCATCTCTCATTTTGATCAACGAGACACGGAGAATCCACACCTGAAATAAAATAAATCACCATTAATTGAGCGTGGATGGAGAGAAGAGAGTTGATGAAATGACTACCCGAATGGCGAGAAACACAATATTTTCTGATTATTGTGCTTATTGCAAAAATGACAGAGATCCGTATATAGCATAATTATTCATGAGGCTCGCCCCTAAAATTGCCCAGGAATATACTTGCTTATTAACACCATTAAGTATTTATTGGGATCGCACTTGGGTATCTGACACGAATTTATTAACTTGTCCCGGGAGACTCTGAGCGATACGGCTAATTAAAAGGAGTCACGGGAGCATCCTGGAGGATTTCCTCCCCTTTTTGCCACAGACGAAAGATTTTCTTTGATAATTGGATGACATTTTCCACCCTCGCGCAGAGTTTGGTAAAATCTGACTAAAATAGCAAAAGTGAGGGAGTTTAACGAAGCAAGTTTCATTTGATACTTTTCAAATGAGGTCTTCAAAAATTTTCCAGTTTCACATTTGTCAATGGTCTTATTTTCTTTCTAATGTTTCAAAAAGAGAAACTGTGCATTCAGATAAAGCACGAGAAAAAGATCATTTTATTTTTCCAGTCAGTCCACCGCACAAAAATGGTGTCTGAAGACAAGAAAAAAGACAATGAAATATTATTATTTCCACTATTTTTATTTATATCGTTCACGTAAGAAAAGTAGCTGGCAAAAAGACTGCGGTTTTTGGCTCTTTCATCACATCTTTTTCTCCATGCGAGTGGACAGAAAATTTGTTTCCAACAGATTAAAATCAGTTGCGGCACATTTTTCAACATTTCTGTCTTGCTTTTTTGTCTGTGCGCTGGCTCAAAGTTAGAAATTTAGCCCAGAAAGTCTCGAGAAATCCAGGTATTTTTGTTAAATCTCACTCATGAGTTTTTTGTCGAAAAGGAACTGGATTTCCTCGCGTACTTTACAATTAAATTGCCAATTAGAGTCTTTATGGTTCTCAGTGGGATCGTGAGATTTCAGCTGAGTGAAAATTTCATTCATATTTTTGCATTTTCGAGCAGAGTCCTCATGTTCATTCATCAGACTCTCGTTTTATCGCGATCATGGCGGTTTCTTTGACGATCATGAGCTTTTGGGCTTTCTTGTTCTTCCGCCTCTGATATATGAATGACATCTGAATGCGTCATCGTGTGATCTTGTAGAAATACACGTTAAAGATATTAATTATCCTGTGAGTCACTATTTCGCGCCACTTTTCCTTATATTGTGAGCTACATTTCACTTCAGTTTTGTTTTTGGGAGACTAACAAAACATCTCTTAACTTAGAAGATTGAATTCGCATTCTCTTCTTAGTCACTCTTTGTACATTCATATTTAAATAGACTTTCTCTTCCTCGTGACTCTCACAGTAATCAATTCACAGTGTGTTTCCATTAAGTCTGACCATCGATGAAATGCCAGTGATTTTCCCCGTGCAATTCACGAGAAACTCAATTGAAGACAGATGAGTGGGAAGAATTTTCCCAAATGGAAATTTTAATTTCGCTCTGGTGATGAAATTGATTACATTTGCGCACTTCTTCGTCATCATTTCCCATCATGGCCTTTAATAAAGGCCCCACAGATCCGCTGCGCGGGAACAGATGCACCGAGTGCGAAATTACAAATGAGCATTGTGCGGCCAGGTGAGCCCAAATAACCCATCATTACGCCGGTGCTCGGTGAGATATCCGCGATTGCTCAAATTGCCGAGATGCTCTTGCACACGGAATTCCTCCTGTGTGGGTAAATCGTCTCCTGGACCGCGCTGATTGAAGGGTGTGAAAAGGGGCCTGAGGAGTAATTCCCCCGCAAGACAATCATCTGTGCCTTCGTCAGAACAAATTCCATTTACCCTTCACACTTGGGTCCTCCTGCACGATGAGGGGGAGAGGGAGCGAGAGTGAGGCGAAGAGTGGACCGGAGAACGCATTATCCGGCAATAATTTTGAAGGATATGGCTTCCTTCCATCAAGTCATCATCACCCGCTCGGATGTCGCAGAGTCCCTCGGGAGGGATTTTATTGCAGCCCGAGTGCTGCCTGGGAGCTGACTGGACAGAAAATGTTATGCTCATGCTCTGGTGGGTCTTGAAATGAAGATGACACTTTCCACTTTCTTGCACGCACAGCCAAAGGAAGTGCCATAAAGAATTCCGTGTCCCCGAGGACTCGCAAAGGTTTAATTGTATTAGCACACAACATTTCGATCAGGCCCCATTTTGTCCCCCTCGTGAGGCCTTTTCATCTCCCAGCGAGCTTTCCTTCGACTTTCAATATTTAAGAGGAAATTTTCCGAAGTGCAAAAAACGAATTTTCGCCGTGAAGAAAAATGTTCAATGAAGTCTCCTGTCCACTTTGAGTTTCCCATCGAGAGAGACACCCATCAATATTTACATGAACTTTGTGACTCTGGCCGAGGGTGATTCTTTTGGGTCAAATTGACCAAATTGCCTGACTAACTCACATGGAAATTCCCCCGAGAGGCCGTCCGTCTGCCGTGGAATTCACCCTCTTCGGGAGGGTGGGTGTGAGAAATCCCCCGTCAGTGGGACACAACTTTTATTTAAGGAGTGAAATATGACCGTCATATGAAATATGAATTGATATTTTATTTCACAAGTGGGGTGGAATTTTTTGTGGTGGCTTCTCTTGATCGAATTTACGCTCTCGCACGGCCTTTTCATCAGATGGCCAGATGGGCGAGAATCCTCCTTGTAATCCTGCACCTGAAATGGCCAAACAGCGCGAGGGTGACGAGACGTCCCTTTGGCTTGAATTCCGGAGAAAAATCGATTGTATTGAATTTATTCCAATCAGTAGACCGTCGAAGGATGGGTAATTTGGGGGTGTTTAGTCGGGGCATTAAAATTGCAACAAAGACATGGAATCTCGCGCTGATCAATCAAACCATTCTAATCCAGCGGTCAGATGGTAACGCCTCAGTGCGTGTCTCTGCCATCCACACAAATGTACACTTGATTAACTTCCGGCTTCTGTGAATCCAGCCCGGCCCCTCGGTGCCGGTCAATTGTCCAAATGATGATGAAGTTCATTGGCCACATTGGCAAACACAATCAACACGCGGGAGAGGAATTGAAAGAGAACATCTTGTGATGGCGAGATTGGGAATTAGATGGTGAGAAGGCACAGAGAAGAATAGAGGAGAGAAAAAGAAGACTTTAACCCCACAGCCTTCGACCATGCACCAGCGATAAATCAAACCCGTATTCTGGATCGATTTTGATTTATTCTGGCTATTTCACGGCTCATAGTCAGAGGCACACGTATGACTTATCGCTCTCAGATTCAGCTGACACCCAGAATCATATCTCCAGACATTCCACCGCACATGAGATTCTCTCTTGCAATTCTTACCCAATAAATTTCGAGATGGCGAATGGGAGGGATTTTCATTAGAAGTACAATACTATATAAAACTGTGTAGACCTAAAACGTCTGATTTGACACCGGACTTGGGGACTAATGAAGAAAATCTCTCTGTCTCTCTCACAACAGCATTCTGGAGCTGAGGAAGGAGAAGTCTCGAGATGCCGCGAGATCCCGCCGTGGCAAAGAGAACTACGAATTCTATGAATTAGCCAAAATGCTACCACTTCCAGCAGCCATCACCAGCCAACTGGACAAGGCATCAATCATAAGACTGACAATTAGTTACCTGAAATTGAGAGACTTTTCAGGCACTGGTGATCCGCCATGGAGTCGGGAAGCGTCAACCAGCAGTAAAGTTCTCAAAGGTGAGTACGCACAAATGCGCAGAAATTCGTTTAAACTTTCCAATTGAATTTAACCCAAAAGAGGCCCTAATAAATTGAATTAGCCAGTGGTGTGGGAGGTAAATTTAACGAATGCGACTTTTCCACAAAACCTCCTAATTGACCACATTATTTTCATACACAGAATACCACCCCTGTCTCACAATTTTCCACCCGCAATCATCAGGGAATTATTGTTGCGCCAGAATTTCACTCCACATTTGGCACAAGGTCCTTTTTAGAGTTGGAAAGTGTATAGATGAACGATAAATTTGACTGGGGAATCCATGAGAATCCTCTCAACGCAATCAACATCCAAATTGCCCAAGAATTACACACACTTTCCGTGTTGCATTGATGGTAGGGCGGATGAAACTCCCCAAAAAATGTTCGACATAATGTGATTTCAACACTTCGACACAACAGGCAAAACGATGATGTTCCAGGGGTGCTTGTCTGTCGTCCAACTGAGATGATAACGCGCTGTTTCGGGGTGCAATAAGGGTTGTTCTGCACACCCATTCCTAAAAAAAAACCCTGGCGTGAGTGAGTGTGTATTATATGAAGAAGAGGGCCAAATTAGATTTAAAGTCCCCTCTTTTCACCATGAGAGTGCAAAATATTTTCATTCACAGGAGAGAGTTTGGTGCAAAATTTATTTTCCTACCAAATTATGTCAATCAGTCTTCCCTTCTGTGGGGGATGAAGAACTGTCTCGAGATGATGCAAAGAGAAACATTTGGACAAAGGAATTGACTTGGAGTGGCATGATAAAATTCTCTTTCTCTCCCCGCTCGACATGCGAGATAAATAAAGTCTAATTGGACACACAGACTTTCTTGGGGAGTTTCCGGTGGGGAGTTGTTCATATACGTGTGTGGGATGATTTTTCGCCTTGGCCAAGGAAGTTGTCCAACCGCCAAAACAGATGTTTCAGTCTCATGTGACATGAAATATTATGGGCAATATCTCACAATTTATTGCCTCCAAAGTAGGATGATTTATTTCCAAGGAGTATCACAGGCAGTTGATATTTAATCAAAATTGCCCCCGCGCGAATTTAATCAAACTTTCCACAGAAAATTCTCTTGCGGCGACCAATTAACATTCTACGTGGGTGTATTTTGGGCAAAATTTTGCCTTTGAGGCGAACACACCCTTTCGCCGAGAGCTATTCAAATTCTGTCCCACGCTAATCCACTTTCGGGGATGAAAGAGAACCCTTCGCGAGGGGCTCTTTGGTATCATCGGTAGGCCAATGTCTAATTAATCAAATTGTGACTCTGCTAATTTTATTAGCACCTGTTTGTCGAGGGGTGACTCAAATTGTGTCATCACTTTTGTGCCGCAGAATTTATTACATTGTTGACATGTGCGTGCACCCATAATCACATGACCAAATAGATCAATTTCCGCGGGATTTACTCTCAAAATAAGAGACTCGCAATTGCGGAGATTTATACACTCTGTGTGTATTTGCATACGTGGCTGAAAGCTCATGCCATCGCCAGAATGTCAATTATGCTTGGGAGAAGAAAAACTCTGCGCTTCTCTTATAATTGCTCATTCCAGGCAGTCTGGAAATGGCAAGAGTGTGAGTTTCTCAATGAATCGCCCCTCGCCGATGGCCGAGGGGTGTCAAGTGCATAGTTTTCAATGTGTTTCACCACGGACGCATGACCATTCCAATAGCATTCTTCAGATGATATTGTCAATGATCATTGAAAAGTGATTAAGACGTATTTGTCAGTGAATGCTAATTGAGTGATGAGAATAATTATAGCTGCGCACTCGTATAATGACGAATAATTAATTTTGAATTGGAGTTTCAAAAAACACTTTATCAGTTTTGTATTCAACGATCAAGGATGTTTTATTACATATCAAATAAAGAAATAATTAAACATTTACGACGAACCCCTCACTTTTCAAAGCTCTCTAGTTGGGGAGGCAAAGCTGTTGGTGAAACGATTGGCCATACTGAAAATTCTTGCACCTCCTGTGGCACTGGCTCCCAGCCACTTCTCTCCCCATCCGGACCGACTGGCAACAGCCTGGAGAAAATCATAAATTCACAAATAAGTCAGTTGCGCAGGGAAAAGTTGGTGGGAGCTGCGCTTGAGAGACAAGAGGACAACAAAAGATATGTGCGATACCAGTGAAGAAACAATGCGGAGCCCATTAGTATTTCGTTGGGGTTTTTGTTTTCACGGGGCACTGACTGAATTTTAAACAATGCGTCTTCAACCATTTTGTACATGAGCCATCCTCCACTCTTTCGCCTTTTATCGCGTTCGATTCACTGCCTTCTCGGCAGGAGGGTGGGGAAAGGGGATGATTGGGTGGTGGCAGGATGTTTGCGGTTGATTTTCCTGGTCAGAAGTTTTCCTCTTGTTCGCGATATCATTTGAGAGATTAGGGATAGGAATTTGGTTTTGAGTTGAGGGAAAATTCTGTCAAATTCATGCCAATTTCCATGTGAATTCCTCCAGAAGGTACAATTGTGATTCTGTCTCATCCCAACTCCATTGCCTTCGGGAGTCAAATGAAAAATCGCTGACAATATTGTTTTCCTCTCGGAGTCACTTGTCATGGGTGATTTTCGAGTGCAAATTATGCAAATATCGTCCCGAAATCATCCATCAGGGTGACTTCTAAAAGATCAAGTCATGTGGAAATTGGATAAATCAGAAAGATGCTTCTGTTGCACTCCTTCGGGGCATCTTCCATCATTTCACATAGACACAATTTATCGTTGATTTCGAATGAGGGACTGAACCATCATTTTAACTTATTGCGAAAACTTTCCACTAAATTTCACCTTGAAGCTCTTTCCTGGAAATGCTCTGACATTTTCTCGATGAAGGATTGAGTCCAATGATGTGAAGGGTGAGTCTTTGGCTGTCACAGACATTGAAATTCGATTAAAGATCTGTGTGGTGTGCGTTCGAGCTGGTCCTGAAGGGTGAGGCGTTGCTCGCAGTGTGGCATTTTGGCGGCAAAATATCCATGATTATGACACAATCATCAACAATTGCAAGGAGGGAAGCCTCTTTTATGCTCAATTCAACTGCATGCATGGGGATTTGTGGAAATTCATATTGTATAAATTAGTAATTTACTCTCATTTGTTGCAATTTCTGCCTTCCTCCACCAAATTACACTCTTTTCCCCGTGTGTACTGAATTATACGCTTATGCAAGAAGCGCTTATGGGGTGAGCGTTATTGCACGTCTCTTTCTTTTTATTATATATTGCCCAAAAGATAATATTGGTACGAAATTAAATATTTATCATGCTATTAAATGATGAATTGCCTCGATCGAGAAATCTCCAATATTTCATCTCTCTTCTTCGTGGGTTTGGAATGGGCGTAGATATACTTAGGGGATGGTGACATTTATCATATGCAAAGAACATATAATTTATGTATCGCACAATATTGTGCGAGTCTCGTGAATAATTTGCACGATTGTAATTTATTGTCTCAATCGCATATTCAGAGAGGACAAATTAGGGCATTCCTTTAGTATGAATTCTCTTGGAGAGGTTCATCAAGAAAGACATGCTTGAATGCGAGAAAATAATCAACAATCAACCAAGAGCAGCCCCTTGTTATTCCATCAGAGATGGTGAGAATTGCAGACAGTCCATTGCCCAGAGTGTCGCCTGTGGTCATTTTCATTTAATGCACAATGCACCAGAACTTCATGACCCCACTAAATAAGGTGCAGAGAAGCAATAAGCGCTTGTATTTGCCACCCTCGAGCGAGGAGAAATGAAAACACAACCCTTTGAGCACTTTCTCATTTATATTATTATTATCGGTCTTATTTCCGGGGTCGATTGACACACAATAAGCCAATCAGGATTAAATGGGATTCTCGACCTCCGCCTTCGGCAGCGCGTGGAATTTTAAGGGGTGATTTTATGGGCAAAAATTTTATTCACTTTACCATGTAAGGAGTACTAAAGCATTTTCTTCGTTTCAGGTGCTTCCTCGAGGCGAACACCAGCGGGATTAGCTTTAGATTTATTTGAGCAACACCAAGGGACTCACATTCTGCAGGTGATTAAATCTATCAGCGAAAAGTCTTGCGATAAAACATGCTTTAAATCGCGATTTGGACATTGTTCTTTCTTATTCACAGTCACTGGATGGTTTTGCATTAGCTGTAGCTGCCGACGGTAGATTTTTGTACATTTCGGAAACAGTTTCAATATACTTAGGACTATCACAGGTGAGTCATCTCCCGCCATTGTGTCCAATTAATCCTCTTCTTCCCTTTAACTTTCTCGCCGCGGGGAAAGTGTTAATATAGAAGCACACAAAATCGAGCTCCTACCATCTTTATCAAGAAAATTTCCCTAGAAATCTCTAGTGAATTGATGTATAGCAGCTTCCAAGGAAAATGCCTGCAATTATCGAGAGTGGCGGAGTTTTTCTCCTAAGCTTCTTGAGCGAAAATGTCAGCGTCAAGATGTGTGATGCAGAGGGAAATTTTCCACGCCACGGTGAATTTTGAAGTACAATATAATTTCCATTTTCATCCCATTCTCACTGTGACTTTCACCCGTGGTGGAGATGCTAAAAGCGCTCTCCGAAAGCTCTCACATTTCCCACCATCATCCCCATTTTTCTCGCCTGTGTGCGCCTTCTTTCGCGTCAGAAAGTCATAATACAGCAGTGGAAATTGGAAGCTCCGTGGAAAATTCGCCTCGGAAAGCGTCTCTGGGATGTGTTGATTCCATCTTGGGGGCGGCCGGGGGATCGTCGGCGCGGAGAGGGGAAGTGGAAGGACTCTCGGGTGGGAAATTACGAATGGGTGGCACGCAGCGGTGCGAACGTGACTGGAATTCCACCCTATCGCCAAGAGAGACGCGACTCCGATGCGAATTTGGGGGTGGATTCACCCATTTGGGGGCTTTGCCATATGAGATGAGAGATAGATTCTTTGGGGTACATACATTACCAAATGTTGAGGATCCCAATGGATAGAGAACACCAACTATTTCGCACTCGCATGTGGCGAAGAATGCCCAAAGAATGTGGTAAACTTCGTCCATTTCGATTTGCTGAATTAAACATAGGTTGATGATTGCAGGCTCTTAAGCGGGGAAAGCTTGGAAAAATTGCTCAAATCATTTAAATTCAAGTAAAACTGGTTCAAAATGTTGCGGGTCTTCTTGTCGGACAATCGTCGTGCGAATCATACAGACTCATCTTCAGCCCTTGTGTCATTCCAGCCGCATGGCGCATCGATATTAAAATTTGCGTGACAAATTACTCTGAAGCTTCGGTGAAAATAACGTCCGATGTAAAATCTGGTGAAATTTTTAACAACCAACTGGTCTGGGCAACAAAAGGAGGTTCTTTTTTAATTATCCCATCGTCTGCCTCATTCGAGATTCAGGACACGTGAGTCCAAGTGCAGAAATCAATACGAAAAACTCGACAGAACGTCAGAGGGAAACTATAGAGGGCATTTTTCACCCTCTTCAGCAAATATTTCACTTGCTTCGCCAGTTTTTTTCCCTTCTGCACATCTTCAGAGTCACTGAGCACCTCAAAATTACACCTAATTTGCATTTTGGGTCACAAGAAGCCCCCCGGAAAAACCAGGCGACGGAGAGAGAAAATGTTGGCGATAATCGCCTGCGGAGCGGAAAAGCTTTGCCAGAGATATCATGCAAATTTCGCGCAATATTTATGAGAAAATTTCCCTTGTAATTCCAACTATTTATCTTCATGCGACAATTGTGCTTTTATGTACACCAAAGCCCAGAGGTAAATGCTCTAGCATAAAGTCGTACGCATGCGTTTTCCACGAATAATTTCATTTACTTCAAATGGTGTGTTCCCACAATTTCCGCCGTTTATGGCCAATAGCAAGCTCAACTTTCTCCTCTAAAGCTCCGCCTGTCTCTTTTTTGTCATTCCCGAGAGTCCCCAAAAAAGTGTCCCTCTATTTACACTCCGCAGTCATTATCTCTCGTCCGAACGGAGTAAAAAAAATTTACCCACTCCAATATCAATGCGACAAATGGCAGTAATTGCGAAATGTGTACATATTTTATTCCTTTGCGAGTTTTGCTGGCGATTTAATTTTCTGCTAATCAAATGTCTGTTTTATTTGACCACAATTAATTCACCACTATATGCCCAAAAGCTGAATGATTTCACAATACAGAATTACCCAGGCGATTGTCTTTGAGCAATTGCTGATTATTTTTGGTCGCTGAATTGCCCAACAAGAGCAACACAGTGTTTCACCAATAAATTTTCTTCTTGTCGTTTTTTTCCGTTAAACTAATTAATTCTGACGCCATCGCGCGATGGAGGTGCCTGGTGGTGCTCCTTCGGCGCGAAGAGTTATGCTTGCGGAGAGAAAAGTGTTATGAGAAATCGTAAAACATCACACTGGATGAACGTGACCGGGTGCTTGTGCAGTTGGTGAATGAATTAATATGAAAATAGGCGTCGAAAAAGCCTCACCGCCTCCACCCGCACACTCGCGGTTTATGGGAAATATTCACTTGAACCGTCGAAGGCAGATATCAGGGGCATGTCACATGAGCTGTTTACAGACTAGCAAATAGTAATGGCCATAATACAATTATTTCTCAGAAAGTTGAGATTTTTTTGTCTTGCGACAAGTCTTGCGAACATGTTTTGGTAAATTCTGGATAATTCAGCGCGCTGGAACGCTAAATGACTTGCCTCTTGAGCCTTATGTCTAGCAAGAGAGGCTTCTTCTCTCCTTATTGAACAATTTAAGAAATTTTTACCGCCCTCCGCGGCACACAGTGAAATGCTTTGTTTATTCGTCTTTCTCTCTGGTGAATCTATAAAATTGCTACGTGAGTAAAATCACACATTTATAATTGTTGGCTTGGTTGTATCTCGGGGGCGGCATATGGGAAAAGAAGTAAAAATTCCGACAGTTGAGAAATGCCGAGAGACACCTGAGAAAGTTACATAGGGCAAGAGAGGGAGAAGCATCCACTCCCAGGCGAGGTGATTCTCATTCAGGCCAGGCGTCATTTTGGTGCCATCTTGGCCATCGCGCCCAATCTTCAAGTTTAATGTGTGGTGCTTTTTTTCGTCTTGACTCAAGAGTCAAATAACAAAATAACTCGGGAAGACGGACTTTGCATACAGAGTGTCAATTGACACAGAAAAGCCAATCGCGCTGCCCGACTTGGCCAATTGATTGTGGATGTTCAATTGGCGGGCATGAAGTGTGTCAATAGCGAATTCCTTTTGGGGCTCCGCGCCTTCGCCAAACTGATCGCCTCGCTTGCGCTCTCTTTGCAGGTGGAAATGACAGGAAGCAGTATATTCGACTACGTCCACCACAGCGATCATGCGGAAGTGGCTGAGCAATTTGGACTGAGTCTCGCATCCGCCGGACAGGGCGGCCTCGCGTCTCCGGCCTCGGGCGGCTCTGACGAGGGCGGTGGCTCACAAGGTACCAATAATCCTGACGGTGAGTCGTATTTAGCCGGGAGTCATCTTTCACGCTGCATCGCGTGTTGGAAATGAGCGTGAAATGATTCCGTCTCATTGAGGTCGCGCAATCGGGAAGATGGTCAAATTATAATGATTTCACTCAATGATCCCAAAATACTCTATCATCAGTGTTGGAAATTAGTCACGCCGCTGATCGGTATGGGTTCCACCTCCTTCCCGAACCTGGTAATTCACACCTCATCGCGTCATCATGACTCAATCTTATTGCGCCCATGTGAAAGCCCAAGCGGAGTTCTCACGTTGTTTTCAAGTTTTTGGATATCTTCCCGATCGGAATTGTCATCCTCATCAACTGCGATTAATTTGAATTAATATATCAGGTATTGAATGATGGATTTTCCTTTGCAGTGTCCGCTTCAATGACGCTCAACTCAAATAGCGCATTCAAGGGATACGACAGAGCTTTCTGCGTGCGGATGAAGTCAACGCTCACCAAGCGAGGATGCCACTTCAAGTCGTCAGGATACAGGGTAAGACAAGTTCTAGAGTAATCTATAGTCCCGAAAAGGATAACGTCATACTCTGCATATGAGAGATTTCGCAGATTTCAGCCGCAATTCTCAGGCATTCTTAATATTCATCTCTTCTTCTCAAATGTGTTTTCTCTGCGCCACAGACATGGAGGAGCAATATAAAGTCTTTTTGCTACTGAAATTCACGAGATCATACAACTCAATCTCAGTGTGTTGCAAGACAAATTTGCCCGCCAAAAGATTTGTCACAGCCGAGAAGGATGAGATTGAATTACATCCAGAGTGAGAGTTTCCCCAGAAAGCCGAGATCTCAGGGCGAGATTCGGTGGCTGTTTATCTTCCCCATTCGCTCTGGTGGGTTTCGAAAAGGCGATCCACAGTCATCCAGAGAGACTTCCTCCACTGTTTGTTTGTTTTTCAATGCGGGGATAACGCTCCTCGAGGCTACCATCGTCCGCGCGGGGCGAAACGAGTTAACAACGTAAAGTAGGTGTTTTATTGTTATGACGTGCAAGATTTGGCGGTAGATTGCGACTATGGTGTACAAGGTGGTGGCAGGAGCATAAGAAACGACCACGAGACGCCCAAAAAGACCTCGAGTCTGGCTCAGATGTGGCTGTCACACAAATTCTCCGGGCGAAGGAGGTCTGCAGAAAAATTCAGCAAGTGCACAAGAAGCTGTATAGTAGGGCTTATTTATCGTTCCCACTCGAGGGGCTCTCCTGAGAGCGACTGATTGATGATGGTGCAACTTTATAAATTCAAATTTCCACCCCTAGCGTCCACCCTTTCGCAGAATCTCTCTCACACATTAACTCCTAGAGGAGAACTTCGACAATGACTATGAGCAACATTTTATCGGAATGATGATGGCAAATGGGTGTCGATAAAATGCTCTGCAAATATTTTTATTGACTCGCAAATGCTTTGCAACAAAATTTTACAGGCAACGATAAAAATTTGCTTACACCCGCACACGAATTTTACAAGCGCATCCCTTTTCTCTTCCGCTGCATTACCATTTTTGCACCATATTGATTTTCCCCCTCTTCCACACCTTTTCTCCCATTCTCAACATCACAATTGCGCCAAAGTGGATGAGAATGCTCAGTTGGAGCACTTCTCCAATGGGGAATGCAGTGTGAATTGCATTGAAAAGTGCTGAGCTGTGTCTGGAATGATCTAATTAGAAGGCAAAAGCACCTAAACATTGTCGGTTCTTCAATTTGCTGTTCGTTTTTAGGGGGGGTACAAAAACCCCTGAATTGTAGGTTTTTCTTATTGTATTGAAGAAAAATTGTACAGAAACTGACAAGAGGTCTCCATCTGCAGGTAAGCGAGGATTCCGATAAGCCAATTCACAACAGTGGCAAAGTTGGTAAATCGACAGCGTCCCACTATTCGGTACGTATCAATTAAATCAGTTTTGTGCAAGTATCGGAATTTTCCACAAGTTCAGAATCAATCGAAAAAAAATGCCAAATTTGTCGAATCGCTCTTATTTTGACTCTTTTGTTCCCTTCTGATTGTTTTCTGTTGTTCTGGAGAATATCATCTCTTTACGATGTCATCCTCTGGAGCCTTCTCGGCTCGTGAGGAGAAATGAGTTTTGAGAATGAGAAACACGACTGGGTTAATTGATCAGTATCGAATATGATATGAAGCGTTTAGTCGCTGTTTGTTGTTGACTGTTCCAATTGGACATACTTCTTAGCTAGACGATGTCTGCACGGACTCCGAGAAATCACCTTCACGCTCGTCCTTATCTTCTTCTTTCCAGGTGGTTCTTATGCTCTGCCGCCTGAGGCCCCAGTACACGTTCTCGCACACAAGGAAGCCACAACCGCCTCTTCTGGGCATGGTGGCCCTCGCGATTGCCCTCCCGCCGCCCTCAGTTCACGAGATACGCCTCGAGTCCGACATGTTCGTCACGAGGATCAACTTTGACTTCCGAATAGCGCATTGTGAACCCAAGTGAGTGCTTTCTAGAGATGGTCAACAATTCTTATGATTCTAATTACCTGCTTTCGCTTGCAGAGTCTCTGATTTGCTGGACTACACAGCTGAGGAAATAACTGGGAAGAACTTGTATACTCTCTGCCATGCTGAGGATGGTAATAAACTTAGAAAATGTCACGTTGATTGTGAGTATAGATAACCTTTAGCTCGTTTTCCAACTCTTCAAACTGAGTAATCTCTGACTTCCGTAACAGTGATCAATAAAGGACAAGTCCTCACTCACTACTGGCGATTGATGAATAAGAACGGAGGATTCACGTGGGTTCAAACGTGCGCCACGGTTGTTTGCAGCTCAAAGAATGCTGACGAGCAGAACATAATTTGCGTGAATTACGTCATCAGCACAAAGGAGTACGCCAACATGATCCTGGATTGCTGCCAGATGGAGAACGGCATGGAGACGATAAAGCGCGAGGAGGTGACCAACGACAATGGCGCCAGATCGCCAGGCGGAGATCCCTCGAATGACGGCCAACCTGGGCCTTCGGCCAATCGCCCCAATGATCCCCAAAAATCCCCCAAGCCCGAAACACCTGAGCCGCGAACCCGTGCCCGGACGCATGCCAATGCTGGCTCAGGTGCAACTGCTCCCAACAACGCGACATCCATCGCTGTGGACAAGGTGGCTCCGGCAGAGGACGCCACGACGCCACTGTTGAGCATCCCGGCGCCCAGGCGAGGCCAGAAGCGGAAACATCGCACGGAGGAGGTGGAGAGTCTGCCCACTGATCCCGCGCCGGCCGCTGTGCTGCCCATCGCGAATCCGGAGGGCCATCGGCACGCGGAGGAACACAGCGAGAGCTCGGTGAGTGCATGGAGTGCCACACCGCTGAGGTGCCGCCGAGCACTTGGGGTGTTACAGTTCACGATATTGTAGGTGAAGAACCTGGAGAATGCCATGTCGAAGCATCTGCCCGCGCAGTCCACCACGGACTTCAGCACGGACGCCCTGCTGAAGCAGCAGCAGCAGCAACAGGACAAGGGAAGCACGATCCAGTGGATTGGCCATCACAACCATCACTTCCACCAGCAGACCTCGCCCATGCCCGCCACGGCGCTCCTCAGGCAGCTCTACGCCAACCGGGAGAGCGTCATCCGTGCCACCACGCGACCAGCGCCCTCGGGCGTCTTCTACACAGGTGAGAATGGGCACGGCATTTCATCTCTCTGGCCAGCAGATATCCAATCGTCTAATTGAAGACTCCTACATTTCAGACGCAGCCCAGACGGGCCCTCTTCCTACTCCTCCAGGCAGCGAATCCTCCTTCGACAATCAATTCCTGCTGCACGGCCACGGCGCTCAGAAGCCCAGTGATGCCTTCAGCAATCTCGTCTCCAGCTACGGTGGATATCCGGCCTCCATGGACTACCACAACGCCATGACGCCGCCCTCGTCGGTGTCGCCACGAGACTCCAATCCAGCAGCCAACAAGGCTCCCGCCATTCATCCCACCTCGACGGGATTCGACTACGGAGAGGCCCTGAGGAGCCAGTACTCCACCTCCGATCCGGCGGCCCCTCCTCTGCCCCTGAAGCCGCAGCCCTATTCTGCCGCCGCGGCGATGCACCACGCGGCCGCGGCCAACTCAATCGAGGCGTATGGCTCACTGGATCAATCCCAGTACTTCCCCCATCACACAGGCTTCCATCTCTACCACAAGGGCGCCCCGGCGGCCGGCTGGTACTCCACACCGTCGTAGAAACCGCCGCGGCACTCCTTTCTCGATCTCTAAGCTGCGCTCTAGGCGCTCTAGGCTAGAGCCCGAAGATTTCCCCCGAAAATACTCAGAATCCTCCCTATGTTGTGAATGAGTTTCCGGGGGTGTCTGAGGAGGATCACAGGAATACTGACAGTCTCTCCCAGTGCCAATTTACGATGCGATTCACGATCCTCCTCGAGATACCGCCCGCGCCCCATCGAAAGATGAGAATTGCAGAAGCGGAGCAGTAAATTACATTGTATAAAGCTTAAGAATTGTGTATAGACACAGGCTATAAAAGTAATTATCTTGAGAATCCTCCAAGACATTTAATTTGATCTATAATCAGTAGATTAGGAAGAATACCTTAACTATAGGAGTTACTTGAAGACATAGAAGCATATCATATTAATCTTAAACTGCATAGAGAAGGCAAATGTTCTCTTAAAACTTGTAATGGACTTTCCGATGACTTATTTATACTTGTGTACAAACTCTCAACTCTCTGATATTGATGGAAGTTAATACTCGTACTTTCTTTAGCATAGAACAATTTCCCTTAAAGTATTCTAAGGTAAATTTGGGCGAGCGATAGAATGTGTCTCAAAGAGATGGAAAAAATGTGTATTTGTGTGTAAATATTGTTCACAGAAATTTTCCATTCCACTTTCAGCTTCTTCCCAAAAAAATGACAGAGACAAAATTAAAGTTAGATTAATGGTAAAAAAAGCAGTAGATAATTAGACATGGAATAATGTAACATTCAGAAAGAAGGAAAAATTCCAACTCTTAGTATTACTTCTTGTTCATGTTTCTATAATAAAATTATTGATTAGGACTTAGAAGAGGTGAAAAAAATTTAAAAGATAATGTGCAATAAAATACACACATAAAGCAGCGATTCTGTTGAACACTTTTTTCTTTGGGTCTTGTAATGATAAGGAGGGATTTTTGTAAAAAGACAATTACATAGAGAAATTTCTGTACTTGAACATAATAATATAAAAGATTATTCTACTTATGAGTAAAATCTACACGTAATTCTTTATTTTCTGCAGTCAATGAATGAAAAAAATCACCAATTCCACGTTATCAGTTGGTCGCGTGTAACAGTTTGTAAACATGATTTAGAGATGTTTTGATTATTTTTCCTACAGCTTTTCCTACTGCGAAGTCAGCGCATAATCAATATTCAGCGTATTTGAAGAATGACACACGCTTCGCAAGAGTCGAAAGGAATATGCTTTATTTTGAGAAATGTTGGCGAATATAATGAGACAACTGACCTAGAAAATTCATGAGTTGCTTTTCGGGAATACTTACCAACACAATGGCAATTTTAATTAAAAGTTTTCTGCTTTTTAGTCTGTATTTTCCAATACAGTACTTGAGAACTGATTAAATCTATAAGGCTCAGAATATTTATGCAAATTCCTTTCCACATCGATGCACATAAATGAGGTATAATTGAATTTTTTAGGGCCTCAGAACCTTCCAAATTCCCCAATGATCACACACGCACAAAATGCTCAACATCTTATTTTCCCCGCCAAAACACGACCCCAGAATTAATTAACCGTGCACTGATCGTGAAGAGGAAAAGCGGAAGGGCAGAGAAGAAAGACGATGGGAGAGGGAATTCAGGTAAGTCGTTATCGCTGAAATCGGGTCCACTATTACATCAGACACTTTCTCACAATACAGAGAGAGGAAAACTGGGAAGAGCGTCGCCGGCTTTTGTGTGGACTAATGGTCTCGATCAGCGGGATGCGCCTTCAATTTTCTTATTTACGCTCTCAGCAATTCGGTGTCATTAGCCACACGAGTATCAGCCATCGGAGAGCTATAAAATACACCAGTCTCTCTCTGTTGATGTTCAGTGTTGCATCAGAAAGCGTTGGGTTCGGACGTGCAGTGAAAGCAGTGAAAGACTTTGAAGATGTGTGGAATATTTGCGGTTTTCTCCAGAACTGGTACAGTCAAGCTGCCCAGGAGTGCATCTGGGCGCAAGGAGTCCCTCAGAGAGTTTGTCTATCGACAGTCTGGCTGCCAGAGACATCGAGGACCTGACCATACGGGAGTGGTTCTTGTGCCTGAACACGGAGTGGCGATCGTGCAGGAACGTCTAGCATTGCTGGGCATCCGAACTGGCGCCCAACCCATGAAGTCTTCGACAGGAGAAGTGATTCTCGCGGCCAATGGAGAGATTTACAACTACCTGGAAATTGCCAAGGAGATCTCCCGGCGCAGGAAAACTTCATACGTGCCCAGAAGTGACTCAGATGTGATCATTGGACTCTATGAGGACTTTGGTCGTAGCCTTCTGCATCAAATCACCGGGATGTTCACTTTTGTGCTGTATGATCGCACCAAGAAGAGTATTCTGATTGCCAGGGATCCCATTGGAATTATTCCGCTGTATCTGGGCAAGGATGAGGAGGGCAATCTTTGGGTGGCCAGTGAGATGAAGTGTCTCGTGGGTGTTTGCCGTGATGTGAAAGCCTTCCCGCCGGGCACACTTTGTCATGGCACACCCGATCGTCTGGTCTTTGAGCAATTCTACACTCCCAAGTGGATCACCACCATTCCCACTCACCAGTCCAACTTGACTCTGCTGAGGAAAAAACTCGAGAATGCCGTGCGCTCGCATTTGCAGTGTGACGTGCCATTTGGCGCTCTCCTGTCGGGCGGAGTGGACTCCAGCCTGATCGCTTCTATCGCGACGAAGATCATGCGTGAGAGAGATCCCAACTTCCGCCTCAAGACCTACAGCGTAGGCCTTCGCGGTGCACCAGACTTCAAGTACAGCCGAATGGTGGCGGATTACATCAACAGCGATCACACTGAAGTCTATTTCACGATCGAGGACGGACTGGACTGCATTCCTGACATCATTCGCCACCTCGAGTCCTACGACATCACCACCATTCGCGCCAGTATTCCCATGTACCTGCTCTCGCGCTTCATCAAGAGCGAGGGCTTGAAGATGGTGCTCTCTGGAGAGGGAGCAGATGAGATCTTCGGCGGCTATCTCTACTTCCACCGAGCGCCCAATGCCAGGGATTTCCACGAAGAAACGGTGACCAGAGTGCGGTGTCTCCACCTCGCAGACTGCCTGCGAGCCAACAAATCTACAATGGCGTGGGGCTTGGAGTTGCGAGTGCCCTTCCTGGACACGGAGTTCGTCAACTTCGCCATGAACATTCGTCCCGAAGATCGAATGCCGGCCGCCACAGATCAGATGATCTCGCGCAAGACTCTGGAGAATGGGAAGCCCGTGGAAAATCCCAAGATCGAGAAGTACATCCTCAGGGCAGCCTTCAGAGACAACTATCTGCCACACGAAGTGCTGTGGCGCCAAAAGGAGCAGTTTTCAGACGGAGTGGGCTACCAATGGATTGACACCATCAAATCCTTCTCCGCGGCGCATGTGGACGATCAGGAGCTCGAGAATGCCGAGGAGATCTTCCCCATCAACACACCAGTCACGAAAGAGGCTTTCTTCTACCGACAGATCTTTCAGGAGATCTTCCCCGCCGAATCCTTCGCTCACACCGTCATGAAATGGGTGCCGCGCACGGACTGGGGCTGTTCAGCGGATCCCTCAGGACGCGCCCAGGCCGTCCACATTGCAGCTCATGCATGAATTTCATTCCTTCAAATTTATTATCACAATCACGCTAATATTCAATAAAAATTACATAATAGAACTGACCTCATTCAAGGCGCTTTATCTTAATCCCATGAGCTTCTGCCCAAAAGCATATTTGGAGGGAAAGAGAAGAGAGTTCATTGATACGAGGAGGAAAAAATAGAACAATATTTTGACTGATTTCCAGTCGCATCTGGATTAGCTGGTGATCTTGCACGATGGTATTCAGAGAGGGCAGAAAAAGTTCAGAACATTATCATCCGGAGATTGTGAGGCAGTGGAAAATTTTTTCATTAACCGGTTAAACAAGGCATCATCAAAAGGGAATTCCTTAGCATACTACATATAAAACTCTCATTGTATATGGCAAATTGTAGATTCTCTTGCAAAATATATCTTACACGGTATTGTATATAAAAGACAATCATACATGCTCACTTGTTATCCCAGAGACTCAGATGTGCGATCAGTCCTTCGGCACGGGCGGGAGATTTACGAGAACCACTTGGGTGGTGGGATGGTAGAATCTCTCTGGATCCTTGATCGTCAACGGAGGCATGACTTCCGGAACGACACTGGCAAGAGCCTGCTTCTCCGGTTCCGGCGACACGAGGAACGTCTGGGCATCGTTGAGTCTCAGCGTGAGCGGCTCCTCGCCCTCCACTTGAGGAAGCGCATTCACGCCCCTATTGGACTTTTGCACCAAGGCGTCTGACGGGATCTCACCCTGGACAAAGTGCTCGCGGATGTGCAATCTCAGCTCGCTGTAGAGCCTGAAAGATCTGGTGCACTGATTGCACTGATACGTGTTATCTCCCACATGAGATCTCATGTGCTTCACCAGATCGTTACTCTGAGCAAAGGCGCGCTCGCAGAACTTGCATTTGTAGGGCTTCTCGCCCGTGTGCGTTCGCATGTGGCGCTTCACGTGATCCGAAGAGTTGAAGCGCATTTCGCACACTTCGCAGCTGTACGGTCGCTCGCCCGTGTGAATCCTCTTGTGCTTCACCAGAGAGTAGGGCTTGGTGAAGGAGTGGCCACAGCTGTCGCAGACGTAAGGCTTGAGGCCCGAGTGCGTGGTCAAGTGGGATTTGAGGCCACCTTTGCAGCTGAATCGACTGGGACACAGCGTGCAGGCGAAAGGCTTCACGCCCGAATGGCGGATGAGGTGTTGCCGAAGATTGCTGCCATTGTTGAAGGCTTTCCCGCACTCGGAACAGAGATAAGGAGTGTCTCCACTGTGGATTCGCATGTGATCTTTCAGTGTGCACGATTGCTGGAAGCCTGAAAGTTGAGAAAGGCGTTAATTAGATCACCAGTGATTTCTTCAATCCCCCCAATCCTTACTCTTGTTGCAGATCTCGCAGACGTGCGGCTTCAGTCCCTTGTGTTTGTTGATGTGGTCAATGAGGAGACCTCCGAGGGCGAAAGTCTTCCCACAAATGTTGCACTTGTGTGATTTGCACTCTTCGTGTGACTTGACATGGCGCGTGAGGAAGTTCAGCTTGGCGAACTTCTTGGGGCAGTATTCGCACTTGAATTCTATCTCTTGCATCTTCTCCTTGTGCGTCTTCATGTGCGATGCCAGAGATTCCTGCTTCTGGAACACACGATTGCACTGGAAGCACTGGAAGCTCTTTGGCCGCTCATTCACGATCGTCATGGTCTCATTGATGAGATTGGAGTGGACGATCTGGTGGCGCACGAGATTGCTCTCAGAAGCGAATCTCTGCTTGCACTCTGGGCACTCAAACGGTTTCCCCTCGGCATTGTGGATGTTGGCATGCCGAAGAAGACGATAGGCCTTGTCAAAAACCTTCTTGCACACAGGACAGACGTGCTCCCGCTTTGCATTCTTCCGTTTCCTCTTTGCGGACTTAATAGGCACGAGCTCTGGCAGATCGTTGACCTCTATTTCCTCCTTGGTGTCTTCCTCTTCAGGCCCATCATCTCTCATGTCTTGGCTCTCATCTTCAACCGCGTCTTGCATCTCCTCCTTCATCTCCGGTGACAACTCAACCACATTGTGCTGCTCCTCGATCTGTACCACAGTTTGCACCTCCTCAGTCATCTCCTTCTTGTACAAAAGCATCCTCATGTCCTCATCAGACTGCAGACACAGCAGACGAAACTCAAAGGCCGCCAGCAAGCTCATTCGGCAGTTCCCACACACAGTTCCCGGCAATCCGTCACTGGCATCGATCTTCAGTCCGCACAGCAGAAAGATCATGTCAGAAAGCGTCATCTCTCCCAGCTTCCGGACAATCAACACCTCGAAGAGAGTCGAGAGTTGGGTGTTCTTCGCCAGGCACACCCGACACGCCCCACCGAAGGGGTCCTGCACCGCACTCGGCTCCATTGACATGGGGCGCTCCTCGGGGGCCACTTCTCACACAGGTTTGTGGAAAATTCAGACGAAAACGAGAAATTACGGAAAACTTTGTAAACACACAACGAGACACAAAATAATTACAATGACATTTAGACGAGAGTGAAGTTTGCTGCGTTTGTCTCTTGTCCTGTTTGTTTTGATCGGCGTGTGGGATTTTCTCCGGATAGTTTTTGAGTGAAAAACCATGGAAAAACCAGAGACTACCGTGCCTGATCCGCGCAGAAAGTATCTCTACATGGCAATTTCTAGCGCACTTGCCGAGGCGGGCTTTGATTCTGCAGATAAAGAGTGTTTGGAGACGCTTTCTGAAATGTGTCAAAGCTGTGAGTGTTTCCCTATGGTTTTCTCTGAATTACCACTAATTTCTTGTAATTTCAGTGCTCTCAGAGATCGGACAGTCTTCCCGAAACTACTGCGAGTTGTCTGGACGTACAATCCCTGTGATTGGAGACGTTGTTATAGCCCTTATCAACATGGGAATCTCCATTCAGGGCCTTGAGGCATTCGCCAGGCGAGACGGAAGACACGTAATTCCTTCACCACAGCAAGTCTCTGCCCAGAAGCAGTTGAATCTTCTCCAGGCAGGCACGAAGAATGCCCATCCTTCGCACATTCCCAACCATCTGCCGCCACTGCCGGATCCTCATGCCTACATCCGGACGCCGACCCACAAACAGCCCGTGACAGAGTATGAGGCGATCCGGGAGAAAGCGGCCACGCAGAAGAAGGACGTGGAAAAGGCGCTGACAAAGTTTCTGGCTAAGACCAGTGATATTCACAGTCTATTCAATGTGGAGGACAACATGTTTCCACTGATTGCCTGCAAGCCTGCACATCCCTCCTATTTGGCTGCTCTCAATCCCACCGACCAAGTGTTTGACTTTGAAGAGCTGGAGTATCACTACCAAGTGGCCAATAGGACAGAAGACGTGCCAGCGGCGCCTGCAAAGGAACTGGAGGACGACGATGATGATGAGGGCGAAGTCAAGGAGCCGAAGGAAGTGAAAATCGAAGAGACAGAGGCTGAACCGACTCCCAGCCAGGCCAACAATCCCAACATTGATAATCCCTATTTGAGGGCAGCAATTGTACCCAAGAGAATGAAGCTCTCAGAGGGCAGAGTCCTGGGAAGCGAATAAAAGAATCCCAAAAATCCCTTTCTGTTTTGCTTTATCGTTTCCAACTGGTCTAACTGGACGAAAGGCGAGTGCGCCACCTGGAGGAATCCAATAAGAAGCAGGAAAACAATACAATCTTGACAGCTACCTGTTGCTGGTGGACGCCTATCTCGCGAGTTCCCTGCAATTTTCAGAGAATTTACCTGTTTTTCGCTTCTTGAGTGTGTACATTTGATCACCCTTGCGTGTGTGATGGTCTCGCGGGCGAAACTGAAGCATGGATGTGACGGCAATGACGCGCAAAGATGAGAAAACGGAGGTCCAACAGAGTGTAAACAAGCGCGTCCTGGATGCGGACGAGGAGGTGAGCCTGAGTGAAATCACCATTGAGATAGGAGATGAAGTGCAGACCCTGTACGTGGGGCCAGTGGAAATCTTCCCCGAGGACGAGGAGCAGACAGGAGAGTTGACCGGGAGCAGCCTGAAGCAGGAGGACGCCACGAGTTCCAGTGACAGCGGCATTGAGAATTGTGTGGACGAAGTGTCGGTGAGAGAAGAGACTGTTATTGAGGACAATTGTGGTGAAAGTGAGCCGAAGAGGAGACAGCGGAGGAGGAGGAACAAAGTGAGTCCAGGGAGGTGGATTGCCAACGTGTACGCGTGTGACCAGTGCAGCAGCACCTTCTCCCGCGAGTCCAGTCTCAACTCGCACAAGCAACTCTTTCATGGGCCCAGCGCTCTGGCGAGGAAGCGCCAGAAGCGGTCCAGAGAGACAGTGAAGAAGCTAAAGTGTCCGAAGTGTGAATTGACTTTTAAGATGGATGTGTGGTTCAAGAGACACTTGGCGAAAGCTCATCAGATTGACGAGGAGGTGCCTGAAAAGGCGCCCAAGAAGAGCAGCAAGGAGGATTACGAAGTTTCTTCCACGAGGATGCTCACGATGAAGATCAAGAAGCGTCCGGACAACGGGAAATCGCGTGGAAAGCAGTCAAAGCCTTCAAAAGGAAAGATAATCCTAGGACTTGCTGAGGAGGAGACGAGTTCCTCAGTTTCCCAGGATGCGTCTAATGAGGAGGATCGCTCTAAGAGTGACGAAATGGACCTGAAGCTGGAATTTGATGAGACTGACATGTCACGATTCGTGGCAGCTGCCGATGATGATGAAGATGACACTCCCTATCTTGTGGATGTGATTGATGATGACGAAGAGGAACAGCAGGCATCACAAGAGGAAGAGAAGGAAGCCCCGGGGCGTCCCAAGAGAAATCTCAAGCGCTCTCCGCAACTACTGGAGCTAAAGAGTATCGCTGAGAGTCAAACGGAGAGAACTCGCGCAGCCAAGAAGCTGAAGAAGGTCACGGAAATCTCCATAATTGACCAAATGTCTGGCAATTCGACTGTTGTCACCTTGCCACTAATGGAGGCCAATGTGGAGAAGTTTTTGGCGAGCGGAAAGAATGACACGAGCAAGGGTGCAGATTCTGGGGAGGGTAAGAAGTACTCTTGCAAGATCTGCGGAGCTGCGTTCTCCAGGAGATACTCTCTGGGACCGCACATGATGAGGGTTCACACGAAGGAGAAGTCCAAATCCTGCGCAATCTGTGGGCGATCCTTCACAGCGACTGGAGATCTAACGCGACATGTTAGGTGCGCATTGCAATATGATTTGTTGAGAATCGCGAGAATATAACCGAAATTATTGTTTCAGAACTCACACCGGCGTGAAGCCATTCAAGTGCACTCATCCTGGCTGCACCTTCAGCTTCGTGTCGTCAGGAGATCTGTACAAGCACAATCGGCGCCATCGACAGGACGTGGAGCCCATCCCTAAGCCACACGTGTGCAGCGTTTGCTCGCGCGCCTTCGATCGCTCTTACGATCTCAAGCGCCACATGGCGAGGCACCAGCTGGCTGATCCCGCCTTCAAGGGTCTGGAGTGTGACATCTGCCATCGCAAGTTCAGCCGGCGGGATGAATTCAAGTCACACACTTACCGCCATTTGGGCCTGAAGCCCCACAAGTGCCACGTGTGCGGAAAGCCCTTCTCCGATGCCAGCAACTGCGCCAAGCATGTCAAGGTTCACGGGCCTCTGACCTTTGGCAATGCCGGGAATCCGCTGGTCTGTCCGCTCTGCAATTCGTCGTTCAAGAACAAAACTGCAGTTTCGCGCCACATGGCGAATTGCTCCATGCGCCTGGGCGTCGTGCAGAGCGTGCCCCAGCCAGAACCCCAAATGTCCGTGGTGTGATTTTCTTCTGGTGAGTGTGTCAGTTTCCAATTCCCAGGGTTTTCCCGCTTTAGCAATGATAACACTTTATCACACTGTCCATTCCAACAATTGGCCCTCCTTCCTTGTGTTTTGAGCGAATATTTCCACGTTCAAGCCTCACGTAGAGCCTGAAAAGACTTACCGATTAAGAATTATAGTGTTGGTTTTCGAGGTGTTTTGCCCCATAAGATGACGAATTATGAATTGAGAGTGGATGAATTATCTTGTATTTAGTGAATTTCTCAATTTATACTCACATTAAGCAATATTTTGTAAGATTTCTCAACTTGAAATACTTTTGTGGTTTAGAATGAGAGGTTTTATTTGCATTTTTGCGATCTTTCTTCTTCTGTTTTGGTTCGAGAGTGTTAAGGAAAAAAAATAGTCAGTAGAGTGCATTATATTATACACACAAAACAACAATTCAGAATATTTTTATATAAAGATCATGTACGAAGGATGAGAATTATATTATACTATGTAGAGCTATGAAATGCAATTAACTTAGCAGTACCGTGAGGGCGTCCAGGAAGCGCTGCTGATCGTCTCGCTTGATCTGGATGCAGGCTGTGTCGAAGAAGTCGGGCGAGATGGTGGCGGAGGATTTGAGGGCGGCCTGCTCGAAGGCGCGACCGAAGAGGTTCTTGGGTGAATCCTCTCGCGTCGGCGGGATGCCGATCATGAGGCAGATACCTCGTTCCACGTCTACGGGACAGCTGGCCACGAGCGGCATGTCGGGGGCGCGCCGGCTGCGGGAGGCCGACACGTGGGCGCGCAGGATGAACTGGGTGAGGAGTGTGAGGCTGTAAGGACAGCAGAAGAGGTTGCTCTCCTCGGTGAGGGTGTAATAGAGGAAGGGACCGGCCGAGCGCACCTGCCGCATCTCCAGGTGGCCTTGCACATGTCTCAGGATGCCCACGAGAAGCTGCTTCGCCCGTTCAATGCCCCCGTGCAGTTTGCCGCGGTTTACGCGCTCTAGACTGTCCATGGCCTCGAGGAAGCACTGCTCCGGCAGCCGATCAGCGCCCACAGACTCCAGATTGGCCAGCAGGGAGTACACATAATCGGCGGCGCTGTATCGATGACGGTAGCCGTAGTGGAGTGTGAAGGAACCGTAGATGAGATCGGTGAGATCGTACTTTTCCGCCAGCTTCTCGATCATCCCGTAGAACTCCTGGCGCAGCACCAGATCCATCGAGGAGAAGGTCTGGCGGGCCTGCACCAGTGGCAAGCCCATTTCCACCAGCAACTCCTGTAGGCGCTTCTCGCCGTGTAGCGTCCACAGTCGCATCTTGCAGGCGGAGTAAATGGAGTGACGCAGAGAATCCTGCACGCTCCAATGCCTGTACATGGCCAGATGCAGGTCGTTCTCGAAGGTTATCCTCACGGCAGTCTGGATGGTGTTGTCAGAAGCTTTGTTGGTCAATCGCGAGACGTGAGACTGAATCTGATTACATTCCAGCGTGTACGCGGCACTCTCGATCTTCCCCATCACGAGCTGCTCAGTGACGCCTACGATGGCCCACCAGAGGATGTCCAGGGAATCCTTGGACAGCCTCCACGCCAACTCGAAGAGCTGCAGAGCCGAACTGCGGCCATAGTAGCTGAATTGACTGTACTCGAACATGATGCGATTCCTGTCAGTCTCCCAAACTCTCCTCTGACGCTGTTTCTCCATCTTCGCCTCGAACTTCTGCATCCTAGTCATCTGTTCGCCCTCCTCCTCATCCTCATTCTCGCTGTCACTCTCCTCAGAGTCAGAGTCCCTGAAGATGGTCTCAAACTCCGGAATGCCTTCGTCTTCACTCGGTTTCCCCAGAATTTTGATCTGAAAAACAAAATAGAGGATCAGAAGCTGCCCAGGAAACTCGTGAGGAATCTCACCTGGCCATCGTTGTAGATGTTGCACACGTCGTAGGGACGGTGAGAGTCACAGATGAAGAAAGTCGCATCCTCTTCCGGTTGCAGCGTCTCCAGAATGTCAATGCAACCACCGCAATTGACCAGGAGGATGTTTTTGGCGTCCTCCCTGTGTTCAGTGTACGTGCGCTGGAGTCCCGAGATGCCCATAATGGGCACAATCGAGTACAGAATGTGGTCATTCTGGAAGAGAGCTTGCAGGATGCGACTGGCACAAAGGGCATCAATGTCGTAGTTCACGATGACCAGGACGCGCTTCCCCACCAGGCGACCGTAGAAATCCCTTCCCAGGTCGTCAATAAACATCTCCACCTCACGACTGGCTCATTTAGAGGTCAATTTGCTAAAAGACTGGACAAGAAATAACACACTAATGCAACATTTATCGTCCACTGACTTTTTTCTGGAGGTTATGTGTCACTCAGCCCGCCAAAATCCCAGAAACTCACCTGATGATGGCGACTTGACGAAAGAAACGAACAAACACTGGATTTTAAAGAAATTATTTAATGTTCAAAGAAAAGCATCTTTATTTCATTGATTTCAATTAACAAAAATTTCATGTGATCTACGAATAATCTGCCAGCAAGGGTATCGGCCAAAAAGTGAGGGTATGATCAAATTAAAAGGGGGTAAGCATAGAAGAATTCACCGTGGGAGAAGTTGCGGTTCATCATCTCCCCGGAGAGTGGGAAATTAATGTGCCATTTAGAAGTGCCAGTCGTGATTTCTCAATAATAAATCCAATAATAGTTCGCGTGTAGTGTGTAGAAGGATTTGGGGGGAGATAGGGAGTTAAACTAACGTCTCACAACGATAGTCATGTCGCCCATTTAGCGATGGTGTGACGACCATCATATCGTAAATCCTTCCGCGTTGAAGGTGTTGGACTCCTCCTGCAGCAAGTCCCACTGAATCTCGGGCATCATCTCATCATCCATTTCACGAGCTTCCCGTGTGTTCCCGCGAACACCTGTTGTCACCCACTCTGTCTGAGTTCCCTGATTCAGCAGTCTCTCATCGTCATCTTCGTATGGTACTTTTGGTAGTCAACATTCATCAGCGCGCGTTAATTCATATTCTCTTCGCTATTCTCGGGCTCACTTGTATCCTCATGTTTATGCTTTTAAACCACGACCATGTAGAAATCCTTTTGATCTTCTGCTCCCGGCCTCAGGAACTCATTATCAGTAGGGCTGCGTGTACTGACTGTTCACGCCGCCGAAGTTCATGCGATCAGCTCCCTGGCTCTGCAAAGGACACACGAGCATTTCCATTAGAATCAGTTACACATCCCTAAACAACAACTTTACTCACATGGAGATAGTCCTGGCTCAGAATTCCATCCATTTGCGATTGGTAGTCACCCATGTAGTCCTGCGAGAGATCTCCCGGCTGCGAGAGACAGAAGCCCGGTTGGCTCATGCCCTGCGACATGCCCTGTGTCAGAGGCGCTCCTCCCTGGCTGGAGTTGCGTGGCTTCGACACGCGGGCACTTCCTGACGCTACAGACATTCCGGTCGGTCCATTGGGAAGTGTTCCCTTGCGACGTCCCTGCTTGGCCGCCTGAATCGCCTGCTGGTGTTGATAGAATCTCGGCGGGATGTTCGTCATGTTCATGAACATTCCCACGGGCACAGGGATGTTATTCATGGCCGCCCTCTCGGGTGAAATGTAGCTGATGGAGTCATGCGTCCTCGAGAACATGTCCACTTGTCCACCACGTGAATGTCCGCTACCAATGGCGCCATAGCCAATCGGCGGCTGCTGATTCGGCTGGAATTGATTCATGGAGAAGTTGCTGGACTTGTCATAAATCGATCCCGCTGCCATGGCATCCTTGGCATCGTACATAACATTGGACATGAAGTGCGATCCTGGATTCAGCGTGTTCACAATTTTCTTCGGCTTGGCAAACTGTATCAAAGACTCCTTCAGATTGTTAAGCGATCCCTCGACCAGAACCTTCTTCTCCTTGTAGAAGTTCAGAAGATGATTCCACAGTGGCTGCTTCGAGAGCACCTTAGGATTGCCCACGATGATGATACCATATCTGGCCCTCGTGAGAGCCACATTCAATCGCCTCGGATCATTGAGGAAGCCAATGCCCTCGTGCTCATTGGATCTCACACACGACATTATGATGAAGTCCTTCTCACGACCCTGGAACGCATCAACACTCGCAATCTCGATCTCCTGATATAGCTTCGAGTGCAGACTGCCCTGGTATTGCATGTACTGCACCAGATAAGCCCTTTGGCCCTCGTACGGTGTGATGATGCCAATCTGATCCGGTCGAATGCCTGCCTTCAGGAATCTCGTGGTGATCTTCTCCACATTGGACGCCTCTGTGCGATTCAGATATGACGTTCCAGAGCCCGCCAACTCCTCGGCACCCTGCGTCACAAGGAAGAACATCGGCCTGTCCGGTTGTGGCCATGGGAACTCCACCTTGTACTTCCGCTCATCCGCACACACGCCATTCTGCAGACTGCCCTCGTAGAAGAAATTGGACGGGAACTGCGACAATTCCGGATGCATCCTGTACTGCACTTCCAGACGAAATGGGCGAATTCCCAGCACCACCAGCCTCTCGAAGAGACTCTGCGACAGACCCGCCTTGGCGGCCTTCTTGCACATCACCACGGGGCCCAACTGACAATGATCGCCCACCAGGATGAGTTGCTTGGCGCCCAGCACCACGGGAACCATGCACTCGGGCTCCGTGGATTGCATGCTCTCATCAATCAAGATGGAGTTGAACTTAATGCGCACCAAGCGAGGATCTCCAGCACCCACGCAAGTGCAGCAAATCACGTCAGCTGCCTCCAGAAGTTCTCTCTCCGCAGCCTTCTTCAGCGTCCTGTAGCGTTTTTCATCAGAAGAGCTCAATTCACCCGTCTCATCCTTGAGCAGCTGAAGTTTCTGCAATTCCAGATTGCTCTCCATGTTGCGTATCTGATTGTGTAGTGCTAGGAAGCTCACGGGAGAGTCGATGGCCTCGCGACTCTTGGCACACACGCGCACCACTTTCAAATTGGTCCGATGGATCTTCTCCGTTAGCTGATCCACAGCCGTATTGGAAGGAGCACAAACCAGAACTGGTCCTCCATTTTGACGCACCAACTGGTAGACAATCGTGGCGCTGGTCACGGTCTTTCCAGTTCCCGGCGGGCCCTGAATCAGGCTGAGCGGACGCTGAACGGCATGCTTCACAGCATACACTTGGGATCTGTTCAGATCCGGCAAATTGGGAGCACTGAAGTGCTTGGGAAGATTTGTGCAGCGGAATGTCACCTCGTCAGATCCATCGTGACGTCCATGACCCAACAGGCGGGAGTAGATGTAGTTCGACACGGAGTTATCATCAACGGCGAACTTCCTCAGAGCCATTTGCATGCGATCGAACGACGTACCCTTCCAGATAAAGTCCACGGAGAAGTGGGAAGTGCACTCTGTGGGCGCCTGAAGGCTGTGCTTCAGCTCCAGTCCCACATCTTCGCCATAGTTGTCGGGAACCTTTATCACATGACCAACGCCGAACCAGGGCTTGTGCAGCTCGCCAACGTAGCGCAACTTCAACTCATCACCGTGCATCAGCTTCATGTCGCCATCACTCTTGGCCAGCGTGAAGTACGCGATGGTCTTCTTGTTCAGTCCCACGTCCCAGCGCACTTCAATGTTCTCCTGCGTCTGGGACTCCTTCAGGCGCTTATCATAGTCTGCCTCGAGCTTCACGAGTGGCCCAAAGACATTCTGGTACTGATAGCCATCGTCGTAGCGCAACTGAACCTGCGCCGGTTCCTTATCAATGCCTGGCTTCTCTAAATCCTGAAATGTCGCCTCCACGTTGTCCTTCCACAACTCCTCGAGCTTGTTAATCTGTGCTGCTGAAATTTGTCTCGCTCGCATCTGTTCTTGCTCCGTGGGCACCTTCACGAGCCAGGAGAGGAAGCATCGATCCGCAATCAGCGGCTTCCACTGTTCCTGATCCCAATTCATGTCCTTGAGGCTGTTCTGGGCGGCGCATGGCTGTCGGCAGAGCAGCACCACCACAGAATCCGCCTTGGCGGGAATGAAGCCTAACACAAAGACATTCCGGACACCGCACGAGTAGCACTCCAGCACTGTCTCACCCAGAGGACCATCGCTGTGCAGTGTCACCTCGCGGTGCTTCGCCCTCACCAGGTGGTTCACGATGTGGGAGCCGGAAGTGCTGCCGCGTCCGTTGCAGAACCACTTCTTGCAGATGTTGCACATCACCACGGTGCTAGGCTCGTGGATGCCGCAGTACTTGCAGGCATGCGGCGGAAGATCTTGATTGGAGAGGAAGGCATCGTCATCTTCCTCCTCGAACTGCAGATCGTTCATCCCCGACACCAATGCGGACACTTTGCCGCCGATCTCCAAGCGCTTTCCAAAGCCATTTACCTGTGAATTTGGGGAGAAGAAAGAGAATATCAGTTTTCCGGAACGCGTGTGTGAGATTGAACTGTCAAACCACCTGACCGCCGACCAAGTTGTCCAATTGAGATCCCTGCGTCTGACTCTGCGAAGGCACGGTGAAATCCCGAAAATCGAAGTCCGTGCCCTGCGTATCCGCTCCAATAAGATCCTCCTCTGTGTCCAGAAAAGTCAAGCTCTGGGAATTCGGTCCGTACGTATCCACACTCATCCTGGCCAACTATTTGCGCGTTCTCCTGCAATTATCCACCGTCACTCTAGCCATTGCACACCGTCCCCACCCAAGATAATACTTACAGGTTTCACAAAGACGATTTCTTCCGCGAATCTCGAGTTTTCTCGTTGGGAAAATGTGATTTTTCATCCAGGGACAAAAATTTTCGCTCCTCACGTCAAGTGCGATGACGATGTTTGACGAATCGGGAATCCACCAGCAAGTGTGTGTGACCCGATTGAGGGGTTGCCATGTGGGTGGGTGAATGTGCAGCCAACTTCATGCTAAATAAACAACGATGATGGTGTGTTGGGTGTCAAGTGTGGTGGAGTGAATTTCGCGAGAAAATCCTGGATACTCCACTTGGAATCTCTAATAACAGGTCAGTGTGTAATCCTTACTTCATCTCACGGGAGTGGGTGGTGGAAAATCCCGGGAAAGAGCAGTGAAAGTGGGCGAAAAGCGCATGGAAAGTTGAATCGCCTGTTGCACAGTCAGCACACGTGTAGTCATCTCGCTCTCGCACACGATCAAATCATATGTTGCATTGTTTTTCGGAATTCGCGCGAGAACATAAATAAATGGCGAATATGGGAACTATTTTTGGCCGTGCCAGAGAAAAAACCCACCCAAAACCAGTGATTCTGGCTTATTTCTCCGAATCTCGCCCAAGATACTGACTGTACAACTCCTCTGCGTGGTCCGTGGTGGGTTTCTCGTGTGGCTGCGGGGCGAAAAGTGAGAAAATTCAGTGAATTTGCTGATGCTGCGACTCTCCCACCCTCTCTGACGTTTTGTGTAATTGTTGGCCTGAAAAAAAGACGACGTGTTTGCGTAATTGGCAAAATGTGTGGTAAATTAAAATTAAAATTGCCTCTCTGCAGATGTTCCCCAACTCTCGAGTATTTGTCCTTCCCACGAGAGCGGAAGAGATGAAGCAAAATAATTGTATTCAATTATTTGCTCACGTGAAAATGACTGTCATTTGCGGGGTGTATTTATGACGAATTCGCGCAGAAAATTAAGCTGGGGCGCTATTTAGTGCATAATCGAATATCAAGAAAATTATTAAATCTGGATCGTGAGATTATTTGTCTTTTTGATCTCTTGTTCTTAATCTTGACGCCCAAATTGGGGTCTTGGTCATGATATCAAATTAAGAATGCCAATTAGGACAATAATGGTGATCATAATTTGACTGAATTTAATTAATTGTTTGGTTTTTAGAGGTTGAAAGCTATTAAACGCAAAGACAATTCCCAACAAAACCTTGTACAAAACACAGTTCAAGTTCTTTAGAGCAAAGACTCCCTTTCACACTTCCTGGAAGTCACAAAAGCATTAGTTTGTTCGAATTGAGAGTCTCAAAGTTCAGCATCAATCTTCATTTATATTCAATTAACCATTGAATTCTCTCAATTCGCTACTGTTGTCGCATACTTCCCACATCTCTTCTGCCAGAAAGTTACACATTGCGGAATCAATACGCTAATGCTAAATGTCTCGTGAAGTGACTTTGTCTTTCCTGCCTTCGTGGGTACGCTTCATCTCACGATCATTTACATAAAGCGATGGTATTTCTATTCTCTGTGCCAAAAGCACAGAGAGGAAAAACAATAAAATAATGGGTTTCACAGAATGCACACACTTTGTCGTGGAAAAATGGACTAGATGATCTTGCTCATGAGCATGAGAAAATTTATCTCATCGCGTGAGATGATGAAGAAATCAATCTGTGTTCAGGGCACAAAGAGCCCTTGACACCTTGCCACTGTACTGTGAGAGGGAGAGAGTGAGAGATGTGCACATTCTGGGAGGCTCACATTAAATGAAAATTTATAATTAACGCGATGACGCCAACACTTTGGCCGCAGCTGATGAATGGAGGAGATGATGTAATGGTTGTAGCAGTTGCTCATTGAATCATGCGTGTCGAGGGGCTTTTATGACTATAATGTGCGCCTCATTGATTCTCAGAATTATGTAGCATTCGTGAATATCCTTCCCAAGCAACAAGTTGAACAGTCTCTTCATGAGAAATCGAGCTTACAGTGAGCACTGAAAGATAAATTTTTTACAAGAAAATTCACCATTGCACATTTCTCTGATAAATATTGCCGAGATTATGGCATTTCCTCTCGTAGCTTATCCACAGCATGAAACATCCTTGGCTTCGGGGAATTCACTATCAAATTCCTTGTTCGATAATCCGGTGCGCGATGATCGCGAGTTCACGTGCACTCGTGACGGAATACCGTTCTGTGGTGGCCAAGGAGAGGCGTGTACGCTGAACATCCAACAGTTTTGTTGTACACGGTGCAAATACGCCGAGATTCCGCTGCTTCGACGTGGATCCACTACCAATTGGTCTGTGTGTATATAGTATTATAGACGGAGCATTTGTTCAAAGACTGTGAATGCGACTTTGTACAAACACAGCTGAGGAGTTCACCATCCACTTAATTTAATATCTCGCACGGTGATCTTACGTGAATGGCTCTTCTTGTTGTTTTGCTCGCCTCTTGGAGCTTAAGTTTGCCTCGTCAGCAGTCATTTGTTGTGTTGCAGATGCATTGGTGGACTTTAAAAGTGAATGTGGGGAAACTTGATTTTTTCATTTTCAATATACAGTATATAAAATATATATACTTATCTTGTGATTATGTTACTCAATTCACTCCATTGGGGGGTTTTGGAATGTCAGTCACGTGGCACCATCCCAAATGCTCTTGCTCTCTCGCTATTACCGTCAATTTCTATGCATCTCCATGCGGTCTGTCGCTGAAAATTTATTAAAATGATCAGAGCCGAAGAGAAAAGCTGCAAATGTTTAATTTTTGAATAACACATATCTGCACCGCTACTCAAATATCTCTATTCAGCATTAATGATCCATGCTTTGCTAAAGTCCACTTTTGAATTAGAAATTCATCGTTGCGTGCTGTTTGACCTTAAGAATTCTGACAAAGAGGTGTTTGAGAGAATGGACACGAAAGGAGGTGACTTTTCTTCTCGCACCTGTTTGATGGTCTTAGCATAAGCGACATAAGAAACAAACGGGGGGAAAATACACATTGGACGACGTAGTATTGGTACAGTTTTGCACAATCCCTCAATGTCTTTCGTGTTGTCTCAAAAAATTCAATTTCAGGGCCATGTGAGCTCTAAATAGCAGCCATAAAGAAATAGAGAAGAAGGGAAATGATGTCACAGACAAGTTGTTTGGTGACAGAGCAATAATCGCTGGAGTTTATTGCAATTATGCGGAGTGACTGGGCGCGGGGTGGAAATGGTGTTTAATATTATTTGTTTGGAGGGTTTCTTGTTCCCACAAGTGACATCGATTCATAAAATATTTCATGATGACAGAGTAGAAAAAAAACCTACTTGATATAGAAAATAAAAGAAAATCTTCATCTAAACTGAAGAGTTACCATCAATTGACCATCGAGACGTATTGCGATGCGCCTCGAAATTCAACATTGTCGCAATCACATTAATATTCCAAGTCAACCTGTTGACTTTCGATGGTGTCACTTTAAAAGCTCATTTCGGAGAGTGAGAGAAGGGGGAAAAAACGCAAAAATGAATTATACAGAAAGGCGCAAACAATGAAATGTATTCAGCTCCTCGCGGGCCTTCGACTATTTGGACAAAAATAACAATGGGCGAGGAAAACGTGACTATGTGCTTTTTTGGACGCTTCTGTAATTTACCAGACTTTTTATCAGTGTGCAATAAAAGACGCTCTAAGCTCAATGCAGACTGTGATTCACGAGAAGAAAAAAAAAGTGATACACTAGGAGCAAAAGTTATATAACTAATTAATTTTTATCGTTTCTGGAAGACGCAGAAAACCAGTCGAATCGTTTTTACTTATTATACTGCGAGGGATGACGGGAAATGAAATTGAATGGGAGTGTATTGGACAAGAATAAACCTATGTAGATTTATTGGTAGGTAAAAAAATTGACATAATCAATCATTTATCTGGGCGGAAGATCTAGAGAATTAATGGATTTCGCCGACAAGAGAGATTTGGGGTGGAGGAATGGGGGTGTTAAGGAGGTTGAAATGCAGCGAAAAAAACAGGAAAACCACAATTACTCATCAATAGTTGATACTTGTAATTAAGTTCTTTCTTGGTATGTTGATGAATCAATGTTGCTTCCACGTTGTGCATTAACCATTCATTATTATTTATTGAAGTTACTCAATGTCAAGTTCTACTCGAGCACCAGAAAATCGACTGATAGAGAGAGAGAAAACCCCATCGAAGGCCTGTCTGTGTAATTTTCGTTCTTATTGATTATTTTACGAATTCTAATGAAAGTTGAAACGAAATATTCCAACAGCATTTCACAGTTTTATGCCAACCAATATTCTATTATTTCTTGCTATGTGTGTACATAAATGCTGCTCAAGGAATGAGAGTGGGAGTGATTCTCTACGAAATTTCGAGAAGATTGTAGATTTCGGTGTTTGAGGAGGACGAAAAAATACACCGTTCAAATCGATTGATTATATATACAAAAACGGGAAGAGACAATTTGATATCTTAGGCGTATTTGAGTGAGCCAGAGAGAAGCGGGGGAGAGAGAAGAGAGGAATGGGAAAGACATAATAGAAAATGGATGAATGAGAAAATTGGCGCACAATTTCCTTTCAGTAGTCATTAATGTTGTCGTAGTTCTTTTTTTTGTTGTTTGGCCCACCCTCCTGAAAATGCGTGGCAGACAAAGTGTGGAGGTCGAGGCATTTACTATCAGTTCTTGGGATTATATAATTTGTGGCGGATGGAGCCTTGAACTGCGATTTGGTGGGACTGACAAAAGGAGTGTGAGTGTGTAGAGACGATAGATGAGGAATTAATTAAATGGAAAGAGCGTAAAATGACACAGAGAAAGCTTTTTATCGTTCAACCCATAAACATTTCCTCACTCCTTTTTATGAGGAAGGCTTATTGGAAGATGACACGAAAAATGGAACAACCATTTTTGCGCCTTCCTAATTGTCCCATCAAATCTCAACGCGATGGGCATTTAGACTGTATTGGCTCGCGACGCGAGTAAATTTTATGTTTTGGACTATTAACTGAGTTCATTTGTTGGTATGTAAATCATGCATTGAAGCTCAAGTTCCGTTCCAGTGAGTAAGGAAAACATCGAAAACATACATAAGTCAGTTTGATTATTAATTCTCTTTCCTCCACCTCCTTGGGTGGCGCTTGTTGTACAATGCGAACTACAAAATTATTAAATATCAAGGACGTGACGAATTGCTACGCATATTTGAGAGAAGCGAGAAAATGCTTATACGTCGTGGGGAAAAAATCGTATATTCACAAATATTAGTTGTGCGCGGGGAGAGCCGAATAATAATGTGTTGGGTCATTTGGATTTTCGACTTGGCGGAAGAAAGATGCAGAATGAATGGAATTTGCGTTGTTGAAAAGAGCGTTCTGTGCGAAGGACGTCAGAGTAATGAAGATTGGGTGCGAGGGCAAAAAATTGGACTAATTAAAATGACAAATAATCTGTGGCTGCGCTATCTGATCTGAGGTGTGTCGCCAAATCTTCTCTAAATGATTCCACATGATTTCGAGAATGAAATGACTTCTGCCACACCTTTTTAGCTGAGGTTTTTTTTTGTCCTAGCGCTTTGTGTCCCTTGATGTAGCTCAGCATTGACTCGTCCATGCTGGATTTTGCAATCGTCTGCATAGTTCTAACAATTTATTCATAATCTCCGCTGTGAGTTTCGCATTACCTTGTCCTTTTCATCGTGGTCAGTGTGTGTGTGTTCGGTCAAGGAGAAACGTGTAGGTTGGGAAATCACGCCATGTAATGCCACTTATGGAAAATCCTCACGTGTGTGCCTTTATTATGACGATGGCCTGCGAAAGTTCGTCCTAACTGCATTTTGTCACATCTGAAGACTATGCGAAAGAAGTAGCGACGGAGCGTCATTGAACATATGAGCGAAAGTCCTCCATCACAGTTATTAATGTATAATGATGGTGAGATTGTAGATTTATTCTTCACCTTCCCACTCACTTTGGGGTGGCACGTGTGCCACTGTTCAGCATTTGCTTGCTTAGAAAAGGGTGTGTTCTGTCGTGAAAATAATTTTGTGGATTTTGTGATTTGGTGTCGTGGTTGAATGAGCCACTGGATGGGGAAAGGACTAAATTGTGGCGTGCAATCGATAAAGAAGGAGTCCATTTGGGGCGTCTTATGTGGGGTCATACATAGTAAAATTTTACATAATATGGCTGATATTGGGTGGCTGTTGAGAAACTCTGTGTGTAATTTATTCAAATAGCAATTTAACCATAATATTTTGGCGTCTTGAGTATCACCCCTTTACGTTCGTTTTCACCATAAGAGAAAAAGCAAAGGAGAGGGCGTGAGTGTGTGGAAAAGTTCTTTGCATAGTTGAGAGTTTTGCCAGTGACGCGTGAAAACAATATGAGCAAAATGCCTATTATTTTTCATAAAGTCACAAGAATTCTATTGTTGACTTGTGATATTTCTTATCACTTAACACTGTACTCTACTCTACATTAATTACCATGTAAATTGTATTTATTGTCTATAAATCCGCACATGTTTATTGCACGGTCTTGCAGTCATTTTTCCTCTTAGTCATAAACATTTTCTACCCAGCACCATGACATTATTACCACAAGTTGAGGTTTTCCAGTGAGTGGAAAAAAAAGAATTCTTCAATATGCTAATTTTATGTGGGATCTTTGCAAAACTTCCACGAGTGACTGGCGAGTTGAAAAAAAGAGTAGATAATTGATGGATTCTGTGTAGGCATTTCCTGTAAATTGATATCTATTAGCGCAATTAACCCCTAATTAAATTATATTTCCGCCGAATGTGGAAACTGTAATGTGTATGATTAATTAAATTAAACAATACTTGGTTTGTCTTCTCCATGATGGGAAGTGTCAATATCTTCGTTTTCCGCTCATGAAAATTGAGAAAATTGTTAGGGCGACGATTGTTATTAATGTTCATGAGGGGATGATAAAATTTTAACTGTGTTAGAATTCACTATACATATGAACGGAGTAATGGTGAAACCAGTATTTACAATGGAAGAAAGAGAAATATTGTTGTTACTAATGGTGATTGGTTAGAGTTGAGAAATGAGATTCTCTTTTTTCCCAATTTTTGCTCTATCGCGATTAGACTCGGGTGTAATTCAAAAAGAATTACTCAACGACCCAATTGCATCATTAAACACCTTCATTTTTCTGTTCATTATATACACACAGGATGGATACATATGCACACATATAAGAGGATTATAATGGTATTTTCTGGTCATAAGACTGAGCATTGACGTGGTGACAGGGAAAATTGTGGAAGAAAATGAGCTAATGTGGAAGTACTTATGATGTTTTCGACAGCTGAAAAGGGTGTGTTGATGAATGAAACAATATATCGGGTGAGCTCAATCGATTTATCATTAAAGGCCTCTTGGTGGGTCATAAAAGGTGGAAAAACTATCTGGCGATAGAGAGGAAAATGTCGTTTTCTGACATTATTAAAGAAAAGATATCCTGACGGGGAGGAAGAAAGGCAGAGAAGAAAGCAGGGGTAGGGGAAAATTGGGGAGATGCTCTGGGTACTTTGTGTGTCCTTTTGCTATTTTTATCCACCTGGGCGATACCATGAAAAGAAACTTTAATGCTCACTCCGATGGTGAGTGGTCAGAGTTGATTAGATAAGACTATCTGCTGAGAAATAGTAAAACCCTATAATAAGTGCATCATCGCGTCCAATTAAGGTGCAATCATATCAATTAACAAAGCTAATTAGGCGCAATTTTCTTAGCCATCGCCAGGAAGGCCACAGACGAGGAAATTCTATGAGAATGCACAGAGTGTGAAGGATTTCTGCTGAGGAAAATTCTTTATTCCCTTTTCTATACCCATGATTGTGTGTCATGGACAACTTTTGCCCTACTTATTAACAAAACCTCCCTCTGTATTTCACATGATCCCCACCTGACCGCTTTTTCGTGTGCAGATTTTTGCTATGCGTGAGAATTTTTTTTATATCATACTTCTGGGTTTCCCGTTCTTTAGCACTCAATTCCCGAGTTGTGTAATACACCAATGCTTTTCCGATGAATGAAAAAAGGGAGAAAGAGAGGAAAACTTCAACTGTCACGACATCAAATGGGCTGACAGTGCGTGGGAAGTGATATCAGAAATTACCAGGTGAAAGCACTACCCTTCCCCAGTGATAAAACTTTTCAATTCCCCGGTGCTCCGTGTGTGCCCTTCACTTGTTCAACATGAACACTTACAAAATGTGTCACGAAAAGGGCAATACGTCGGCTTTTCCATTATAACCCTCTTTGCTCCCCCTAAATATACTGTCGTGGGATTCCCAAATATACGAGGGCAATAACATGGGGATAATCTAGCGAGTTTTCACGGGAGTTCTTCGGTCAAATAGGAATGATTTAGTGAAAGATGATCACTTATATTACCTATTTTTGCCGTAGCAAAAATATTAAATTTATATTTTTACTAATTTTTGTTTTTCGATTCTTGAAAAATTCTCCAAAAATTATCATTTTGAACTCCAATTTGAATGCTCAAACATTTTTTTATCGTTTATCTCCTCCGGAAAAGTGCTTCAAAGAGTTTATTCATTCCTAAACGCTATCAGTATTTTCTTAAGTGGGTCATGTAAAAATCTACAATATGTTTTTCTTACGACTGAATGGGAAAAAGTTAAAATGACTGCTGTACTGACCGAAATTCGACCTGAGTATGTGCAGAAAATCCCCTTGGAATGTGCATTTGAAAGTACATATACAATATTTGATGTTTCGCTGTTCAATTGCTTCCGCGCTGAATGATAGATGAGTGTGAGAATGTGGCCACGAAAGTGCAAGGTATAGAGGGAGAAGCAGAACATTTGAAATTGAATCTTGAACTTGCAGTTGCATCATAATATAGGTTTTTGCTAGGGTGTTCGTACACTCCATGTTGGGGGTCTCGCGTGTGTTTGTGGATATCGCGGCGCTTTGGCGGTCGCGTCGCTGTGCCAATGATTTGTAAGTTAGGGCAGCGAAAAGAAGGCCGGGAATATGAGGTGTTGTATGGCAGAGGCAAGTGAGCATGAGTGAGACGATGGTATGGAATGCCTGGTGGATTTGTGTAGTATGGCATTTTGTAAGCTTATGGACACTGTATAGTGTTGTGTGTATAGTTTTTTTTGCTCTCTGGTGTTTTGCTTTTGACGTGAGAAGGAGGGGAGGCGCGGGACGGTGGGTGGGCAGAGAGTGAGCTTGTTGCGGTTCGATCAGTGTGGAGTGACATCAGTCTGACGCGGATTGTTGGATTGCACGGAAGGCGCGATTGTTTGCTGCTGTTCCTGTTCACGCGGCAGAAACGGTCTCAGAAACTGTTAAGAATAATAATAAATACTGTAGAGAGTGATATTCTGGTTAGAATTGTCTGTGTATCCTGCAAGAAAGTGCCACAGTATCCACACACTTTATCAATGATGTACATTTTTATTCAGCATCTTGGTTAACATCGCGAGAAAGACAATCCGGATATTTTGTAAAAAAGTGAAATTCAATGGTGACGTTCTTTCTCACCGCAATTCCAATGTGTTGGGGACTTTTCGACAGCGGCGAAGAGGGGCACTTGAGACACGCCAAAATCGTGCAAAATTATTCACATCGGTCAGTTATGATTTAATATATAATTCTCTTGAAAAGTCTCTTAACAGTACCTCATGATATAATTTTTGCTGTGCAAAAAGTAACGTGTGTGTCTCCATTATCGAGTGAAAATAGCGAGAGTGCGTGTATTTTGAGGATTTCTGTGGCTTTCAATACGGCCAACAATTGCAGCAATTCATATTTTAATTCACTTAATCCTTCTGTAATGCATTCTGCATAACGTGCCATTGAGTCTAATTTGTTATTCATGGTTTGGAGGTGAAATAGAGAGTCAGTTGTACAATGGCAAAAAGGCACAAAATTGTGTTCACTTTGTGTGCAATAATTTGAAGAAAAAAAAATGGGAAGAATAAAAATTGCAGCAAATGGTCAGGGAATATGATATTAAAGCTGTTATGTATATTAGATTGTTGAATGAATTATTATTGGAAATTTTCTCCTGATGCTGATCAGGTTTCGATAGCTTGCGCTGTACGTAATGTAATCAGTTAAATTATCCCCGATGCACTTGTCCCATATATTGTTGGGTGACTAGAGAAGGGCACTAGGTGATTGGGATCTTCTGGAATTTCCTGTCGCGTGTGAGTCAGTGTCTGATATGGAGAAGAATGCTGTATAATACATGTGGTTATGATGAAATCATACAAAAATTAAACAATTCTGTCATCTCTTTACTGACAGGAAAACGTGCAAATCCCAACAAATGAGATTTTATTTGCTCTCATCCAAGTCGTTTTATCACCCAGACTCGAATTCGTAGCATAAACAAGAGAGGTGAAAGAAATACCATAACTTTTTTTTCATCTTCTTATTCTGCCCAAACCAGACATAAAGTGTGTACTTAATGTATTTTCACGAGTGAGGAAAAAGCTGTTGATCCTATTTTCATGCTCACAAATGCGGGGAATGAATAAATTGCAAAATTAACACACAAAACCGACGAATATCGAGTATTCTCTCACAATTAGCGCTTTCCTATTGCAATTGCGAGACAAATCAATTTTAATGAGACTTCTCATTCACTCTCACCTGAGCTGGTGAGATACATGACCTCGTGAAGTGTAATTGACACGACAAGATTGATGTTTTTTGTATAAGCAATTTTAGCCATTAATATTTTCTCATGTTTTCAATTGCAAGATCAAGTGTTGTGGTGTTGAAGGAATGTAGCAATCTCTAATGACACTAACATTATTGAAATAGGGAATAAGACTTTGCGCTGTGCCCGATGAATAAATTTGATCGTTTGACTGAGAAAGTGCTGCAAAAATTCACATAATAAAATATTAACTTGGGAATTGCAGTTGCAATGAAATGATGAAGATGCGGAGAATTGAATGCAAAAGGTGGTAAGAGGCATGGGAATAAAGTACTCACGACTGAGAGTCAAAACCACACACTTCACATTGTTAAAAAATGCATTGGAGAAGTGCTGTGGCTGGTGCTAATAAATTTTCTATTAGTTGCATTTATCACGTCTGATTGATAATTCATTCCTTAGTATTGCTTTATTCGGTTTTAAGGAAAGGATTTCTTATTGATATGCTCTTGAGTCGATATAAAGTTGGTGTTTTTTTCCCCTCACCAAAACTCTTTCGTGTATTTGTTATTCTAAGAAACAATTATTGAATTAGAAGTTTCGTTGAAAAGTCATCAAAGTCCGAAGAGTGAAACTCTCAAAGTTTGTTTTTTCACTGAAAATTTGAACAATTTATCTGTTCTCATCCATCCACACCCAAAAATCATCTGGCATTATGAAGTGTGTGTGTGTTTGTTTCGTGTGGTTTTTTTCTGTGATTCATCAGCAGTCTTTTCATGGATTTTTTTTATCAAGTGTCTTCGTCCTTATGGAAATCCTCTGCAATAAATTACGGTGGAAAATTTCATCAATTTATGTTTATTCTGTGTATAAGAAATTATGAGGCCCTCAATGGAGAAAAAACGTGTTGTCGCATTTGATTGTTTTCAGATAAGACTGATAATGTTGATAGCACATCACATATTTACTCTTTATGGGCACAATTATCACTAATGACTGTCTTATCGTGTTGGAATATCTAATAAGGTGGGTGTTTGAGAGTCAATTGAGTGGAATATTCTCAAGTATTTTTTGTGTGTGCTTCGCATGTTTATTCCTGTGCCGGAGGTACAATTTTTCGCGTGATTTCAGTGTAATTTGTGTGCACCATTTGATATTTCATTTGGACCCAAATCTCTCCCACCAAAGCAACTTTCAATGGATCACGACCATGAACTAGATTTGGGCTGTTTGTCCACGCAGCATGTAATAGACAGTGGCTCAGACTGAAAATAGTGAAAGACGCAACATGATGGTTGATTGGCAAAAAAGAGCTACGCATCTGTCAGAGGTTCCCCGCGAGCTATGTGATTTTCCTATCAACAGCCACTGAATACTTCAGTACGCCAGACATAATGTAACTCATGAGCATTATTATGAAAGTTTCTTATTGGGAGTCTCAATTCTCAACAGTCCTCAGAGTTAATTTGTTGCCTCATAATTGCCCAAGTCTTTAAGGAAAGACAAAGTGAGTGAAGTGTTTTGAAAGTTTTCCAGTCATTGGCCAAATAATTTCCACACTGCATGTGTCCCAAAGTCCGTAAATGTTAGCAATTAGATGGGAATGGCTTTTCGATAATCCTTTCTAAGAACAGACACACCTCTGGAAGGTGTTACGGTCACTCCACACCGAATCTCTCACCGATCCACCACTTTTCCATGTTTCACGGTAAATTATAAATCATGCGAACGACCTTCACATGTCGCCAGCAGTCGTGGTCATCCTTTTGCATTTCACCTGATGGTCTGACACCGTCGCCGAAGCACAAGTTGGTGGCAGTTCCTGATTGTAGGGATGGCATATCACCCAATTTCATGGTCATATCGTATTTAAATGGGTGTGAAAATAGAATGGAGGCACTCGTGATGCAAAAAGAGTCAATAAAGCAATGCGCTACTTTCAATCCAGGAATCAATAAAGGGAAAAAAATTACGTGTTGGTTTTATTGTAATTGGAAGCAAATGACACGAGAATATTGCTGGCAATACACTTTTTTCGTATGGTATTTGAGATATCAATTTGCTCAATTGAAATCAATTGTGGCGCGTGATCAATTGTAACTGATTGTTGTGTTGATTTTGTGTGTCTTGCAGGAGCCTTTGGGCGAATTTCTGAATCTCTGATGGAAGGGTGGTTGTATCCACTGAGAATTCCACCCATCCAGCATTGGCCATTGGCCTATTGCTTCGATCCCGAGCGACGACATCATCTGTGGAGGAGCAAGAGTAGCCACACGAAAGTCACAGCGCGATCATTGGGGACGAGGCGTGGTTCACAAATCATTCCATTGAATGCCAAAGCGGAGCTGAGGAAGAAGCTGTACATATTGGCCACTCTGCACACCGAATCCACCATCCTCAAGTTGGCCAATTGATCGTGAGTGCGGGTGTTCCAAATGTCACCACTGTGGGAGGACCATAAGAAGAGCCTGAGTGCAAGGATTCTCTGTGAAAGTGCACGTCAAAGAACGCAATCGATCAATCAAGTGTCTTAACTAAGTGTCCTTAGCGTGAAGATTGAGTTTACTTATATAATTTCCCTTTCTATCAGTTGGTGCAGTGCACTTTGTGGACTATTAGTTTCTTTTTCCTTCTCGTGGGATCAAGTTCGTGTGTTTAGGGCGAAGTGAAGAAATTTGCAAAAATATAGTTCCTCATATGCTGTAGTCTGTAAGACAAATAAGAAATAAGTGCGTGCCTCAATTGTGACGAGAGACATTCAAGAACCACCAGAGTTCCCACCGAGTTCGAGTGCGTCAACCACAACATGGGAAAGAAAGTTCAGGCTCCAATTCAGCAGCGTGAGTATAAACTTCACCTCTTTATCCTCTTTTTTTGCTGTGCTGTACCGCTCGAAGTGTGTGTCCAAGAGTCTGGTAGGCTTTCGTTATGAAATACTGTGCTGATCGCCGGTCAGACAGACTGAGCGATAAAAACAAGAATATTTTTGAACATGAAGTGAAACAAATTACATTGTCTTTAATATCTGTTTCTAATTAATTTCACCATATTTTCTCGGCACAAAAACCATCATACAATTAACAAGCGTGGCGACCACGAGAGAGAGAGATAATTGTAAAATGGGGGGGCTTTTAAATAGCACCGAATTTCGAGTGAAGCGAGTGTCTGAGAGAGTGAAAACCACATCATAATTCAGTGGCTTTTCTTTTCTCAAAACACTTAAACAGTATATGAGATTGACTGATTGAAGATGATTTTCCACTCTGACAGACCTTTTCAACACTACGCAGTAGAATTAGCATTATGCTCGGTTATGATCTTCTGCGGAGGTGAAAGAGTGTTTTGAATATTTCCAAAACTTATGCTCTATGCGCGGAATATGAATGTGTCCAAAACAAACAACGCATTTTGAATTAGAAAACTGAGTCAAGAGTGCGGTACTTGAATTAATACTTAATTCATATGTATTTGTAAGAGATTTTGAATATTTCATAACGTAGTTTAGGGACAGATTGTTTGGTGTTTTGAAAGTGAAATTGAGACATTTAAGTGACACCATCACCTTGATATTTGAAATGATTTTCTTGTTTAACATGTTGAAATTATGTAGTTATGCACATTGAGTGAAATTCATTATCATTCACGATAGCGTATAGCATTGACAATGCATTAAAATCCTTGAGTTTGACTATTTATTTCGGAAATACTTCGATTACTTAAGCATAAACTCGCATATTTGATAATATCGCAGCTTAAAGATGAATGATAAGTCATGAAATTTAATAGGACGATTGATTTAGCTAGGAATTTCCAATGTCGATATACCAGTAGACGTGCATATTGATTTTCTCCTCCCATTGAAAGTTTTTTTTCCAACGTGTGAGACACTTGTGGGAATAATTGATAGTGAGAGATTTTCTGTTCTGAGAATTTCTCAAGATGCTCGTCACTCAATGAATTTGATGAATGTGTCAGAGTAAACAAGTTAATAATATTCGGCAGGAAAAAGTGAAGTTTCACACTGCTGAGTTGACAGTGTTTTGTTGATCTTGTATGCAAAGTACAGGGTGAAGGTTCTCAGTAAAGTTGCACTGTGAAAGTTGAGAAGGGCTGCTCGCATTTCCACGAGCTTGCGCAATTGTGACGGAGTCGCATGGAACTTTATTTACTTTCCAAGAACTTCCAAGGAAATTCTGACTATCTCATTGTCTCTTTCACATGCTCTTGCTTTCCATGGCAAGTGATTGAGATGGAAGTCCACGTGGATATTGAGGGGTAGATATTTCTGGATTATTTTTCAAAAAATTACTCATGACTTGACGAAATTTTTATGAGAATAATTCAAAGTAAATGTTCTCTAGTTTGTTAAGACTTGTGAAGCAATTGAATTGTATTGATATGAGTAAGATGAGCGAATGTGACCCAAAAATCCATATGTGACGAATGAGTCAGTGAAATTTCCATTTTCCCCAAATCAACCCCAAAGCTGAGTGTGCGTGCACTCGCGTGGTGTGATTCGGGGAGCCTGGAAAGGCCACAGAGTGAAAAGGGCTAGAGACAGTGAGAGTCTTGTCAGTTTTCCTTACGCTCTCGTGTTTGTATCGTCTCAAGAAGTCTCTGCAGAGTGACCAATTTTCTTTCCGAATCATTTCTCTTCGAGTCTGTCTTAATTTCTGAGCTATATTTTCCTGCTAGTAATCCACAAGTGATGTGAAACGGGAGGAAATTTGAGTGGAAATGTGCAATATTTTGGATTTCTGTGAACTCTGAGGTGGTGATAGAATGTCCATTTGAATGTTTTTAGTACCAGAAAATGAGATTTAGAAGGGGAATGACTGAAGATTCTTATAGAGTTTTTATATGAGACTTTTGGGTACTTTCTGTCTGATGGGTAGAAACACTAAGACTTTACTAAGGATTGTTTTATCGATTTTACACCCCCACAGAGAGAATTTGCGGAGGTTTCACCTTTAACTGTGTCGTCACTGTTTCTTTCTCTCAGATGTAAGAGAAATTCTTTATGAAAACGACGTGTGTGTGTGCACAAGTTGAGTGGAAATCGTATCAATTAGCTCAATATCGAGGAAATTGTAATGGCCATCAATTCTCTGCCACCCCACTTTTGGGCTCTCTCGTTTCAGGAGTGTGAGAGTTGAATGGGTGAAATATGACGGGTGGAGACTGAGAGTGAATTCAATCACAATTATTGACTTGACCAAATGGAGCAGCGAGGCAATCAAATCTATATTATTTAATAGGGTTGAGTGCCATTTCTCCCATCCAGGCGTGCTGTCTGGCATGCGAGAAACTGCGTGACGAGGAGATTATTCTCTCATCGCGCGAGATACATCAATATTTTCTCCGTTTCTATGGCAGAGACGCACATTGTCCTCAAACTCCCTCGCTTTTTCGCTCTCTTCCGCTGTACAACAGAAGAATTACTTATGCACAAGGACATTTTGGGGAGATGTTTTTGGGCACACGCCCAAAAAAAAAGTTTGTGTGTCTGTATTTTGCAACAATGATGTTGTATTTCCTGACATTGTCGCCCTTCAACTCTCATCCTCATGGCACTCTGTAGTTCCTTGTGTACAATGAATGTGAAAGTGAGAGGACGAAAAATCATTCATGACAAGTTTATTGAACTGTGAATGAAGTAATTTTCCTCTTGCATAAATTCACCCTTCCAATTGGTGGGAATGGAGACAGAAAGGAGGAACGCGGAGAGGAAGTCATTGGATGATGGGAATGTTGTGTGAAAAATTCCCCCAAATAGCTCAGTGGCGGTGGAATTGGGAGAGAATGATGACACGAAATTGAGGAATTAGGGGGGCGTGTGGGGTGGATGAATATAAAAAATATGTTGCTCGCGAGTCGAACGTGTTTCCTATCGATTTTACTCACCGAAAACACTTTCCCGAGGAAATTGTGTGAGTGTGACAGAGAGAATGTGTGCTTTTTGTATTGTTGGGAGAAAATTTCACGATGGATTTGTGGTGTGTGTTTGTCAAGCTTTTTTGGACTTTGAGATAAGGACACACACACGCTATCCTTAATAGAGTGCAGACTTTTGCGAAGCTGATAATCACACTTAATCAACTCTGGACACATTGTTTTAGCATGACACAATGAGGAAGGACAGGTGGAGGAATAAAATTCAGAAGGGAAACAGAGCGAAAGGAACATAACGAACGAGGGGTTTGAATAAATAGCCTTCGATAAATCTCCTACTGAAAAATTTATGTGAGAAATACAGCAAAGTGCGACGATTTCCAGCGCTTCACTTACTCTTATGCACCCTTTTTACATGCGGCGACAGGAAAGCATGTTTGTAATGATGATTCCTCAATCTGTCTTTGCAACAATAAAGTTGCAATTGCTGTTCGTTGACTACATCTTTCCTTGACTGTCTTGAGAGGAGAGTTTTAGGGTTCATGGCTTTGAGGGTTCAGCGGGGGTAAATGTGTAACAAGGAGAAATAAGCGTGACACAAACGTGTGATTGACACGTGTGGGTGGGATTTTGTATCAACAACAAGGACACGATATAAAAAATGCTGTGCTAGTGTATCAAATTTATAATTATTTGGGCGAAAGGTGGGATGAATAAGTAAAAGAAATGCCGAGCCCCGCCACTCAAATTGCATGAATTAGAGAGAGGATAGCAGTAATTTGTATATGTTTGTTGTGAGGAGATATTCTTGGAAATTGTGTTATTTGCCCTCAACTAAATAGATAAAGTGAAGAAAGAGAGAAATTACATGATTGAAGTTTTGGCCAAGATGAGGACTTTTAGCTTTGCTCAGTGCAATTTGCCGCTATGAATTGCGGTGAAAATTGTTACGCAACTTTTGATGAAATATTAATGAGAGACGAAGAAAGTTCAAATGAATACATTTCTTCGTGCGGACTGAGGCACAGACGCTGGCAGACATGAGTGGACTTGGAATTGCCTACTAGGAAAATCAATATTAAAGCCTCTGTAATTACCTTGTGACTGCTTATCAGTGAGGTTTATAAATCGTCAGAGGTTCTCCCGTATGGTGTGTAAATCTTCAGTCATTCTCAGAACTTAATCTCAATTATCATCCTGGCAATCGACCGCGCAGTGGGGCAACGGAAGTGACAGAGTGAATGAGAGAGATGACAGGACTCCTAGAGAGAGGCTCAGACTAAGTGTACCGCGAATCCCGAGTCGAGGGACAAGGGCAGTGAGTGTGAAGTGTGATGGGCGTGAGTGCCTGAGTCGGGGGCGAGAGAATGCTGAGCTCATCGTCGAAGGCTGTGGATGACACGGTGGAGTTGGAGGTGCTGGAGATCCGTGGCGATGGGAGTGGAGGCGGCGGTGAGGAGACGACGGAGGAGGATGACCTGAGAGCGTGTCAGTCGGCGGCGCCGAGTCGCAAGAAACGATTCCGCAAAATGGGTCGTCGCAAGTCCAAGACTCAGAGCTGTGGCAGCCTCTCGAGTCTCACGTCATTGCGTGGGGCTGCGGCCGGTCACATTTCCGAGTCTGATGTCAATTACTCGCCAGAACCGGCGGGTGTGGTGAAGTTTGCCGGGCGCATAGTGTCCAAGGAGGAGCGCGAGAGGACGGGCGACTCGCGAATGCATCCACCAAGTGCCACGTCAACTCTGTCCACTGGCCCACCGCCCCCGGGGCGACTCAGGATGTCCGTGGTGTCTGTCCTGGGGAAGCTCGGCGTCATCAGGCGCACCAGCAAGTCGGCAGGCAGTGGCGAGGGGCGTTCAGCACCGGAGAGACCATCTCTGGTGTCATCATACTTTCGACCATTTCTCTTTAGCGGTACACATACGCACAGCAATTTATTCTTTAACTCCCTCACAGCTGATGAAACCCCACCAATCGTGATAACATATTCATGAGCTCCACCTTCAAATGAGCAGTTAAAGTTTCAAGACGAAAAGGCCGAAATCTCTAACACCTGCCCTCCTCTCTTGTCTTTCCAGAAAACGAACGTAGAATACGAGCAAACGATAGAGAATACAATTCACAATTCAAATACGCTGTAAGTACATATATTATTAAACACATTGTTGAGAGATTGATTTCTCAACGTCTTATTTCTTGTTCTTTCTTGCCTCTCTTATAGAATAATTACATCAAAACGTCCAAATATACACTTCTCACGTTTCTACCATTGAATCTCTTGGAGCAATTTCAACGTCTTGCCAATTTTTATTTCCTCTGTCTCTTGGTACTCCAATTGATACCCGCAATATCATCATTGACGCCAATAACCACGGCGATACCGCTAATTGGTGTATTGATGCTGACAGCGGTGAAGGATGCATATGACGATATTGTGAGTATATATTTTGATGGAATTGAGAGCAAATATGTGCTCAACAAAAATCATAAAAGCAGACAATGCAAACGGTGCAATTAGGTATGAGTTTTGCAAATGGATAAATCATAAAATACTCAAAGATAGAGTAGTAAAACGTTCCAGGGTTGGGTTTTTTAGTTGAAAAATCGTGTAAATTCAACATTTACTCAAATTTTTAGTGGATTCTCCATACAATGTCTTCACATTGTTTTCACTTGTGAGGAACCAATAAGTTTTACTGGATAATTTTATGAGCTCTTAAATGTGCTCGCGAGGCGCCCTAAAAGTTTCTCTAGTCTCAAGGCTGATCTGTTTTATGATCCTGCATGAGAAGGTGAAACATTGTGGACTGATTCCTTTTGTCTGTGTGCTTGATTTTCTCTGGCAGCAACGACACATGTCGGATTCGCATGTGAACAATCGCAAATCGAAGACACTGCGAAATGGCAAGCTGGTGGATGAGCGATGGTCAGGAGTGCAAGTGGGCGACATCATCCGGATGGAGAACAATCAGTTTGTCGCCGCGGACATTCTGCTGCTGTCATCGAGTGAGCCCAACGGGCTGTGCTTCATCGAGACGGCAGAGTTGGATGGTGAGACGAATCTGAAGTGCAAGCAGTGCCTCGTGGAGACGGCAGAGATGAGTCAGCACGATGAATTGCTGGGGAAGTTTAACGGGGAGATCGTGTGTGAGCCGCCAAATAATCTGCTGAACAAGTTCGAGGGGACACTGATGTGGAAGGGACAGAAGTTTTCGCTGGACAATGAGAAGATTCTGCTGCGCGGATGCGTCCTCAGGAATACGCAGTGGTGCTATGGAGTTGTAGTGTTTGCCGGCAAGGATACGAAGCTGATGCAGAACTCGGGAAAGACCAAATTTAAAAGTACAAGCATCGATAGATTACTCAATTTTATTATTATTGGTGTAAGTATATGGTGATGAGTGGACACGTGCTTTTTCTATGAAGCTTCAAATCTAATGCATCTCTCTATATTGCTTGCAGATTGTGTTTTTTCTCCTCTCCATTTGTGCTTTCTGTACCGTCGCTTGTGCAATATGGGAAGGACTCGTTGGACAGTATTTCCAGAAGTACCTACCGTGGCCGTCTATTATTCCCAATGGTACAATTCAAGGAGCCACCGTGATTGGTTTACTAGTATTTTTTTCATATGCTATCGTTTTAAATACGGTTGTGCCAATATCTCTCTACGTTTCAGTAGAGGTAAAGAGAGTGTTCGCATTTTCTTGTTTACAATTCAATGAGATCTGAATGATTTGTGTACGTTTGCAGGTAATAAGATTTGCCCAGTCATTCCTGATAAATTGGGACGAGAAGATGCACCACAAGAAGACCAACACGTCGGCCAAGGCGAGGACAACGACGCTGAATGAGGAGCTGGGACAGATTCAGTACATCTTCTCAGACAAGACAGGGACACTCACGCAGAATATTATGACGTTCAACAAGTGCAGCATCAATGGCAAGTCATATGGTGATGTTGTGGACACGAGAACGGGTGAAATTGTCGATTTGGCTGATGTGAGTATGAAAACATCACTTCTTACTGCAATTAATTCTATGCACAAGTTCGATTCAGTTGTGTTTCTCGTTCGTGGAATTGATATGATGTTTTTTTAGTCTAGTTTTTAGTATTGTGAGAAAAAATTCATTGATTCTCACTGGTTCAAGGGAATGTTAATAGAGAGAAAGAGAAAGAGAGAGATTGATCAGTAGATTGATATCGAGAGGAGAGTTGTATTGTGTTTTGTTAGGGAGAAAAAAAACATGGAGTAATTATCGTTGATAGCAACAATTAGAATAGATTTATTCTTAATTTACATGGTTTGTTTTTCGCCTTACAATGTATTTCTTTGTGAATCAATATGCATAAGTATTGAAAGCAGAATTTGAGTGATTTTGAACTGTACATACATAGTTTCTTGCGTTTCTTGATAGAAGCTTGATAAGCAGTAGTTCATATTGATATTTTTTAACTATTTGTTTATGTTGAATTATCTAATTTAATTTTTTATCACTTTGAAAAACGTTATTAGACAGTTTGTTTATTTATTTATAATAAGTGGACAAAGTAGAACAGATTTTATGCTGAATGGGTGGAAACTTGAGGAGAATAGTGAGTGGCTTTAGAGTGTGTGTTATTTGTTGTCCTCTGTGTAAAAAACAAACACAAATGTAACAAATGTCTCTCCTTTCTTCACTTCTTGGATCCACCAACACTGCACATACAAAAACTCGATCTCTGGGTGTTGTTTTAATGTCCTGGGACACACAATGGCATAACCAATTAAATCAAATGGTCCAATCTCCCTTCACAACACACATCGCGCAGCCCCCATTCGCGGGCGGAGCGTCAATTGTGGTGGCATGCGGTGGGCGAAAGGCATCGCAAGTTGTTGGTGCGAGGATGGCGGCCAAGTACCGCAAGGCATCGGCAAATGTGGTGCACAACAACAATCGTCAGCATTCACACCAACCCAAATTGCCTCTGCAAATCAATTACAATCCAAACGACACTTTTACGCACACAATCCCCAATTCTGGACTCAATCACCACGAGGGAGTGCATGTAATGCATGATTATGAATTGTTTTTCTCCAAGAGAATTTTCTTGTCTTTGTGTTTCTGTTTCTAAAATCATGAGATTTTTCTGCCTGAAGATTTTTTTGTGAATCGAGATACACAAATTGATTGATTGAAAAGGTGAAGATATGTGCGATTCCATGGCCATTCTGTAGATTGTCCCAATTATGCAATGATAATTCATAATATTGATTGTAAATAAATTTGTAGAAATTGTATTTATAGATCTGAAAGAGAGAGAGAGAGAGAAAGGATGAAAGACACTGAAATATTTATGCACAAAGTATATACACACTTTTCCATGCACAATTTCAATCAGTCAACAATAAATGATATAATTTATCTTATCCTTCAAACAATTTCTGTTTAACATCTGTTTTTGTATTTGTGTTTCTCTCTGAAGACCAATTTGCTTTTCAGTTGCACAGAATACGACAAAACTCTATCGATTCACAGTCAAAATTAGCTTCTTACAAGAAATAACTCTTGCTGTGTGTGTCTAAATGCCTGTCTAATAAGAAGTCTAATGATTTATTTCGCAATTTCAGGTTGCAGATCCCATAGATTTCTCCTTTAATCCTGAGTTTGAGCCAGAATTCAAGTGGTATGACCAGAATCTGTTGGACGCCGTGAAGATTGATGAGGAGAATGTGCACAAATTTTTCCGATTGCTCGCTCTGTGTCACACTGTGATGCCTGAGGATAAGAATGGACGTCTTGAGTATCAAGCTCAGAGTCCCGATGAATCGGCCCTCGTCTCGGCGGCGAGGAATTTTGGCTTTGTCTTCAAACACCGAACACCAAATACGATAACTATTGAAATCAAAGGGAGCGTTGAGGTGAGTTCTGAGCGTCTTTCGAATGAGATGAGAGTGTTTAATTGGAGGAAATGATGTCGTTGCAGGAGTACGAGTTGTTGAGCATTTTAGATTTTAATAATGTTAGGAAGCGAATGTCCGTGATTGTTCGACGCAACAATAAAATACTGCTTCTCTGCAAGGGAGCTGACAATGTGATATACGATAGATTGGGACCGGATCAGATTGAAATGAAGGCGAGGACGCAGGAACATTTGAATGTGAGTTGAACGGGGGATGTGGTGAATGGCAGCGAATCGATGACTGTTGATTGCCTTTGCAGAAGTTCGCCGGGGAGGGTCTTAGAACGCTGGTGCTGGCCGAGAGGTATTTGGATCAGGAGTTCTTCAATGGATGGCGAGCACGTCAACAGGAGGCCGCACTGTCGATGGACGGGCGAGAGGACAAATTGGGCGCAATTTATGAGGAGATTGAGTGTGACATGATGCTGGTGGGCGTCACGGCGATTGAGGACAAATTGCAGGATGGAGTGCCACAGACCATTGCCAATCTGCAGACGGCGGGCATAAAGATTTGGGTGCTGACTGGTGACAAGCAAGAGACGGCCATCAATATTGGCTACTCATGCCAATTGCTGACCGACGAACTGGTGGACGTGTTTGTGGTGGACGGTGTGACACTGGACGAGGTGGAGCAGCAACTCAGGAAGTTCAAGGAATCCATCAAGATAATCAACACCTATCATCCGGGTGGTAAGACACTCTTGATCTCATCCTCATTGCAATGATAATCTATAGTGCAATTCTGTCTTTTTAGGCGTCTACCACAATAACATCGCCACTGCAAATGGTGGAAACAACTCCACTGTGACCATTGAAAATCTACGCCACAATGCAGCTCCACCCGCAATCTCCGTCGTCACTTTTAGGTGGGACTCAAATAAGCGAAATAGGGGCGCACCAGACAGGTAGAGAGGCCTTCGAAAGACCACGACTTTATTGCCGAATCAAGAGACTCTTCTTAGCTCTTGCAGAATTAATTCCCTCGCTCCTGACTAGTAGATAGTGGCAGTAGATGCTCTGAAATTCCTTTAGTTCCACAATGTAGATTAATATCCAGCGCTCCTCAATCTCCTTCTGTGTGCTGTCTTTACGGTGAAGAGCATTCCAGGAGATTGAACACCTCGCAGGAATGCTCTTTGCAGACTCCTTCACACAAACACAGTTTATTTTTAATTTAACAATCAGAATGCAACAGAACGTGATTTATTGCGCTTTTAATATGCGATGTAGAACAACACACGAATATTTGTGCTATTGAATGCCGCAAGAGGCATTCAATAGCGCATTCGTGTCCTTAGGAAGCTTTATTTGAAAAAAAATTACTTTCTTAGTTTTGTATATAATTTAAAATCAGGAATGTTGCGATTAGCGGAAGAAAACAGTCTTTTTTACTTATTATTTACACCATACACGAGACACACAAAATATAACTCACAGAGAGCACTTGAAACAAAGTCCTAAAACACTGACAAATTTGCCACTTTCCTCAATGTACTCTAACACAATCTCTTCCTGGTAATCTAATCATATAGTCGATAGAAACTGAGAAAGACAAATTTCTCCCTGAGGTAAAGATATTCTTCTTGTACTATTAACTCTCCTCCATTTGGAGAAATGTGATGTAGTTTCGCTCTTTTTCCCCCTTTCAATAGTGGTGAATAATGAAATAGAGTGTTAATAATTTAGTGGCAGAAAATATTAGAGATTACATTTCTTTATGATGATGATGATGAGAAAAAGGAAAACCTTGTGGTCCTCTCTATTCGTCTGCTTGGTATGCCCAAAAAAAAGTATTTAGAGAGAAAAGAAAGTGAGTTCTCGTAGGAAGTAGAAATTTCTGGCTTTATATTACTTTTTCCATACATCATTTAACAGTTTTTTTTTTCTCTATGTGTTTCATATAATTTTCTATGTTGTATCTTTTCCTTGGTCTCTTTTGTGTTTCTTCTGTTCAAATCCGAGTGATTTGTAGTGTTGTTGATTTTATGTTGTTGATCTAATAATCCACAGAGACACTTTTTTGTGATGTTGTTGTTTTATCTCTCTCTCTCTTAACGCCTAGACTAACTCCTTTTTGCGTGCACAAATCACTAGTTTTTGTTGAGAATTTGTAGAGAGATTGAGAAGTGGGTATGTTTATGAGTCTTATTGGGCGTTTGTGTGGTTGTCTTTGCAGTGCTGAGTGCGATCAGATCTTCGATGGGGGTGAAAAGGGACCGGCGGCAACTTCGACGGGTGCGACGGACCTCGATGAGAATACGGGTTTCGCCATTGTGATCAATGGACACTCTCTGGTGCATTGTTTGTCACCGGAACTGGAGGATCGCTTCCTGGACGTTGCGTCCAACTGCAAAGCCGTGATCTGTTGTCGTGTCACGCCATTGCAGAAGGCCATGGTCATCGAATTGATAAAACGTGCCAAAAATGCCGTCACTTTGGCCATCGGGGATGGCGCTAATGATGTTTCAATGATCAAAGGTGGGTTTGAGTGGGAAGATTTCTTTGATTTGCTGGATAAATGATTCTTCTGTTGCAGCTGCCCACATTGGTGTCGGCATTTCGGGTCAGGAGGGAATGCAAGCGGTCCTGGCCAGTGACTACTCGATCGCCCAGTTTCGCTACCTGGAACGCCTCCTACTCGTCCACGGCAGATGGTCATACTATCGCATGTGCAAATTCCTGCGATATTTTTTCTACAAGAATTTTGCCTTTACCTTGTGCCATTTCTGGTTCGCCTTCTTCTGTGGCTTCAGCGCACAGGTTAGACGCAATATACGATGGAAATTTGTCATTCAACTAAACTGCTGAATTGCCTTTTTTTAGACGGTGTTCGATCCAATGTTCATCTCCGTGTACAATCTGTTCTACACATCACTCCCAGTGTTGGCTTTGGGTGTCTTTGAGCAGGACGTGTCGGATAAGAACAGCCTTGAGTATCCCAAACTCTACACGCCTGGAATCATGAACTCTCTGTTCAACACCACCGAATTCATCCGGAGCGTTCTGCACGGTATCTTCAGCTCACTCGTCCTCTTTCTCATTCCCTACGGAACGTACAAGGATGGAGTGTCGCCCGATGGCTTCGTTCTCAGTGATCACATGCTTCTGGGCTCCGTGGTGGCGACCATTCTCATTCTGGACAACACGGCGCAGGTAAGAAGATGAACTTCCTTATTGTGTTCGTGGAAATGTGAGAGTAGGATTTCACTCACTGCCTTGCAGATTGCCCTGGACACTTCGTACTGGACAGTGTTCAATCACATCATGGTGTGGGGCAGCGTCGTGACGTACTTTGTGCTGGACTACTTCTACAACTACGTAATTGGCGGTCCGTATGTGGGATCCTTGACACAAGCGATGAAGGAGCCCACGTTCTGGTTCACCACTCTCATCTCTGTGCTGATGCTGATGGTGCCCGTGATGGCGTTCCGCTTCTACTTCGTCGATGTGTACCCAAGTCTGTCGGACAAGGTGCGACTGAAGCAGCGAATGGCCCAGATGCGATCCAGACAGTCGACAGATGTGCTCAGAACACCGTCAGCGCGACGAGCAAGACGATCTCTGCGATCAGGCTATGCATTTGCACACCAGGTGAGTACACTTCGCGTCTCGCCAGTGTTTGCCACGAATGGATGGTAATGCTTTTGGGTGATGATGTCTTGCAGGAGGGCTTTGGGCGACTTATCACATCTGGGAAGATTATGCGAAAACTGCCACAGGACTTCGCCTTTCCGCTGGGATTGGGCAGCAGTCGGAAGCAGCACGCGATCAACCATCAGGACTCGGTGAATCACAACAATCACAGCAAGCAACAGCAGCAGCATGTGAATCTGCCGGGCAGTTCCAACGGCGGCGACGCTAGTCCACGAGCTCCTTGTCAGGACTTGGATACCATAAATTTGTAGTTTTGTATACGCTTTGTCACATACACACACACACACATAAACACACACTTTCTGGGATGGGAAATTGGAGGTAGTTTTCTAGAGCTCCACATTTTGAAGGGGGGAACTTAATAACTTTCTCTATCGTCTTTATGGTTAATCGCTGTATATAATGGCGAGGTTAAACTCTCTTTTGTGATTTTAGTTTGTAGTGAGAGAAGCGCTGAAGAAGCTTATTTTTGTTACTTGTACATTACTTTTCTATCTAGTGGTTTTTAATAATGAAATACAGAATTATGTGGCAAAGGAGAAGATGTAGGATAGATATTTTTCCTTTTATATTGCATACATGAAATGTGGAATTATTTATTGTCAAGTCTCACACACCCACACACACACACTTCTCACAAAAAATGTATTTCCCTTCACGCCTTCACGAGAGAGAGAGAGAGAGAGGAGAAGAAATCGAGAAATCCTTTAAGAATAGAAGTCACTCTGAAGAAGCCTTGTATAAGTTGTTATTAGGTATTAGAGAAAACATGAAGTATTTGCTCTTTATGATGATGATACTTGATTGTAAAGAGGAACAGGAACAATGAGAAATTCCTTTCTTTTTGAGAATATCTCTCAAACACGAAATAGTGTTTACTCAGGAATTGAAAACAGTTGATGCTACTTGGCAAATTGTTGTTCTTTTATAAGCGAAACGGAAGCGATTAAAGAATAAGTGAGGAATTATTAAATGTTACATACATAATTTCAACAGATCTTTATTTTCTATTTGCCAGGATTTTCCTTATTTAATATGAAATCAATATTAGGAACGCAAGGTTTGAAAGATGAACAAACAGAAACATGTAAAGAACGTACTCTAAGTGAAACATTTGGCCTTTTAGCGAAAATGCGCATCGTGAGAAAGTGAGAGAATATTTATTGAAGCAAAAATTAAGAAGAGCATGTTTAGAGAATCTCTATGAATGTTGATGAAATTTCTTTTCTTTATTACAAAAAAAAAGGATATTTATATACCAGGCGGGGTGCGATTGAGGTCAAAATAGCAGCCAATTTTGAGCTAATATCTCTCGATTTTTTGTGCAAAATGCGCCCCTCTAATCCATGTTACCAATTAACTAATGAAGTTGCAAGGAATATCTGTAGGAGAGTCTATTGAAAGTTACTATATTACGCATCGTAAATTAGCCCTGCAAAAAACCCCATGAGTAATTAAAAAAAAAATCAAGAAGTGTATTTATGAAACATTGCACCATGTTTTCATGTCAGGAACGATCCAATATGTAAAGTGAATTTATGAAGAAATAGTAGCTTTTTAACAAGTGAAGGAGGAAATGGAGATAAATGACAAGAGAATCAAATTAGATGCCGAACCAAATAAAAGAAATATACTACTTATAGGTAAATTTAGATATTTTAGATGATAACGTAAAATACTTAAGAGATATCTGAATGCACTGAAAGTGGTACTTAAACAATTTACTGCTCTTTTTCTCTGTTTATTTTTTATTATACCTGTTTTTTTGTAACAGAGATTTTCTGGTGGATAAAAAAAAACATGTCCAAGAAGTAAGAATGTTTTATTTTTTTCTCCTGAAACAGTATCAATGTGGAATACTATGAGAACAGCAATTCTCCAAATGATCATCTCTATAAATTTCCGTATAGCAAGAATAATCACTGGTTTTAAGCGTATTGTCGTCAAAATTGGAGCCTCTTCGGGACGCTGCCTTCAGTGACTGAACTGGCGAGCTTCCGCTTGAGGTTGGGCTTCTCATCGGCGGTCTTCTGCGTGAGTGAGGTCGGCAGGGGCAGCTTGGATCCCACCGTGGGAGCGGGTTTGTTGGTGAAGTAAGGCATTTGCAGAGCTTCTGTGCACGTGCATCGGTTGGCCGGGCACAGAGCGAGCAGCTTCTCGGCCAGATCCAGCAAATCATCCGCCGCGGCCGTGAAAATGTGCCTCAGCGGCGTCCCGGGCATCGGTTTGAACTGCATGAAGTCCGGGAGTGTGTTGACGGAGGGCCAGTTCTCCTCAGTGGGTGTCCCCAGAGCTTGGAAGATCTTCGAGAGCTGATCCAGGTCGGTGTCGCCGGGCAGGAAGGGGATGCGCAGCAGCAATTCCGCCAGAATGCATCCCACTGCCCAGATGTCCACGCCAGTGCCGTACTGCCGGGCGCCAAACAGCAGTTCCGGACACCGGTACCACCGCGTGACCACTTGATGGGTGTTTATTCGATTGGGCGAGCCAAAGAACTTGGCCAGACCGAAATCGCCAATCTTCAGCACGCCATCCGCATTCACCAGTAGATTGTTGGGCTTCAGATCTCGATGAAGGATCCAATTCTCGTGCAGATACTCCAGGCCGCGCAGTGTCATGATCATGTATGCCTTCACATGGGCCGGCGTGAGCATGATTCCCGTATCCTTGATGATCACCTCCAGGTCTGTGTCCATGAAGTCGAACACGAGGGATACGTTGGACTTGTGGCCAAAGACGTCGAGCAATCCGATCACGTTCTCATGGTGTAATTCCAGGAGAAGCTTAATCTCCCTCAAGGCCGTCCTGTTGATGCCATCCTGCGCCTCCTCGCGACTGCCAATCTTGATCTTCTTCACAGCCACTATGCGATCAGTGTCCACATCGCGTGCCTTGTACACTGTGGCGAACTGGACAGCAAGTAGAAGAGAAGAACTCCATCAACTTCGTTCGGGTGTTGCCAACAGGGGATTAAATGGGTTTCTCACCTGACCCTCGCCCAGAAAGTCCAATTTCTCATACTTATTCTGCCTCACCTCCATTGCAATTACCTAAAACACCTCTAATCACACAAGATCTGCAATTTATAGGAAGCTGTGGCAGTTTCTCAAGAACATCAACATGCGGATATGCGATGCTCCCGGACGACAAGTCAATTGTATGTGTTCACATTCAGATGTCGCGACTGAATCACTCGTACAAAACTTAACGAAAGTGGCGCTGTCATCATTGTTGATGTCCCACTTTGTCAGCTGGTCAGGAGTCTCCAGGAAACCAGTGAGAATCTCAAAGAACAATGTCTAGCAACTACTATTTTGCCATTGTGGGCCACAATGACAATCCCATCTTCGAGATGGAGTTTGCCAGTTCCAACAAAGAACAGAAGGTAAGCGAGAAGTGAGAGTTATTCCAAACCAGTATCAAATTGATTTCTTTGACTCGCTGCAGAAGGAAGATCATCGGCATCTGAATCAATTCATCGCTCACGCCGCCTTGGATCTTGTGGATGAGCACAAGTGGAAGACCAACAACATGTACATCAAGTCGATAGACAAATTCAATCAGTGGTTCGTCTCTGCCTTCGTCACGGCCAGTCACATGAGATTCCTGATGGTGCACGACACGCGGAACGACGAGGGCATAAAGACCTTCTTCATGGAGATGTACGAGAGCTACATTAAGCACTCCATGAACCCCTTCTACACGAAGAACACGCCCATCCGCTCGGCGATGTTCGACAAGAAGGCCCAGCTGTTCGGGCGAAAGTACCTGGTTTCCTGAGGTCTGGGGGAACTGATCAACTTCTAACTCCAAGCGGAATTTATTGAACATCTGCGCTCGTGACACTATTCCAAATAAATTATAATCCTGTTTTCTCAAAGATCCTCGTGGAAACGGGTTAAAATCTAGCGGTGAAATAGAGAATATGTGCAAGTTATTTGAGACGGCTGGCAATCTACTTCTTGCGGCTTCCTTCGCGCTTCTCGCCATCCTTCTGGATCTTGGACTTGAGATGATCCTTGTAGTCCAGGATGTTCCCCTTCCACTTGGTTACAGTTGTGTTTTCGCACACCCAAATTTCCTCGGCCACCTGTAAAGTGAAGAAAAACAGTGATGTCATTGCTCTCTACTTTCTCCAGAGTATTCAGCGTCAACTCACCTGATTGATGAGCCTGAAGTCGTGGCTGACCAGCACCATTCCGCCCTCGAAGTCATTGATGGCATCCGCCAGCGCGTCAATTGTCTCCATGTCCAAGTGATTAGTCGGCTCGTCCAGGAGCAGCAGATGCGGCGATTGCCAAGCCAGCCAGGCAAACACCACGCGGCACCTCTGGCCATCCGACAGCTGCCTCATGGGACAAATCTGCTGGCGCCCCGTCAGCCCATACCGCCCGATGATCTTACGCATCTCCTCGCGCTCCTTCACCTCCGGAAACGCCCGCATCATGTACTCCAGCGGACTCACGTCCAAGTCCAGCAGCTCATGCAAGTGCTGATGGTAGCGCGCGATGCGCAAGTGGGAATTTTTCCTAATCATGCCCGCCGACGGCACCAAATCCCCGTACAACAATTTCAGCAGCGTACTCTTGCCGGCCCCATTGGGTCCCACCAGTGCGATCCGCGTGTCCAGGTCAATGCCAAACTCAAGATTCTTGTAAATGTAGGGCGAAGCGTCGCTGTAGCGGAAGCTCACATTCTGAACCATAATTACGGGCGGCGGAATCTTCCCGCACGAGGGGAAGTAGAAGTTGAGCGTCTTGTCGTCCACCACCTTCTCCGTGAGTCCTTGCGCCACCATCTTAGCCAGCGTCTTCTCCTTGGACTGCGCCTGGCGCGCCAACTTGGCCGATCCGTGTCCGAAGCGTGCAATGTAGTTCTTCATGTGCGCTATCTGATCCTGTTCCCAGTTGTACTGCTTCATCTGATTCTCCAGCAACTCCATGCGCGTCTTCACGAAAGCCTCATAGTTGCCAGTGTAATACTTGAGTCGCTTCTTCGTCATATGAATGATGTTTGTGCACACGCCGTTGAGAAAGTCCTGCGAGTGGGAGATTATCATGAGGATTCGCTTGTAGGACTTCAGCTCCTCCTCTAGCCACACGCACGCGTCCAGATCCAAGTGATTCGTCGGCTCGTCCAGCAGCAGGAGATGAGGCTTCACGTACAGTGCCCTCGCCAGGGCGATTCTCATCCGCCAGCCACCAGAGAAGTCCTTAGCCGGCTTCTGCTGCATCTCCTTCGTGAATCCCAAGCCGTGCAGGATGCGAGCTGCTTTCGGCTCCGCCTGGTCCGCCGACATGTCATCCAGGCGATCGTACACATCCATCAATTGCTCCTGGGACTCATCGTCCTCACACTGGGCCAGATCTTCGGCTAATTTCTCCAACTTAATGCGCTCCTCGTCCACCTCCATCACGCACTGCAGCGCAGACTTGGTGCTGGCCGGAATCTCGCGCGTCAGATGGAAGATGTCAATGTGATCCGGAATGGGCACTTCGCGATTCCCCAGTACTGACAGCAGCGAGGACTTGCCGCACCCATTAAGCCCGATGATCCCATAGCGACGGCCACAATTGAGTTCCAGCATCGTGTCCTGCAGCAGTTCACAGCCAAAGAAAGTGATGGAGAAGTTGGCCAGCTTGATGTCCCTGGAGCGCGGATGGAGGGCCATGGTGCCGGTACAGGCTCTCGCGTCCGCGCTGATGCGCGCCTCCTCGTCCAACTTCGCACACAGGCGCTCCTCTTCCGTCATCTCAGTCACCGTGCCATTCGACGTGCTCCCATTCGGCGGCGAGGGCTCCTTCTTGTCCGCCCCACCGGAGCCCGACTGACCAGCCTTCTGACGATTCTTCGCGGCCTCCTTCTTGCGCTGCGCCTCGCGTTTCTTCGCTTCAGACGGCATTCTCCAGACGAGTCTACAGAGATCCGGACAGACAGAAAATTAGGTTAGGATTCTCCTTTGTGGCGTTGCTTTTGCTCCTCTCTCAACTCTCAGATCTCAAACCACACCACCCCACCAAATTTCATTGACCCCAATCACACAATCAGAAGCTCAGGATGCACAAAATGTGTGGGAAGAAGACTTCTGAGCTAATCGATGGAATTTTCACGCCGAATTTGGTGAAAAAAATTATTGATCCAACAGAGCGTCTCACAGTACCTTTACGAATAGGAAAACTATATAAAACAGTGGCCAAGACACCCAGGAAACACTTAACACGCTTTTCACAAAGAGTTCTTTGCGCGGAATTACCTAATTATTGGCTAAAATAAATATATTAAATTTTCACGTGGATTCTGTGGAATTTTCCCTCTGTCACTGCCACACGCCATCCACAATCTGGCAACCCGAATCTCGAATAGGCCTTTCGGAATGTTCAACAATTTAATGGCGGCAAATTCAGATACAAGTCACATAATAAAGTATTCATTCAAATTCAGATACAGAAACTCATCCCACAGAAAATTTTTTCAGATGCTTTGGCTCCTGGCTTTCTCTCTGGCTTACTTCCTGGTCCTGAGGGAGCGCGTTGGAGCATCATCAGCCGACACCTTGGCAGCCTTTCGCCCTCGCGTCTTGCTTTCAGTGCTTACGCTGGACTTGGTAGACTAAAAAATAACAAGTTTATTAGACACCAAAAGGAGAAAGTAAAAGGTAGATTTTTACCTCGACACTAGCTGCCCGTTTGCCACGCGAAGACTTGCTGATGCGACTGCTCTTTGATTTCACAGATTCAGGAGTGGACTTCTCGCTCTGGACTGACTCCTGGTCACTCCCGTTATCATCTCCTGCAGCAGACGCCTTCCTCCCTCTTAGTTTCCTCACTGGATATGCTGGAGCAGCCTTGGACACCTTCTGCATGAGAGCCAGTTGCTTCCTAGTCAGTCGCCGAGTCTGAGTGTACTCCGGCACATCCTCAGAATCCTCCTCTTGGATGTCTGGCTCCGTTGGCTGCTTCGAAGATGCCCTGATATTGCGTCTCTTCGTCACACCACTTGTGTCCACTTTCGATTCATCCTCAGAATTCACCTGATCAGTCGAGCGAGCGCGGCTTCGAAGGTTCTTGGAAGGAGTATCATCCTGGACATCAACAGAGGAAGTCGATCCCAGCCTTGAGCGTGCGCGCTTCGCCGGGGTGCGCTTTGCTTCTTCCTTCTCCGGAGTTCCCAATGGCGTCTTGGATCGTGCTCTAGTGGATCTCTTCACTTCAGGATCCTCACTTTGTGCCCTACGCATCCTGGACGCTGGCCCTGGACTATCCACATTCTCCTGAGGAGGCTTCGAACGCGCTCTGGTACTGCGAGGATTTGCAGGACTCTCAGTCTCCTCCAAGACAGAGGAGCGCCTTCTGGTCATCACTCTCGTTGGAGCGATTTCCTTGCTCTCAGAAGTAGCCCTGGATCTTGAGCGCGTTGTCTTCACCTTCGGCTCAACCTCCTTCACGTCCACGGTCTCATCCTGAGAAATCTCCTCCGGAATAATAGACATCTTGGGCACAGAAGCAGCTCGAGTATTTCTTTTTACGGTCTCCTTCGCTTGCACCTCCTCCGTGGATGACGATCTCTTCCTTCCCTTGCTAGATGAAGCGACTCTGCCTTTGTTCTTTCGCACTGGTCCGCTCACTTTGACTTCGTCATTTTCTGACTCGATTTTGTCCTCCACTTTTTCCCTTGAAGGGCCAGGATTTTCACTCAATTCTACTTCCTTCGATGTCGTGTCAGGAATTTCCTGATGATGATCTCCCGGGACGGCGTCATCAGCCAATTTCACAGGGTCTGAAGGTTTATCAGTCTCTTGAATCTTTTCATTATCGACTTCCATTTCTTGGTCAATAGTTTCAGGAGAAGGATCAACTTCCATGGCTTCTTGGTGGTCATCATGACCTTCAGGGTGTTCGAGATCAACTGAAGTTGTGTCAGGAGTTTCTTGAACGGCGTCAACACTCAGTTTCACAGCTTTCGACTGTCCAAGAGACTCCTTGTCGTCTTGCGTTGTTAGATAAGCAAATTTCGGGGGAGGAATTACTTCAAAGACCTCTTTTCGCTCTTCTTGAACAAGATTAACTGCAACTTCACCCACAACTGCTTCCTGTACACTACTAATCTCTTCTGTTGTCTGATAAGCAAACTTAGGCGGAGGAATAACTTCAAATACCTCCATCTTCTCACCTTCAGGACCTTCAACCGTTTCTGTGTTTTCCTCCAGTTTGGAAGTTCCCTGCACTGGTTCTATTGTCAGAGGGTGATCTTGAATAGACACCGCTTGATCCACTTCAGACCGTTCCTCCTGAATGTCACTTTTGCTCTCCACTTGTGTGCAAGATTTGAAGGAAATATCTTCCTCATCTTCTTCATCATAGATAATTCCCTTCTCCATCTCATTCAGCGTGGATTCTTCAGCCACTGACGGCGCCTCTTCGGGAAACATGCCTTGCGACACCTCATTGGGATAAACCGTCGTGATAAGCGTTCCAGTATTCAGCACTTCCATCGATGGCTCCTCCTCAATTGGCTCCAAATCGGCCGGCGAGAAGACAGTGTCCATCAAAACTGCCCTGTTGTGCGTCTCCTCAGCTGAATTCACTTCTCTCACTTCGAATGACTCACTGTACGAAGAGACTGTTGTCATGAGCACTGCCTGGTTGTGCATCTCTACCATATCCTCCACCACAGGCGTTTGATTAGACTCTCCCTGAGTTTCAGAAGGGCTCTCAATAAGCAGTGCATAGTTGAGAGCATCCTTCGAGCCTTGAGACTCTTCCTCTTCAATCTCCAAATTGGCGTACAACTCATGCGACTGGATCTCCTGATTGGGAGCCTGTGGCTCTTCCTGAATATTCAGTTCATCTGTCTCCTCAACCGTGTGTCTGACCTCCTGTTCAAAATGACGATCCTCATCCTCAGAACTATCCAGAATATCAATCACTTCATCACTGATAATTGGCACTCTCATCGGCACTGACTTCTGCACCACCTCTTGCATCTCTTCCTCATCTGACACTATGTAATCACTCTCCCCCGATGATTTCTCCTTTAGCTGATCATCATCTTCATGAAAAAACTTATACGCCTTCGCAACTTGCTCGGCTTCTTCGTCACTCTCACTGTCCTCGGATCCACTCTCATCCTCCTCATCATCGTCCTCTTCTCCCTCAATTATCTCCTCCCCATTCTCTTCTTCTGTACCTTCCTCGGCTGACTCTTCGTCCACCTCTTCTTCACCACTACCAAGTTGCTCCTGCTCTTCTTCCTCCTCTTCCGAATCGGACGACCTTGTGTTGGATAGAATCTTCTGCAAATGCTTCTGGGCAAACCTCACGGCTGGATTGAGAAGGAGTCTCTTCGGTGGCGGCGGAGTGTCATCCTCACTCTCTTCCTTCTCCTCAGACTGCATTGACGATTCTCCAAGATCATCTTCCTTGGCCTCTTCAACAGCTTCCTCTTTCTTGGCCACTTCAACAACTTCCTCTTCTTTGGCCTCTTCAGCAACTTCGTCGTCTTCACAGGTGATGACAATCTCAGGAATACTCATCTCCGCTCGATCAGATCCTGAAACTAAAACAGAGAGTTCAGAACAAAACGCTATAGTAAATTTTCAAAAGAAAGGATACCTTCCACAATCTCAACGACTTCTTTGTTCTCCACCAAAGCTTCTTCCTGCGCTCCCTCATGTGTCTCCATAACTTCAGGCTCTTTATTAGTCTCTTGTGGCGAGAGAGATCGCAGAGATTTCCTTGCTTTTGGCCATTCATACGATTTCTCCTCCACTCTCGAAGTGTTTGGCGAGAAGAATTCATCCACAGAGGATTCCTGGACAGAAGTAACAGAAGCCGTTGAATGATCAAATGTGGTTTGTCTGATTGATGGTCGCGGAGTTGCTCCCAAGAAAGATGTGGACTTTGGCGAAACATCCATTGACTCCTCAAGTGGCTTCACTGCAGTTTCCACTTCGAAAAACTTCAGAGATGTTTGCGCCACTGTCGAACCACTCTGAGTAGTGTTAATAATCTCCTGGACTTTGTTGATCTGCTTGTGCATACTGTCTGCAAATTCACTAGCTCGACTCTTCTGCACGAACGTGGTGAGATGACGTGACGGCTCATCTAATCGGTACTTCTTCACTCCTCCCTCGTTTTCTCCACTCATCGGAGACTCTCTCTCCAGCTTCCTCTTCTGCGAACCCTCAATTACACGTGGATAAACGACCTTGCTCTCCGGCTTCAGCAGAAACTCCTGGATGGGCTTTCGCACAAACGGTGCACTGGTCAGATTATTGCTGGTCTTCGCTTGGAACAACCACGACAGAGTGGCATCCTCAACGGCGGCCGCCGACTTGTTGTAAATCCCGCCTTCCAAGCTCTGACGCTCTTTGATCAAACTACTGCTCAATGGCACCGGATCGGTGATTTTGTGTTGCACCTTTCCATGCTGCTTCATCACCAATTGCGAGAGATCCCGCACCATCGGCGTCATGGTTGAATTGTATGCCTCCATTACGAGACAAGGTGTCTCTGTGTCGAACATCCCTTGCAGTCCCTGCTTCTCCTTCAATTCCGCCAACAGAGCCAGAGCCTCCATGTACTTTGAGCGTTGCAGTAGATAGGTAAACCGCAGATTGCTGGCCAAAGCTGAATTAGTAGTCTTCAGGAATAAGCACAGAATCTCCCCTTCGACATCTGTGAGAGCCAGACTAAGGATCTGACCCAAGAGCTTAAACTCCCAGCACTGCTTGAAGAACTCCCACATGAAGCAGGGATCGCCGCTATTTTTCTGCAGCTGGAAGGCATCGCAGACCATCTTATTCGACAAGAGCGTTCGCATCTCCAGGAGCGGAGAAATCGGCGGTCCTGGTGCCTGAAGAGCACGCAGTGCCAGACACAGATTGTCCTGCACAAGGAGGCACTCAATCAGCAATTCCCTCTGCCATTGCGACAAGTAAGTTCCCTGGCCGAGTGGTGAGACCAAGTCTTCAAGAGCGCCCTGAAAGGATAAATACACATTGAGAAGTGGATCACTGCAAATACAGTGAGAAGTCATACCTCAAGATCACCGTGATCGAGTTTCCAGAAGGCCTGCGTTATCTTAATGGTTGATGTGTTCATCTTGAAGACTGCCGGGAACTTGATGAGATTCCGAATGATTCCAGCATACTTCTCCTCATTCTTCATTGTCATGTCCAGATCCAGGAACAGATACATGAAGAGCGCATACTTGTTCTCCACAGGAATCTCACTCAGGAGGAAGATGTTAGTCATTTTGCGGAGGGATGACAGTGGATAGAGACCATCGTCTCCACTCACGTGCCATTTCCTCCTCAGAAATGCACCACAGCACTCCTCCTCAATGAACGCGTCGATATAGATGAGACTGTCGCTGTACTTTCCACTGCGGTACGTTCCCTTCTTCGTCAAATTGCTGAATTTGATCCTCTGCTTCTCGTAGAAACTCCTCAAGATGGGATATGGATAGGGAATGGCAGTTGCTTCACATGCTTTCGACGAGGACGACCAGTTTCCCTCTGGCAGGAGTCCCATATTGTGTAGCCACTGAATCACTTCGTGATAGTCAGCCGAGGCTTGCATCATCTTCAGCTGCTCATTGAGTGTCTCTTTGACATCGTATGGAATGTACTCGGAGCAAAAGTTGATGATCATCTCCATGAGCTCTGCCAGGAGTCTCAGCTGGCGTGTGCAGTGAGCCAATGTCTCCGTGGAGCGACTGTCAAGGCGTCTGCCTGAGAAATCAAAGAGGGATTCGCAGAGATTCTCACAGCACTCCCGAATGGCGCCGACTCGCTGCCAAATCCACTCCGTCAGCGTGGACAGGGACAGACCCTCGAATGGCTGACGACCCAGGTGACTTCCGTCCGCCCACACTTTGGCACACTCCCTCAAGATGCCTACGCAATTGTACTCCAGCGCAATTGAGAGCAGCAGATCTCTTTTGGCCGTGAGTGTAGAGTTCTCCGAATGCTTGAACTCGGTGAATTGCGGCAGGAGGACAGCCTCCAGCATCTCTTTGAAGCACTCATCGGGCTCCAGAATGGCTTTCGGTCCGTATGTCATAAAGTTCTCCAGCACTCTGTTCTGCAGTCCTGGCCAGTTGTATTGAGTACTCCCAATATCTGACACACAGACACAGTCGAAGGTGAGAGAGTTGGGATAGAAGTGCTCCTCAGGGCGCTGGATGGAATTGAACGTCATCACTGAACTCTCATCGAGCCACACATTGAGCACAGGCTCGCCCGTCGTAGGGAAGATTGCCAGGTAGCTCACTTTCTCATTCCACTCCAAGTAGTCTGGCATCTTCTCCTTGTACCACTGATTCAGGTCAAAGATCAGAATCTTCCCTCCGCCGTCTTGAGATCCCCACGAGAGCATGCAAATACTCGACATGGGATCTTCAGGTGTCAAATGGCGGCTGAAGCTCTGGCTCTCCACCGGGTAAAGCTCCTCTGAGTAATTCAACATGGTGAGACAGGGTCGGCTGGATTTGAAGTACTTGTACACCATGGAATTCGTTTCGTCGGTTCTCTGCTCAATAGTCACCGAATGCATCACGGCAATCGGGAGATTTGTCCATGTGTGCAGCGCCCAGATGTACACATGTCCTCGAGGATCATCAGCGGGCTCCATAAAAGCCAGCTTCATCAATGGACAATCACTCTTTGGCGGGAAAGCTTTGTGAATTCCCTCCAGCTTCTGAAGATTATACAGCATCAACGACCCGTCCACATATCCCGTAACGAGCATCACAAGATCCGGCAGATCCAGGAGAGAGACAACAGCCGAAGCATCATCTTCCACGGCCAGCTCGACGCCAAAGAAGACCTTCTCTCTGGAAGCTTGCTCAAATAGCATCTCCATCTCTTCGGCTGAGCTCTCTGCAGGAATCACGATGCAGGGCGTGGGATCGATGTGGCACAGAATGTGCTGATTGTAGGCAAACAGACTGACTTTAAACACCATCAAGTTGAGATTTATCAGCACCACATGACCAGAAGTCGTGCCCACGGCCAGACATCCGTCAAAAGTCGAGAGGATATTGCTCAAGTGGTCCACCTGAATGCCTGCACAACTTTCAATGCCATCGTCAATGCTGATTAGTTGCAGTGGACGCGATCCGAGCACTGAATACAGGCATATAACGCCAGCAAAGGCAGAAGTCTTCAGCCCAATCGCCAGTACGACAGTGTTCACCTCCGGAACATCGATCTCAGTAACACAAGTAATGCTGAGGGTCAAAGATCTGAAAGGAAATCGTAATATACAGCCAATGATTTCGCCAAGAATGACAAGGAAACATACCTGAGGACCTTTTGGAAGTTATATCTAGAAATCTTGCTCCCGGTCGTCAGAGATCTAACCTCAAAGAGAGGTCCTTTAGCCAGCCAGCACAGCTTCCCATTTCGGGTGATTCCACTCAGTCTCTCTGCAATGAACAGTGAAGATGAGAGAATTGTGTAAAAATTAAAGGGCAGTCACTAGAAAATAAATTTATTTACAGCATCTTTGGAAGTTTACCCAAAAACTTACCAAACCCATTTTCCCCTTCAAGTCTGTCTTCCAACAACACATTATTGCCAAATTTTGTAGAAGTCTTTACAGAAAGCTCCATCTTTCGCACAGAATCCCTAAATCATGTGGAAAACTCTAAATTTCACGAGAAAACTATCCACAAGACTCACGGCAAAGCGTCACGATACTCTCCCGGTTTTTTCTTCTTCTTCACCTCATTGTCGAAAAAGCATGAAAGAGGCCTATTCGCTTTTCCGGAACGCCACAATCAAAAGGGCTGTTGAAAGAAGAAAATATTTTTTTGTGATCCTGTTGTGATCTGTGCAATTTCTTGTGAATTATCTCGGAATTATCTTTTAAAAAATTATTTATGGACCATTAAGTTGAAATCAAAACGAAAAGAGAGACGAGGTGAGTCATAGAGTAAATATTTTTCAATATGAGCACAATAAATGAATTGTTATCAAACTTTTCCCTCCATTCGTCCATTGCGATGAATTTCTCACGGGGCGAACGTGCTTCCCTGGGAAAACACGGAAATCCTATTTTCTAATTCACATGAATGTTCAAAATATTCATCGGGTATAAAGTATACAAGATGATGCCGGAGAGTCAGTCTGTCTTTGGATGTTTATGAAGTGAAGTTGTGGAAACTCTGAAGTGATTTCTGGGATTTCTGTGAAGATGAGGATCCTCCTGTTGGTCTTACCCTTCTTGGTAAGTGGATATGCCCTTGAAGCTGATGATGGCTACGACATCTGGGATCCCTTCATAATGTAAGTCAACTATCACGAGATGGAATTCACCAGCTCCTGTAGTATTAAATTTTGTGTTTTTTTTTACTAGGGACCTTCTGAATTGGATCGACGACCCAACGCGATTCAAGAGAGATCCACTTTCGATCTTTCTCAGCTATGAGAATGATCAAAGCAGCAAAAATACCGACGCTCCCAAAATCATTGACATGAGCTATGATAATGAGGGGAAGGAAGTGATTAAGAAGCTGATTCACACAGGCGATACGAATTCACAAGGTTCACCCAAATTCCCACAGATTACAATTATAAATGAAAAAAAGAGCTGCAAGTGCAAGAAATCCAAGAAAAAGACTCCAACTGAGGAACAACCAAAGGAAATTCCTGCAACGCAATATGAAGATCCTTTTGAGAAGCTGCGTCCAAGTCGAGCATATACTCCAACTCTTGACGGTCGGATAAACGTGGACAAATCAGAGGAAGAGATCAAGATGGGGAAGCAATTATGGTCTATGTCTTCTGAAGAACTGAACAATGGAAAGTATGCGAAAGCATCTGGGATCACAGATGCGAAATCAAGCCTTATTAGCTCTTTTGCTTCCAATCCATGGGATCCATATCCATTCGCCCAGCCCACATATGAAAAGCATCTACATAATCAACCAAAGATCCGACAGGTTCCTGAGACAGAAGCATATCCTCACTACTCACTCTTCACCGGGGAATTTAGCCCACAGGACATCAAGGAAATGGCCATGATTCACAGAATTAATTCTGAGCACGATCTGAGTCCTGGCGAGTCAGAATACGATCAACGAGAGAGGATAAAGGATGCTGTTATGGACTACATCAGATCAAAATACTACACAAAAATACCAAAGAAGCGCGTTATTGCCGAAAGCACACACACCAGCTACTGATTGTTTAATGGAAATATAAGTAGAAATTTTCAAACATTGTGTATTTTACTTAAACAACATGTTGATTCATAGTAGCTACAAGATAAATATTACGTGGAAAAAAAACACAATGTCACGGAGGTATACATTATCAGAGGGTGTTATGTAGTCCTTGGCTTTTATTTGGCTGGACAGCAGAATGCGGTTTCTGTTGTGAAGATATTTCAAAAAATAGCAGAGAAAGTGCACCAGTTTTAAAACAATGGAAATTTTCTTGAGCCAGCTTTTTATCATTATAAATAGAGGTATGAAATGGGCTCTTTAGTTATTTCTTGAGAGTGTCTCCTAAGGTAACTGAAGATGAGAAGAGTGCTTAATTTTGTGATTATTCTAGCAACAATCAAAAGTAATTTAGGAGGGAATGAGGATAGTGTTGATTTTGAGAGGTGAGTTAGTAAATGTTGTGAAGTGCTAATGGAACACAGTGTCTAAAATTCTACTATTTTCTAGGATATCCCTTCACAACGCAAATGATCCTGTAAATAATGAAGAGTTGATAGAATTAGCACGTGTAAAGAGAGTTCCTCTTTCCGTTTTGTTCACAGTTGTCGGAGGCAAAGGTGATTGTGATAGTGTAGTTCATGATGGTCAAAAAACGGAAAAGCTCAGTTATTTAATGAAACAAGTCCAATCGGACGTTGGAGAAATTCATAAGGATTCATGTGGATGTTCTAATTGTGCCAAAAAGGAAGATTTGGAAGAAATCATAAAACAGTTTAACCATCTGTCGAATTTAGTCCATTCCAGTAAAAATCTTGAGCATTCGGCATTTGCTGAATTACCAGTAAAATTACATAAACCATCTATAATTGGTACCCCTTATATCCCTGATGAAGTAAAAGTCTCAGGGCATCACGGTGTACCGATAAAAGAACATGGCTCACACAAGCCATCAATAGCTATGAGTGGTCCAGCCCATCATTCAGAATATAAATCTATTCCTGGCAATTTGCCAGAATATGAGATGGAGAAGCCAGCAGTGAAACCAGCCCCAGTTCCTTACCAAGTCAAGGAATACGAGAGCCAAAGTCACAGCCACCCTCCCATGAGTCACTCCGGAGTTCCCATAAAGGATCATGTGGGACAGAAGCCTTTGGTAATCTCCAGTGTGCCTGTGTATCATGAGGAAGTGAAACCCATTCCCGCGAAATTCCCGGAACACGAGATGGAGAAGCCAGCAGTGAAACCAGCCCCAGTTCCTTACCAAGTCAAGGAATACGAGAGCCAGAGTCACAGCCACCCTCCCAAGGGTCACTCCGGAGTTCCCATAAAGGATCATGTGGGACAGAAGCCTTTGGTAATCTCCAGTGTGCCTGTGTATCATGAGGAGGTGAAACCCATTCCCGCGAAATTCCCGGAACACGAGATGGAGAAGCCAGCAGTGAAACCAGCCCCAGTTCCTTACCAAGTCAAGGAATACGAGAGCCAGAGTCACAGCCACCCTCCCATGGGTCACTCCGGAGTTCCCATAAAGGATCATGTGGGACAGAAGCCTTTGGTAATCTCCAGTGTGCCTGTGTATCATGAGGAGGTGAAACCCATTCCCGCGAAATTCCCGGAACACGAGATGGAGAAGCCAGCAGTGAAACCAGCCCAGTTCCTTACCAAGTCAAGGAATACGAGAGCCAGAGTCACAGCCACCCTCCCATGGTAACTCCGGAGTTCCCATAAAGGATCATGTGGGACAGAAGCCTTTGGTAATCTCCAGTGTGCCTGTGTATCATGAGGAGGTGAAACCCATTCCCGCGAAATTCCCGGAACACGAGATGGAGAAGCCAGCAGTGAAACCAGTTCCAGTTCCCTACCAAGTCAAGGAATACGAGAGCCAGAGTCCCAGCCATCCCCCAAAGGGTCACTCCGGAGTTCCCATAAAGGATCACGTAGGGCAGAAGCCTTTGGTGATCTCCAGTGTGCCTGTCTATCATGAGGAGGTGAAACCCATTCCCGCGAAATTCCCGGAACACGAGATGGAGAAGCCAGCAGTGAAACCAGCTCCAGTTCCCTACCAAGTCAAGGAATACGAGAGCCAGAGTCCAAGTCATCCCCCAAAGGGTCACTCCGGAGTTCCCATAAAGGATCACGTAGGGCAGAAGCCTTTGGTGATCTCCAGTGTGCCTGTGTATCATGAGGAGGTGAAACCCATTCCCGCGAAATTCCCGGAACACGAGATGGAGAAGCCAGCAGTGAAACCAGCCCCAGTTCCTTACCAAGTCAAGGAATACGAGAGCCAGAGTCACAGCCACTCTCCCATGGGTCACTCCGGAGTTCCCATAAAGGATCACGTAGGGCAGAAGCCTTTGGTGATCTCCAGTGTGCCTGTGTATCATGAGGAAGTGAAACCCATTCCCGCAAAATTCCCGGAACACGAGATGGAGAAGCCAGCAGTGAAACCAGCTCCAGTTCCCTACCAAATCAAGGAATATGAGAGCCAGAGTCCCAGCCACCCTTCCATGGGTCACTCTGCAGTTCCCATAAAGGATCACGTAGGGCAGAAGCCTTTGGTGATCTCCAGTGTGCCTGTGTATCATGAGGAGGTGAAACCCATTCCCGCGAAATTCCCGGAACACGAGATGGAGAAGCCAGCAGTGAAACCAGCTCCAGTTCCCTACCAAGTCAAGGAATACGAGAGCCAGAGTCCAAGTCATCCCCCAAAGGGTCACTCCGGAGTTCCCATAAAGGATCACGTAGGGCAGAAGCCTTTGGTGATCTCCAGTGTGCCTGTCTATCATGAGGAGGTGAAACCCATTCCTGCGAAATTCCCGGAACACGAGATGGAGAAGCCAGCAGTGAAACCAGTTCCAGTTCCCTACCAAGTTAAGGAATACGAGAGCCAGAGTCCCAGCCATCCCCCAAAGGGTCACTCCGGAGTTCCCATAAAGGATCACGTAGGGCAGAAGCCTTTGGTGATCTCCAGTCTGCCTGTGTATCATGAGGAGGTGAAACCCATTCCCGCGAAATTCCCGGAACACGAGATGGAGAAGCCAGCAGTGAAACCAGCTCCAGTTCCCTACCAAGTCAAGGAATACGAGAGCCAGAGTCCCAGCCATCCCCCAAAGGGTCACTCCGGAGTTCCCATAAAGGATCACGTAGGGCAGAAGCCTTTGGTGATCTCCAGTGGCCTGTCTATCATGAGGAGGTGAAACCCATTCCCGCGAAATTCCCGGAACACGAGATGGAGAAGCCAGCAGTGAAACCAGCTCCAGTTCCCTACCAAGTCAAGGAATACGAGAGCCAGAGTCCCAGTCATCCCCCAAAGGGTCACTCCGGAGTTCCCATAAAGGATCACGTAGGGCAGAAGCCTTTGGTGATCTCCAGTGTGCCTGTCTATCATGAGGAAGTGAAACCCATTCCCGCGAAATTCCCGGAACACGAGATGGAGAAGCCAGCAGTGAAACCAGCTCCAGTTCCCTACCAAGTCAAGGAATACGAGAGCCAGAGTCACAGCCACCCTCCCAAGGGGTCACTCCGGAGTTCCCATAAAGGATCACGTAGGGCAGAAGCCTTGGTGATCTCCAGTGTGCCTGTTATCATGAGGAGGTGAAACCCATTCCGCGAAATTCCCGGAACACGAGATGGAGAAGCCAGCAGTGAAACCAGCTCCAGTTCCCTACCAAGTCAAGGAATACGAGAGCCAGAGTCCAAGTCATCCCCCAAAGGGTCACTCCGGAGTTCCCATAAAGGATCACGTAGGGCAGAAGCCTTTGGTGATCTCCAGTGTGCCTGTGTATCATGAGGAGGTGAAACCCATTCCCGCGAAATTCCCGGAACACGAGATGGAGAAGCCAGCAGTGAAACCAGCTCCAGTTCCCTACCAAGTCAAGGAATACGAGAGCCAGAGTCCAAGTCATCCCCCAAAGGGTCACTCCGGAGTTCCCATAAAGGATCACGTAGGGCAGAAGCCTTTGGTGATCTCCAGTGTGCCTGTCTATCATGAGGAGGTGAAACCCATTCCTGCGAAATTCCCGGAACACGAGATGGAGAAGCCAGCAGTGAAACCAGCCCCAGTTCCCTACCAAGTCAAGGAATACGAGAGCCAGAGTCCCAGCCATCCCACAAAGGGTCACTCCGGAGTTCCCATAAAGGATCACGTAGGGCAGAAGCCTTTGGTGATCTCCAGTGTGCCTGTGTATCATGAGGAGGTGAAACCCATTCCCGCGAAATTCCCGGAACACGAGATGGAGAAGCCAGCAGTGAAACCAGCTCCAGTTCCCTACCAAGTCAAGGAATACGAGAGCCAGAGTCACAGCCACCCTCCCATGGGTCACTCCGGAGTTCCCATAAAGGATCACGTAGGGCAGAAGCCTTTGGTGATCTCCAGTGTGACTGTCTATCATGAGGAGGTGAAACCCATTCCCGCGAAATTCCCGGAACACGAGATGGAGAAGCCAGCAGTGAAACCAGCTCCAGTTCCCTACCAAGTCAAGGAATACGAGAGCCAGAGTCCCAGCCATCCCCCAAAGGGTCACTCCGGAGTTCCCATAAAGGATCACGTCGAACATAAGCCTATGGTGGTTTCCAGTGTGCCTGTCTATCATGAGGAGGTGAAACCCATTCCCGCGAAATTCTCGGAACACGAGATGGAGAAGCCAGCAGTGAAACCAGCTCCAGTTCCCTACCAAGTCAAGGAATACGAGAGCCAGAGTCCAAGTCATCCCCCAAAGGGTCACTCCGGAGTTCCCATAAAGGATCACGTAGGGCAGAAGCCTTTGGTGATCTCCAGTGTGCCTGTCTATCATGAGGAGGTGAAACCCATTCCCGCGAAATTCCCGGAACACGAGATGGAGAAGCCAGCAGTGAAACCAGCTCCAGTTCCCTACCAAGTCAAGGAATACGAGAGCCAGAGTCCAAGTCATCCCCCAAAGGGTCACTCCGGAGTTCCCATAAAGGATCACGTAGGGCAGAAGCCTTTGGTGATCTCCAGTGTGCCTGTCTATCATGAGGAGGTGAAACCCATTCCCGCGAAATTCCCGGAACACGAGATGGAGAAGCCAGCAGTGAAACCAGCTCCAGTTCCCTACCAAGTCAAGGAATACGAGAGCCAGAGTCCCAGCCATCCCCCAAAGGGTCACTCCGGAGTTCCCATAAAGGATCACGTAGGGCAGAAGCCTTTGGTGATCTCCAGTGTGCCTGTGTATCATGAGGAGGTGAAACCCATTCCTGCGAAATTCCCGGAACACGAGATGGAGAAGCCAGCAGTGAAACCAGCCCCTGTTCCCTACCAAGTCAAGGAATACGAGAGCCAGAGTCCCAGCCATCCCACAAAGGGTCACTCCGGAGTTCCCATAAAGGATCACGTCGAACATAAGCCTATGGTGGTTTCCAGTGTGCCTGTCTATCATGAGGAGGTGAAACCCATTCCCGCGAAATTCTCGGAACACGAGATGTTGAAACCATCTGCAATGCTTCCGCCAGTTCATAGTTGGCATGACAAACCTACTTCTTATGTTAAACCTGAGAATATCCCGATTTTGCCGCACTCTGAGGATGGGTATTCTCATCTGGAATATAAACCCGCTATCAAGAATGACGATATTGATTACCGTGTTTATAAGAAATATCCTGGTTTTATTCCTGAGGAATCAGAGTTCGATAAGAAGAAGCGAATCAAGGAAACAGTCCAGGAATATATCAAGAAAAACTACAATGTTTTCGAAGATCCAGAGTACGAAGAGGAAGTGGAAATGGTTGAAGGTTAGTTGCTTTGAATGAAATAAGTTTAGTTATGATGAATATGTGGAATTAAAAATGAAATATTTGTTTCAGGAAGACCACGCTACTAATAATCTTTTCCTGGATGATGACTGTATTTTCATTCATGTAATCAACAGAGGATGTTAATTTTGGTGACCTTGTACATAATTTGTTAAGAAGTCATTTGTGTATTGAGTTGAATGTTGTGTTTGGCAAATAAAACCTACTTTTGGAATTTTAAAACTTCTCCATCAGCAATGTTGCCATTCAGTAGTCTATATAAATGTTATTTTGCGAATAATTTCAGTCATTTTCTTTCTTCTTATTCGTGGTGAAAGAGTGTGAAGTACAATACAATATTTGATATGTACGAAGTGAAATTTAAGATCTTCTTTCTTCTAAGCATTGTTGCTGCTGGACTACTCTCAGTGGAATCATATCAAACAGTCGATGAAAAAGTTAATAATCTCGAGAAAAAAGCTTTGTAAGTGATTATAATCTTCTTTTTAGTCCCTTTTATTGTGTGAAAGTGTAAGTTTTTGTTACTTCAATCTAGGAAGAACCTTAAATATCGCTCTTTGGACCCTCTGAGCATGTTCTCGGGCAGTAAGGATTACGTCAGGAAAAAGAGAATGCAACAAAGTAACAACATTTTCAACACGTATGAAGACAACATTCAGAAACTGAGTGAAATTAACAGTGCGGAGTTTATGTCGAAAAATTATGAAACAAAAGGAGATTCTGGCATTTCAAATGCTGGTTTTATGCTCAAAGACCACAAGGATATGTGCGTCTGTTCTTGCTGTGTCACCTCTGACAAGGCAAAGTTGCTTCGTGAAGTTATCGCTCTTCTTACAGATGTTCTGAAGGAACAGCAAAAAGATAAGGAACATAGTAAGTCCAAGATATTCTTCCAGCCGATAGTCAAGCCATTTCCAAAGGACACGTCAGGAATAGAGAACTTCAGCAAGGAATTTGCCTATGGAGATCTAATCTTGGAGGATGATATCGTCCATGAGGAGAAGCAGAAGGAAATTCACTCCGTTCCTGAGCCAGATCCTGCGACGGCTGCTGAGTACGAAGAGCAATTCACCACGTCATTCCGTCGTCAGCCGGCCAATGCACTTTATGGCCCTAATTCCAAGATCCACTTTGTTCCGGCTGGTTCTCTCTCTAAGAAAGAAGCGGAAGAGGAGATTAGCAATGCCAATTCAGCAGTGGAATTGCCCACAAAGTCCCAGAAATCAAAACTCTTTCGTTTAGATCCGTTTTTCTATCGAAAAGATGAATACAATTGATTACACTAATATCAAATAATAATAAATTACCTAGAGTACAGTGAAAGTAATATTCAGTGTCTTCCTGTGTCTACGTTAAAAGTGAGTTTAGATCAACTCGGCAATTTCTGTTCGTTTCTCTTTAAAGAATTTTTACATAAAAAACACATTTTTATACACACTGTTTTGTACACAACTGAAGAGGCGCGCGATAATAAAGAATGCTCACTGATTTGTGTCCTCTTTCTCATCACCACTCACTGGATGGCTGAGGAATTTGATTCTCAGACGAGGGTTGAGAGTTCGTGGGGCGAATTTGCTGATGTAACGGTGCTGAGGTCGAGGTTTCCGGTGGGCATGCCAGGACTCACGGAGCCGCTGGCATCTCGACCGCCGAGCAGGGCCGCCGTGGCGCTCACTTTGGGCGTGGGCGGTGTTGCTGTGGCCGCCCTGAGTCCGTAGGACGGCAAGAAGGAGTGGTTGAAGCTGGACAGGTGGGACTGATTGAGCGTGACGGGCGTGAGTGGAGTCACTTGGCTGAGTTGCGACGTGTGCGTGAGCGGCGTGTGATTGCTGTGATTGAGGTGGATGTGATTGCCATTGCTCACGGGCGTCTGGTGACTGCCGCCGGTGTGATTGAGAAACTGCATGGGCGGCGTGATTGCACTGATGGGCGGAGAGAGGGTGAGATTGAGATTCAGGGGTGCCTGCTGCCTTACGCAGATCGTCTTCTCCTTCTGCCACACGAATACGTTGTGAACCATGGCTCCGCCGCAGAACACGATGCCCACGCCAATGAGTATGCTCGTGACGATCGCGGGAGTCGAGTGGAATTGCGTGAATGTGTATAAAATGATACCTGTTGAGAAGAAGAAGACAAAAGTCGCATATCTTTTCCAGTTAAGTTTTGATTTTTCTAATTTTCACATCTCTGATGAATTGCAAAAACTCTATCGCGGCAGAAATCTCAAGGTAAAGCCTTGGCTCACACTTTCTCGTTTCTATTGCGCGAGTATTCTTCATCCGTACAGCAATCATGGGCAAAAGAACAACCTGTTCAAGTCAGTGAGTATACATTTCAATTATGACTGCGAGAGTCACTTTAATATCTCTCAGAATGATTGCTCCAAATTGCCCTTGATCGCGCAACTTGATCGAGAGATGGCAAATTGATTTATCCTGCAATACACCGTGCAATTCTCCGTCAATGAACATCCCCTCGGGGGTGTGATTATTATTATCTGAAGCAGTTGCGATCACTGACCTGTTCCAATCACTTTCCCATGCACAGTGAAAACATCTCATGAGACACTCGACAAGGCCACGGTCTACACAAAACGAGCTCTCCGTGTGCATAATTTTATGCACTGGGCGGAAATTGTAAATGATATTATTGCGCTTCAGTCTTCCTTGGCGACAAGCCGTGGGAGAATCTTAGGGCTTTTCAAGGAAGGAGGACAAAATTCTACCTGATTTCATGTGCACGCATGAGGACACAGTCTGTGTGGAATTTATATGGATACACTTTTATCGGTGTCAGGGTGTTTTGAGTCAATAAGCGGAAGGAATTGAGGGTGATTTATGATGGCGAGGCTCTTCTGTGGCGCTCTTAAAGGCAATTTGTTGAGAATTTACCTGTTAAAAATATGGGAATTGATATGAAAAATCCCCCAACAGCACAAACTCTGCTGACACTGGATTTCTGAAGGTATTTGTTGCCACTGCAAAGAATAGAGGAATTAGTGTGGCATTCAAGCTTTGGGATTTCACTAATCCTACTCACCGTCCCGAGACTGTGGCTGGAGCTCGCACCAGTTTGACGGCGAAGAGAAACTGGATGGCACAGACGAGGAGACAGCAGAGGTTGAGGGAGAGCGAGAGGGCGCACAGGGCTAGGGTGACGTCGTAGACAATGGCGTAGTCCTCTGGGGCTGTGGGCCCGGGTGGCGGTAGTGGATCGCGTCCTCCCGGTGAGATTTTCAGCAGGAAAATCAGCGAGAGTAGGGCAAGCAGCAGCGAAACTGTGTGCAGAAGAAAGAGTCCATTTATTCTCTGAATTGATCTGTGGTTTCTTTGCTGTCACATAAAAGTGATTATGCAGCATAGTTATTGTTGCGAAACTTTGCGCTTAAATTGTATTTGAATTTTGCCCAGGGAAAAACATTTACAAAATGCTTTCTCAAGAAATTGTGTCATTGGATCGGTTGAGTACTTGAGCACTGAACAGATGAGAATTGGGAAGTTGAGAGTGAGAGCAAATTGGAGACTCACCTAAGCAGAGTAATCCCAGACTCGTGAGCGCTTCTCTGGCGCCGATGCGGTCGCGGTTGTTCGTGAGGAGGTTGTTCGTGGAGGAGACGGACGTGAGCGGAGTTGTGTTGATCATGGAGGACATCCGTGGCGGCGGCCCGCCGTTGGCGAGGAGCTTCGGCGGCCCCGTAGTGGACAGGGCGCTCACATTGAGGGGCTGCGGTGGGCGACTGCTGGTGATGTTACCACGCGCAGTTCGCGATTGTCCCGCACCTGGCGGCATGTGCTTCAGCATATCTTCCAGCCGCCGAGACAACTACCATCTTCTGAGGGGATGGGCCGAGAAAGATGTGAGCTTCCGTAAGCTCGGGTCCACACGTGGTTGATCACTGATCACGTAAACTGGTGAATATCTGCAATGCAAGCGGAGAAAGGTGAAGAAAATGAGAATGCCGATGTGAATCAAGCCAAGATGCGAGGTCACAGAGTTCAAAGATACTTCATTCCGTGGTCTCACAGTTAATCACTCGCGCGAATTCTTTTCTTCTTCTCCTATTTCTCTATTTTTCCAGAGACGTCGCGCGGCCGTGGACAGACAAAACGCTGAGTTGCATTACCGTCTGCCATGGTGATTCAACTTCCCAAACTAGGAAAAGTGCAGAGGAAGCGAGTGAGACACCCAGAGTGGGCTCCTGCAGGTGAAACGCTGCGTGAGCGAGAAGGAGTCAACGTGTGCAGACAGTTGGCCAAAGAGGGAAATAAGGGAATTGCCAGAAACAGCACCTGCTTCAGGGAATACGACTCTCGGGCAATGGCAACCAGTGCGAGCACGGGTAATAATTTAATACTATTCACCTGTTCACTGTGACGATCCTCTGGAAATTGCCGACAGATTGGCAAGGCGAGAATAATATTTAGGGGGAAATTTCTGACAAAAGGTTTGACCCAGAAAAGCCTATCAAGCAAATGTTTAACTTTCTTCATAAGCATGTTTGTCATCTTCAATTATCTTACAATGCTCACAAAAACCCGCCGAGCGTGGAAGACAGTGAATTGTGGCGACAATTGCATCAACATGCGAGCAATTATAGTTGTGTATCCAGTTTCAACTTCAAATAGTTCATGAATGCGACTATGCGAAAAAAGCCCACGTCGTACAACTGTTTTCTCATTGCGGTCATTCTCGGGAGATTTGCCTAATTGATGATCACGAAGACTACGAATGGTCAATAGTGCACCCCTTCCAACATAATGAATTCCAAGTGGACGTGTGTAGGAAATATTAAGAATGGCAATTGAGTGGACACCAGAAAGGAGGCGTTTAAATGTGCCACACGATGCGGAAACTATCTCCAGACGTGGTCTGGTGACTCCACATATAGCATGTAAAGCGTTTAATACGAGAGGGAGAGGAAAAAAGTGAAAATGGGACGAAATAACTGAAATGCGTGAAAGGAAGTTGCCCTCAGAAAAAAACCACCTTTTCATGTGTAAACAAATGTAACGAATGCATAACGGAAAAGTGGTGATTTTAGAGAGAGACCTTCATCATCCAATGATGTATTAAAACCGTGACAATTTCTTCATTCCTACACTTCTTGATTTATTCTCTCACCCACACTTCACTGGAATTTCCTTGAGAATGTTCCCATCAGCATTCTTTCTTTCTCTCAAGCAGTGCAAGAAATGAGACAACATCTCAATATCCGGTATGTTCTAGATTAATTGCAAGAGATTGCCTTCATGCATTCTTGGCAGAATTTAATATAGAAACCTCCCACAGGAGGGAAGAAAAATAGCATGTTTGCAAACTTCCGCTCAGCTCTGCATGAAATCCATGAAAAATGTCTTCTGCACTAATTGTTGAGTGAATGAGATGAAAAGTGGACAGAGTGAGAGAGGACATGGTGTTATTAGATCTGCAATTGCACAAATCCCGTTTCATTCTCACTCACAAGTTATTTTGCTCACATTTTCTTCTATTTGCTTTGATTTTCTGTATTCAAATGTCCACATAAAGAAGCACACTTGAAGGGATGAGCTTTTAATTTTTATGGTTTGTTTTCAGTAAATTGAAAAAATTCGTGAAACAACAAAGTTCAGGCATTGCTCAAGAGTCAGAAGTAGATTTGAGAAAAGAAAAGGGAAAAATTTCTTCATACAAAATGTCAGATTATATTGATTATATCAGAAAAAAGGTAGAGAAAAGTCTCATTTCTGTTTATTTCTCCGAATAGAGCGCCAGAACTTGAAATATTATAATCTCCCAGAAACCCAATTAACTTCTCCGAAGATATGTTCGAGACGGTGAAAAAGTGCCCACTCTGGAAATGTTAATTTCTCATTGTCTCAATGGGACGCTAAACCAAACTGTTCTATTGAGGCTAAATCATAGCTAAGAGCCTAATAGGTGATTCCACGAAGTGAATTAAGGTGATTATCGCCAATTGAGTGTAATTTAGTGAGCGCCCTCGGTGAAAAAGAAAAATGTCTTGCGTGAAATGAAGTCAGAAGCTGCACAAGAGTCCACATGAAGTGTTGTTGGGGGTCTTCTCGATGGAGAGCGAGAGAGAGGAAGGGAGACACGGAAAGGCAACGGAAATTGAGGTATCATGCAGAAGTGCTTGTCTTCATTGCATCTTCTTGGGGATTTCACTTGGGAGAAAATGCACAGCAATTCTGTGGAAATCGTCTGGGATTTCTCTCAATTGCAATTGACGTGAGTGTTTGTGTGATGGTTTTTGGGTGATGCGCATGCGAGAGAGTTTTTGAGTGATCGCGGTCGCCGGATTGCAAAAGATTGCGCGCGCAAACAACTAAACAACAGCACGTCGGGATGAGGAGGGGAGGAAGAAGCGATGGCAGGAGAGTGGGATCATTAAGTGTGTGTTTGGTATCTTTGACCGGCAACCGGTTAGTGTTCTAGGTTCTCTTCTCCACCTTTCCATCATTCTCAGGCACTCGATGATCATCCAAGTCAGCACAATCTGAACACACACACTTGGCTCATGTGTGATGTTGAGAATGAAAAAGCCAGATGCCCAAGAGAGACACACTTTGAGGAATGTTGATAAGAAACACTGAATTTCCATCTTCCGCCAAATTCTGCCATTTTCAGGGTGTTTTTTTCTCTCTCTCGGGAATTTCTTATACTTCCGCTATTGTGACAACGATGAAAGACGGTGATCTACAAAGGAATTCCATTTGGCTGGTGTTTTTTCGGGATGTTTCACATGGGAATTTTCACATGTTGTGCAGTGAGTCTCAAGAGACTTGACCTTTTGCAGTGTTGAGGAGAGAAGCACGCAAATGGTGTGCAATTTTGCCCAATTGATCGCAGATGGATGGCGAAATGATCACTTACCGCATTCCAGGTGATGATCACTCGATCTCTATTTAATGTAATCGCATTTTGTGCTCTCTTTTCCCGGGTGTGTTTATTGTTGGGGCGCTTTTTCGTCTCTCGCGAAGCACACAGAATTCACGCACACACAGAGCAAAGTTTAAGAATTCACTTGATCACTTTTTCTCCTTTGCCTTTTGTGATATTCTCTGCGCACCGTCGTCGTTTTTAAACTTAAAGATCAGGTACACTTTTGGCCATTTTCTCCTTCACAAAGTCACTCCTGAGGATCACTGGAGTATGTTCTTGTTTTTGCGTCTCTCACGATGATTGGTATTTGTCTGTTGGCAATCTCTGAAAGGAGAGAGACAAAAAGAAGAGAGAGACTTGTATTTACAAAGAATTCCGGAGTCTTGAAGGTGAAGAAAGAGTCGTCATGAGGTGCGATTGAGGATCACACATAAAAGACAAGCATTTCAGTTTGAGCAACACCCACAGAAAAATTGTGCGATTGAGGAGTTACTCTTGGATTTATTCTCGCGTCACACACGGGCCCGTCTGGGAAGATGAAGAATGATCGGAAGGGTGAACGAAGAATACGCCACGTCCAGGGGGAAAACAGGTATTTTCCTCCCATCCGAATACTCATCGCAATCTCGTGTGTTTTTCGCACAAAATCTCACCTGGTCAGTGGTTGCTTTTCCCAGGATGACTTTCCCAAAGTCTCAGGAGTCCAGCCTCTCTCCTCCTGCCTCTGTGGAGCCCACCTCAGGGACGCGAGTGACTGTTGTTGGTCTCAAATCCACGCCACAATCTTCAACGGAGACAGACCGGTTATAAACTGCTGCGACTCGATGTCTTAAAAGCAACGCTCACCCAGTCAATTGGCCTCTCCTTCTATTCAACACATGCCTGTCCTCTTCTGTTGCGTTCAGCGTGGATTTTGCTGGAAGTGACTATGAAATTCCATAGCGACTCTCCTGCATGTGTTTGTTGTATGGCTTACGCAAAGGGTCGCGTATCAACGGTTTTTAAATTCCCACCTTGCAAGAGACTCTCCTAATCTCTCCAGCCTCTCTCTCTCGCGCACTCCTGAGGTTCCCAGCGCCCTGGCTCTGAGAAAATCTCAGCATTAGATATTTACCTGCAGAAGCTCTTCAATACTCGCGCCCTTTGAGAGCGATATGAAACTCCAATTATCCAATATTTTTGTTTTAGGATATTTTATTAAATTTTCCAAAAGATTTTCTAGAGACGCTGAGTGTTGTGATGTTCCAGCCAACAAACTAGAGTTGAGAGTAAAGTTGGAATATTGATACGCGACAATCTTGCAATATCTCATGTAGATTATATTCTCTCATTCTTTGTATTCTCTTGGAATGATAACATAATCATATTGTGTAATTTTTCATCCTTTTTTCTCCACTATCATGTCCCAATATACCAAGTTTTTTTTTTATATTCTTTTCTAGCGCACACTTGTCAAGAATTTATTTTTATCTTTCAACTAACATTTACTTGCTGATAAATTTGCATGTTTTTTTTTTCTCATGTGTTATAATATTGTTTTCTCATAATACAGACATTCATATTTCTTTTCTTGATTTTGTGTGTTTAATTATAACTAAAGTATGAAATTTGCATTTAAGTTAACGCTTGATTTGGTAATTTTATCGTGAATCATTCATTTAGATAAAGATAAAATTTTCTCGATTAAGATCTCTAAAACTCCAAAATAATGCAAATAAGAAAGCAGACAAGATTTTGATTCATTCAAGAAGTTGCAAACTGACAAATACAGAAATTTTTATTATAGCATTTCACGCAAATGAAATGGTGCACAAAAAACCATTAAATGTTTATCTCTTCTTCTTCTTTTTTTAGCAATTTGGGTATGTCTTCGCTATTAGTTATTTTTGCTTCCCATATTCTTTACTTAAAACACCCTCGAAATGTCTCCTTCAGGGCGGAGGGGGGGAATAAATGAGGAAAATTTAACACTCGTCAGACGGAAATATGTTCAAATAGGACAGAAAATTGTGTTCTTATCAGTGGCTATATGTTCCAATTTTGGTTTCCTCTTTTCTTCGTACGGTTTCCCTCACACTCAGTTTCTCAATTATTCCCACTTCTTCTTGCACTGTCACTCTGACTGGTCTTCTGAATAGCGCGTTAGCTCAGAGACAATTGACCCAGAGCCAGGAGTCGTTCAACCGCCGCATTGATGTCCCCAAATGTTGCAATGAGTGCTGCGAGAGAGAAATTATCCAATAAGATTCGAATTCAATAAGACATCATGTCGACTCACCTTGAAGATTGGCCTCTCTGTTGACAAATCCCATCGCAGTCAGCTGCTCCAGTTGCGTGGAGTACCTCTCCTCGGGCGGCTGGTTGGGATTCGCGCCGCTGGCCATGCCGTTTAGCATTCGAGACATGAACTCGCTGAAGAGCTGCGGATTGTGGGCCGCAGTCGGACTAGGCGGTATGACTCCTGTCGTGGGTGTTGAGTTGGGCGTCGCCGTGGTGTCCGGAATGCCACCCGGCGGCGGCGGTGGAATGCCCATGGAGCCCACAAGGCCCGGCGCTGCGGCGCGCAGTTGCTCCATGCCCTGCTGGATCTGCAGGATGGCATTGAGCGCCTGCGGATTGGTCATCATGGACTGCACCTCGGGATCCTGCATGCGCTGCAAGAAGTTGGGCATCATCTGCCGCATCTGCTCCTGCAGCTGTGGATTGTTGGCCAACAGGGGACTCTGGTTGATCATCTGCAAGAGAGTGGGAGCGTGAATTACAGTGCTATGATAAACATTTAGTGGACAAACTCACATTGGCCGCCAAGTTGGGGTCGGCAGACATTGCGCGCAGCATGTCACGTGTGTAGGGCGCATTGATCATGTTCTGCATGAGCTCGGGATTCTCGCTCATCTGCTGCAAGAGACTCTGCATGGCCGGCGAGTTCAGAATCCCTGGCGATGCGTCACTCGCTGGTGCTGCATTGCCAGTCGTCTGTCCGGCGCCAGGACGCTGTCCGCCAGCGCCACCCCAGGGATTTGGCAGCGGCTCGCGATTCTCCGTGCCCTGCTGCGGATTCGGGCCCGACGTGTTGCCGTCCACGAGGCCGGCGAAGGGATTTCGCGAGAATTGCTCCGTGGTGGCGTTCAGCATGGGCTCCTGAATCTCACGATAGATGCGCTGCAGTGCTGAGTAGCCGCCGGGCACGCTCTCGAGATTGGACATGGCACGATCATGTGTTCGCATCAGCTCCTGGAGCATCGAGGGATTGCGCGCTAATTCCATGGTCTGGCGCAGCAACTCAGGATTGTTCAGCATATGCGATATCTCCGGATTGCGCTGCATCAAGTCCTGCATCTGAGGATTGGACGTGATAAGCTGCCGCATGGTATCGGGGTTGTTCATCATCTGCTGCACCAGCGGATTGTCCAGAATGTTGCGCATCAACTCGGGATTGGTCATAATCTCGTTCTGCATGCGCGCTTGGAGGTCCATGAAGGTACCCTGTCCCACACCCAGGGCATCCATGCCGCTGAAGCCGCCCAGCTGGTTCAGTCCAAACGGCGTGGCATTCACATCGGCCGGCGGACGTCGCGGCGCCTGCTGCTCGGACTCGGAGCGCGGCGGCGCCTTGATCACCAGGTGCACCGTCATGCCATCCTTGATGTTGTGCGCCTTCAGTGTGTCCCCGTCCTTCATGATCTTCCCGGCGAAAATCAAGCACAGCAGTTCCGGTTCTGACTCGAACTTCTCCGCCACGAGTGCTTTGAACTGCAAAGAAACAATCCCAGTGCATCAGTAGCTGATGAAACACCACGAAATCCACCCCCACACGCCCTTGCTGCCCTCCCTAGAGCCCCCAACTGCTCTTCGGGGTGTCTGTCGACAAGAGTGCAGATACTTCTAGAAGGCTGGAAGGCCCATGCAGACGTCACAATCAAAAACTGTTTGTAATCACGGAGGGCTGGCAGAGGCATTGCATTTTCTCAACTAATCCACCAGCCACGCGCCAAAATCACTCGTCCGCCTACTCACCTCCTTGATGTCGGCATTTTCGTCACACTCAATGTTCTTTTTCTCCTTTGGAGTCTTCACAATTACAGTAATTTTCTTACACTCCGCCATTGTGCAATTGTGGAGGAAAATTTTTCGTCTGACATTGGATGACACCGCCTCGCGTGTGGCAACCCGCAGGCCCAGATTCCCGGAACACTGCTAGAATTCGCGAAGTGTTCGAAAAAACTGCGAAGCCGCCAAAACATTCTCCATGCGTTTCCAACATGGCGTAGTTTTCTCGTGCTGGTGCGGCTGGTGCAAGTGTGAAAAGAATCCAAAACAAAAATGCATCGCAGCAGAATTGCAAAGTCGCATTACAAATATCATAGAAATTGGTTGCGCATATGGAAGATCCGAAAGAAGCAAATGACACAGCGAGGGAAAGTGTACAAAGATGCCTTCAATGAGGTGAGAACTGTAGCATTTCGCCTAGAAAGTTGCCTGATCTTTTCGGTTTCTGTTCAGGCGCCGGAGAATGTGAGGATATGGTGGAATATTGACTACGAGAAGGATATTTTTGAGGCGACAAAGGTGTCTGAACAAGAGAATCGTCCAATCATGATGCGAAACTTTGCAGAGACGATCAACTTCCGGGAGCAGAGATCTTATCTGCTGGCATTAATGAGACACATCTCAGCTCATGAGAGCCTGAGCAGGAATGCCCTCCACTTGGGAGTGTACTTGATGGATATGTTCGTGGACAAGTACAACATTCCGCACCACGCTCTGAAATTCATTGCTGGAGTTTGCCTCATTCTGGCGGCAAAGATGGAGGATAGAGATTCGTTAATACCAACAATTCCTGACTTCGATAAGTACCTCGGCCTCAAGAATCCCACCAGCATCTCGAGCTATGCTCAGGCGGAGTTTGCGATTATGCGAATGATGAATTTCAAGCTGGTCATTCCCACAGCGGTTACATTTGTGGATTACTTCGCTTGTGCTCTAGTCACGGGCCAAGATTTTGACGAACAGAAGGTTTCATCTGGATTCACCGCTTTCACTAAATACCTCGAGAATGCCAACTTACTGCTGATCCAACTCCTGGACGCCACACTGGAGGATGTCTGGCTGGTCCAAGAGATTCCGTCGAGAATTGCCGCTGCGTGCATCCTTGCTGTGCGCACAATTCTCAATCTGTCCGACATCTGGACGCCGCTGCTGGCGGAAATCACCCAGTATAGGATGACTGATCTTATCCAGTGCGCCTCAAAGATCATCTCCCTCTATGAAGTACCTCAGGTGTCCTCTGATGACGTCATCTACTCTTCGGATTCCGCATACTTCTCCACATCGGAATCCCCGGATCCTGTGAGCGATCCTCTTTCGTTCGAAATGTCCGACGTGGACCAATCAAACATTTCATCTTGCATTTCCGTTGATCTGGACGGCACCAGTGATGAATCTATGTCTGTAGATGAGTAGGCAAGAGTCTTATCTGTTCCATATGATGTAAATTATGTGAAAATTCGTGAATTACACATTACTCGTTCAATAAAAGGCGCGGAGTCGCCACGAATAGCCTTTTAGTACAGCTGAATAGGCCTCTGATGGAAACGTCACAGAGTTTTTTGTGGTGTTGACAAAATTCATGCAGCAAGAGAGAAAATTTTGCGAAAAACAGTGCAATAACTAGGTGTGATATGATTATGGAGAGGAAAATCAAATTAAAGACTCTCAATAGTCACATCACATGCAAAATTTGCCGGGGATACTTCATCGATGCCACCACAGTCACGGAATGCCTCCACACTTGTAAGTGGCCCCATATTTAGTCACTTTTCCCCAACTTTCACGCCACTTCCTGGCCTAATTGCACGCAATCCCTCTTCCTGGGACTCTTGGGCAGGGTTTTGGAGTGTTTCCTGGGCAGAGAGAGTGGTGGATCAGTGTTAAAATGTCAATAACAATTTGTTATTGAGGTTATGTTTAATAAGGACTCCCATGATGTAACTTTCAATTCAATCTAATGCCACTTTCTGGGTGATTCTCCTTTCCGGAAGTCTGCAAGAGTTGCCTGGTGAAGCACTTGGAGGAGAACAACACATGCCCCACTTGCGGCAATGTCATCCACCAGTCACATCCGCTTCAGTACATCAGCTTCGATCGGACGATGCAAGACATTGTGTACAAATTGGTCCCCAATCTGCAGGACAGTGAGTATTTCGCACAGCCCATGCCCAGAAATTGCCTATTATATGCTAATTCGACGACTGCGGTGCATTGCAGATGAGATGCGGCGCGAGAGGGAGTTCTACAAGGCGAGAAATCTGCCGTGCCCGAAAGACCTGCCACAGAACCATGAACTGGAGGAGAGTGGGACGGACAAGGCGAATGAGGCGCACGCCGAGTCCGACTACCATCGTCAGGACGAGCAGGTGAACGTGTGTCTGGAGTGCATCAGCAACAATCTGAAGAATCTCAAGAGGCGCTTCATCAGATGCAGCTCTCAGGCCACAATCACGCACCTGAAGAAGTTCGTGGCCAAGAAGGTGTTGAATGGGATGGACAAATACAGAGAGGTGAGTATCCGGCACAGAATTAACGAGCAGGAGACTTTATGTCCTGTCGATCGTCGTTTCAGGTGGACATTCTGTGCAATGACGAGCTCCTGGGGAAGGATCACACCCTCAAATTTGTCTACGTCACGCGATGGCGATTTCGGGATCCGCCCCTTCGGCTGCAGTACAGACCTAGGATAGAGCTGTAGAGTCACCACTTGAAACTACCCTCCTAATGCACCCCCGCGTCCTCAGATCTCATTTCCGCACCCCCCAGAAATCCCACTCAAATCCCCGTCATCATCCCTTATCGTGTCCCCAAATTGTACATTATGTCTTCATTGCTATTATTAATTATTATGTAATTGTATGAATTCATGCATTATGATAAATTTTTCAAGTATTCGTGTCCCTGATTGTGTCCAATTATGAAAAGGATTATTCGTGTAATTTTCTTTCTTTTTTTATATGCATATAGATAGAGAAAAAGGATGAAGAACAATTTGATAAGATTTTCTTTCGTGTTGAGACTTTCTTTCTCTGTAATTAATTCTCTGAATGGAAATGATAAAAAAACTGGTGGAAAATGGGAAGAACAATACAAGAAATGGAAAGTGTAGTTTTCTATAGAGATGGTTAATAAGGAAAATAGTGAGTTTTTGTCTGATTCCCCGATCCGTGAAAAGATATATGTTTTGTGCAAAAGGATTGAATAATGTAGATTATGTCGAAGAACACACAACAGTGGAGAAGAACAACAAAGAGAAAGTGTTAGGATTAATTAATAGAACAAAGATATAAATTATTATGGAAAAGTTTCGAGTACAGAGATTTAAATATAAGAAATACATTTTTATTCGTAAAAAAAACAGTGTTTATCTGGAGAAAATGTTTATTTCGTTCTCTAAATATTCTTCATATATATATATATATGTATGGCACTTATCATCCCCAAATCGTTAATCATATAGTGCTTTACTCTTATACTCTCTCTCCCCCGTTGAACAAATAGAGATATATATTCCCCTTAACAAAAATAATGTTCATCCCGCAAAATCTCCCACTCCGCAATCGACTTTTTTTCATTTCCAGGAAATCATAGAAAATTTAACATGTTAACATAATTTGTTCCATTTTGATAGCGCACACCACGTTCTCTCGCCGCGTGTCTTTTTTCCTTACACACACACACACACACACACACTCGCACGTACGACAAACACACTTAATCTTTGATAAATCTCCAAAATCCCATGACTATGGAAGGCAGATCAATTCACTCCTCCTCTCGCTCTTCTGCGGAGTAGACAAAAAGGCGCATTAATCAGGGAAGAATAGATTGTGAAGATGCGGTCAAATGGTAGTCATGTCCTTGCTCAAGTGAGTCTCGATGTCGACACGACAAATTGGGCAGTGCTTGTTCGTCACCAGCCACTGATCCACGCAGTCCATGTGGAAGAGGTGCATACAGGGAAGACGCCTGGAAATATCTCATTATTGTACCCTTTTCGCGATGGGCAGAAATGTCCATTCAGCTCACCTGACATCATTGTCGTTCTCAAACTGAGAAAGACAGATGGTGCACTTCTCTGTGTTGTCCTCATCGCCATCCGTGGACCTGGGCACGCGCTTGTACTTGTGCGGGAACGTGTTGCGCTCGATGACCTCCTGCGTGGCGCCGCGATTGCTGCCCGCCAGGCCGCGCGCCTCGATCACACGCACAAACTGATTCAGCCGCGAGAGCAGCGGATGCGTGTCCCTGTCGGGCCGCAATCCGATGCTCACGTGCAGCTGCGGCCCGGCCGCCTCATCGGATGGATAGTGGTACATGTGGTGGTACACGTGCCGCTCGCGCGCCCTTACGAACTCCTGCCACACGCGGTGATCGCGATAGGAGCGTATGGGGAAGGGCGGCAGGAGTTGCTGCTGCTGCTGCTGCTGCGGCGGCTGCGATTGCTCCATCGTCGCCGGATACGACGTCCTGCGGCGGCGCGGATAGAGGAAACTCCCTCGGCTCTCGTTGCAGCCACACTGTGGACGCGACGCCGTCTGCCGATGGCCACTCACGCAATTGCTGGGCGTCATGAGGCGTCTGTGGAGCTCCTGCGTATTCTGCTGGCGACACCACAGATTCTCGTGCGGCGCATACGGCGGCGGGCGGATGCAGTTGCTGTGGTACGGCGACGACTGCCTCGTGCCCATGCGACTGTACCTGTGATCGAGCAGCGGATGGCAACCGCCCTGCACGCCGTTTGAGCGATTGAACAGCCGGAACAACACAGTCGAGGGTTGTTGCTGCGTGCTGGGCGACATGATGGGCTGCTGAGTAGATGACACCACACCGCCCATCTGTCCCGTCCTCGCCGGTCGCTCCATCACATTGAACGAGCTCGATCCGCTGCCCGACGGATTGGCATTCCTGGGTGGATCCTCGGTAGTCGCCTGGCCTGGGATGCGAAGCACATTCGATGACTGTGATTCCGAGTCAGAAATCACGTAAATGGTGGAATTTGGTGAGTTGTACTCTTGCGGCGATGGCGGAGAGATTCTTATGTACGGCGGTGGTGTCGCCGGACGCTCAATCTCTCTCTCATTGTAGTTACTGAGCACGGGATCATTGGAACTGGTCAGCGGAAGATGCGTACAAGGCAAAAATTTTTTTGCTCTGTAATGGTCAAGGCGTTGTCTGAAAAGAGAATTTATCATTGTGAATCTCATTCGTTTTAACTGCGAGTGTGCAATTCTCACTGGATAGCCCTCAGACGCATCGTTGGGCGCCTATTTGGCGAGTAGTAATCCACATTGTAGTCAGTGTCGTCCTGCTGCATTCCCATAGAATAAGACAGTGGATAGTCATTGAACACTCTGGCTGGTGGGGCATCATTGCTGCCCGACTGACTGCTTCCAGATTGCAAATTGGCATATTCTGGAACTCTCGCTGGTGCTCTTCGTCCACTGTCCACAGTTCTGGGACGCATACTCATCTGCTCCGGATGAATCATGCCATAAGACAGATCCTCCTCATCCGAGTCACCCGTAAGATCAATTGGAGGCTGCAAAGATACACCAAGCAGTGAGTAAAAATAGACTAAGATCCAAAAACAATGTCTCACTCACATTGTCCGGCATGACGAGCACCACATCACTCTCATCACCACTGGAATCGTACAGGCAATCGAGGGAGAGATCAGGAGCTGAGAGAATGGGTACAGATTCAGGAGCGCCAGATGTGGCTTGAGTGGCGTCAGATGTTGTCTGGACGGCCGCTTCATTGGTCACAATTACAGATCTTGAGGAGGAGGACGGCTGAATGCGCATTCTCTCGCCCTCATTCTCCGATTCATCGCAACTCGAGTCATCATACCAACTCCCGATCTTCCGGATCACACCGCCGTGCTTGGTATTTCCGCCCAGCGAGCCCGCATGATTCTGCACTCCACTGGGTCCAGCCACAGGTTCAGCCACGAAGCCAGAAGGGCCCGGCTGCGTATTCGGCACTGTGTAGAACATTATCGGCGAATCGCCTCTGTTCTGCTCTGCTTTGGGCTGCGCTTCCATATTCTGACTCTCTGCATTGTCGCGCGATGTGTTCTCCGGGAAGCACTCAGCACAGCTGTACGGCTCCCTCTTTACCTCCAGAGACACATCGTTCTCATACTTTATGCCCGAAGGTCCGGCATTTGTGTTGGCCACCTTGCAAGGAGTGGGATTCTCCAGTGTATTGTCCGGAGAGGCGCGCCGGCGGCGCACATTCACCGCGGACTCCGTGACTGTCTCCTCCTGAGGCGGGAAGTTCTGTTCCGGGCAGAATGGCGTCAAACGAGACCACTCTAGTGGAAAGGGATCACGATAGAAGTCAGCGACGGCGGATGTTGACGAGTCCGGCTGCATGATGGACGTCGGTGGCACGGAGTCGGATGTGAGAATCTCACAATTGGCCCCAACTACACTCAGATTCTGATATGCTGGGTAAACATTCGACATCGGCGGTTGGATAAGATCATGATTGAGTCTCGCGTTTGCTTGGTAGTCGGCCTGAAAGTGGAGAACATCCCCGTGTCAGCATGCGTGGACTCTGTCAAGTGGCATTTTGAGGGGACTCACCAAGAACACCGGATCCGGGATGCCGTCGTCGATCGGCTCGGCAAACAGGCGATCACAGTCCATATCTGTGGAGAGGAGTTCAAAGGGCATGAGATTGCTGCACTTCTGGCAATGTTGTGAGATTAACCTGGACGTTCTGATGCTACAGATGTGTCCACGGTTGTTGATTGGAAGGCAACATTGAGGAAATTCCGCAAAGAGACGCTCAGAGAATCACGGTCGCGCGTGCGATTTGATTCCTCAGCATTCTCCATCGCTCAGCACAGGACTTGGGACACAGCAGAGACTATGCCCTCATTTACACACACACAAACTGACCTGGAAGTCTCACTTTGCTGATCCGCAGAATCTCCAGAGGCGACGGAATTTGGCACTTTTGTCAAAAGAGCGCGTTTTCTCTCTCCCAATTTACGAGGAAACAGACCTTATCTGCAAATGAAAGCCACAAATCAACAATAAGCCGTGCACTAGGTCAAAGCTGGCTGCTATTGGAGGCAGAAAGGGCGCCTCCCGGCCAAGAAATCCCCACGTTTCTCCACCCAGTCTTCCGGAAACACCTCCGCCATTGTCAGCAGAGCCAAAATGACCCGATAATGCACAGAAATTGACTTACCACACAGACAAAATGTCCCCCAAGTGATTATTTATCACTGCGATGATGTATAAATAGCGTCGAGAGAGAAAAAAGTTCAGAGATTCAGGGGAAGGGAAAAAGTGCAAATATGAATGTGTGACAAGTCTGGTGGCCATGAAAGGCACCCTCTTTTCAATCTCTCACTGTGCACCTAATATCGCTGATTTTTCACTCTTTCACACTGCACACGAAGCTGATGGACTTTGAGCGCGATTTTGTAGAGAATTGGATCATTCTTTTGGAGTATTTTGTGGTGAAAAATGCATTTATATGTGCACTCAGTTCTTCACAACCCGCACCTTCACTGTCACAGAAGCATATGTTTCACCCAGCAGTAGAGGCGCTCGGGTGCTCCATAAAATTATTGCAAATATTTTGCCGTTGCTTCAACTTACTTTCATTGGCAAATCTAGGCGGAATATCACTTCGGTTCCTTATGTGTTTATGTAAAATTACCAGAATTTGTATGAAATACTATTTATTCTCGGAATTTTTATCGTCCCAAAGTATCCACGTACTCATATGCGTAATGTGTGGACTCGGTATGCCGGGTTGTCGGCTGGATTCCATGCTCACCGCTTGGGGGCGCTGAAGCTCTGGCGTGTGCATCAAAGGAATTCTCCGAACAATTAGGCGAGACGCGACAGAGATTTGTAATTACCTTCTGACATACTCAGAAACCCATCTCAATCCTCTCGTGCAGTTGGTAGTGAGTACACGTAGCGTGCTACGACGCTGAAGAAATTGAGTTCAGCAGTGCAGGAAGGCAAAGAAGTGGCAAAATAAATAGTGGCGAAAGGTGAGCATGGCTTGTGGAATTTCCCCATAAATACGTTGTATTTTACAAGGATTACGTGATTCATCTGGCAGGATGGCCACAAAGAGGGAAGCGAGCAGACATCCATCAACACGTGATGACATCATCAAGAATGGAAGTCGCCCAGGATCATCGCGAACGGAGGACAGTTTCACTGCCCGGAACTCTCGGGATGCCCGAGACGTCCTGCAACACAGACGGACGGGTATGCTTTTATCAGTCGCAACATAGGAACACCAATCACGCGGACGAGTCGTAATGCGGATTAAGCACGCGAACGATTTGATGAGTATCGTCCAAATCCAATTGAGAAATAGTTGAGATTTTGGATGAAATTCACAAGTCTAGAGAATCTTTAAGAAAACAATCTTCAAGCAACTCAGAATGCCTGATCCGAAGATCCAAGGAGACAAACCGACGAGTCAACATGCTGACCAGCGGAGGCAGAAGCAGCTAAAAACATGCAGACGCGTGCAGTCGCATTGATGTAAGTTAAGAAATTCCGTAATTTTTTCATTGTATATTTGCAGGATTTCAATGGCGAATCAGGCAATCTTCAATCAAGACAAATACTAATTTGCTCTTCGAACAACAAATTCATCAATCAACATGTTCCTGATGATTTCTTCAAGCAACAATCTTTGGTTAGATTCGCGTTGTAAACGAAACAGCTAAAATTTTTCTAATTTTTGCTATCTCAGGGACTTTTTTCGCTAAGAGTCTGTATGTAAATGTGCAATGAAATCCCACAGGTGATCGCAGAGAATCTTTTCGGCATCGTAGAGATGCTTCAAAGAGGAGAGATTCCTCAGTGAGTAGAACTTGATTTTGCCACTCATTTACAAGTTTATGGTAAAGATAAATAACTATAGAGCTCCTCGGAGACGGAAGAGTCTGATGGCGAGAGGAAGAGATCTCTGAGAACCACACGCAAAAGGGAGGAAACTCATCGGAGACGCTCAAAGAGTCGGAGCAGGAGCCAGGAGGATCATCGGCAGCGCAGAAAACGCTCACCTTCTCCACGGCGACGGCCAAGGACCGTGTCGCCTCCGCGTGAGTCTGTGCCCTATTACTCGGATCCTAATCGTGAGCGGGATCGCCTAAGGCAGAAGTACGGCTACCGCGATGAGGGCAGGAGTCGGAGAAGAAGCTCTAGTCGCGAGAGACGACGCAGAAGGAGCAGAACTCCAGTTCGAGAAACCACGAAAATCATCCAAATCCCCGTTCCCGTCTATCCGCCGTTCTATCCCGACGGCCCCATGAGTTCCATGTATCCGTGGTATGATCCCACTTGGCCCGCAGGCCACGCTCCCAGGCCAATGATGCCACATCCCATGCGACCGCCCAACTACTATCAACCCTCGCCCTATGTGATGGAGCCGTTTGATCAGTTCCAACAGCGCTCCAGCAGGCCTGGAATGCCCCCACCTCCCTTCCAAAGATTCCCTCCCCCGCGAAATCACAGGCAGCACTGAATGCTAAAGGAATTGTAAGGACTGAGGGCGGGACTTTACTTTAGGCTCACAGCTATGCTTTCTACGGACCATTCAGTCATTAGTTGATGGTCCAAGGACTTTTATCTTAACTGTTTTATTTTTTTTTAGATTGCTGGTCAAGGGAAGAAATTCCTTAAGAACCCGAAAAAGTAACCACTATTGCGATGGTTGTCTATCAAAATTTTAGATTTTACGCATTTAGCCAAAAAATTAATTTTTTATTTCTTTCGATTTATTTTATACCGTTTGCTTTAAAGTAAAGATTCGACTGAAATTAAGGTAGAGCAAAATATATATGTCAAAAGCCATATAAAAAGAAATAAAATTATACATCTTTATCAGAAGTATCAGTTCATTATTGCATGAGCGTTGCATGATAAAAGATTCTTAAAGGAAAGGAAATTTTTGAAATTTTCACTCGACTGTCATCTGCAAGAAAGGGTGGAAGAAGTTCAGCTGGGATGTTAGCTCAAATGTTCACCGCTTGGTGGTGTGCTAGGCTTGGAAATTCCTCAAGAAGCGCGTCTTTTTGATCTTCATTATCGCACAGACGCTTGCGGCGCGTACATGAGAAATTCAGAATTTGTTTTCAAACAGCAAAAAGATCCATAAAGTTGTGCAAATTTCACTCCGTAGTTATTAGTGACTTTACTATACTCGCTAAATAAAAAGCAGAATCGAGTTTTTCAGTGCAGGAAGACAGAAATGGAGAAGAATCCCAAAAACGAAAGGTAAATAACGGCTTCTTGATTGTTTCATGGAAAAGCTGAATTTACACTTATCTTTAAGGGTTGCTGCTAAAGATTCCACAGGAAAAATGAATTTTTCTCTGAAATTCATGTTTATCCTCATATTTATCATAAATAATTTATATCCTGAACGTGAATTGAAATTCTACAATCAACAACCTTTTGCAGGCGTCTTCAATCAACAATTAATTATTTCGCGTTTCGTGAAGTGATTTTCAAGGAAAATTATCAAATCTTTTTATATCAATAATCGTGAACAATTCTCGGTATAATATTTTTCCTCCTTTGTCATTTATTACCTTAAATTTATTTTCTCGTATTGAATCGAATCTTCAAATAATACAAAAAATTCTGCAATCAACATTTTCTGGGATTTCTTCAATCAACCGTTTGATCTATCGATTAAAATGTTGCTAATGAGCTCAGAGACATGCGTAAAAAAGAGGAAATCTTCAGTAATCAGAGTTTTTCATCTTTTTCTCAATTCATATTAACAGACATGAGAAATCTCCGCGCACACGAACAAAGAGTCGAAGTCGTGAGACGAGCAAGGATTATCCTCAGCAATACAGGACTCGTCGATCTCCTCAACGGCCAAAGCCACGGGAACGTTCTTCCGACGGTTTGGAAACCCATCCCGATCAGGAGCGCCGGAAAGCAGATGGAAGTAAAGCTCAGAGAAGAGACAACAGTCGGGGACGGCACCGCAGGACGCGATCGAAATCCGCGTCTTCAGTAAGTAGAACTGTGATTTTATTTAATTTACACAGATTTTAATTGAGAATTTTTCAGAATTCCTGGGCGACAGACGCATCTGATGGAGAGAAGAAGGCATCTTTTAAATCGTCACGTAGAAGGAGAGAATCGCGCAGGAAACGATCAAGGACGCGAAGTCGGAGCCGAGATCGTCGACAACGTCGCAGCCGTCGATCTGCGCGGCGACAAACAAGGACTGCGTCTCCCGTGCCGTACTTCACGGATCCCGTTCGCGAACGGATGCGGCTTAAGGAGCAGGCCAGATGCTGCGACAGATGCTGCAGTGCGGAACGAGATGAGAGAAGTCGATCTCCTGTTCGGACTGAAGTTCGAACGAAAACCATCGAAGTTCCCATTCCGTTTTATCCGCCTCCTTTCGTTCGCGATGGCATTTTGTATGAGTACTACGATCCTGGCTGGGAGGAGGGCCGACCCCCCTTTCCCCTTGCATCAAACCCATCTAACACTGTGCGAGCGCATAACTATGAATTTTTCCCCAGACCAAGAATGTCTTCTGATCAGCCTGTGCAGCCTGAAGTGCAGCGACCTTGTTTCCCACCCTTCCCATCCTCGCAAAGCTTCCGTGCAAATGCACCGAAGAAACCATAAACTGCCGAACTTATTAAAATAAATTATGCATATTTTGTAAAATTCGCACCTCAACAAGCACCAAGCTAAGCGCATAAAGTTAAATAAAGTCTTAAAAGTGTTGCTTGATTTTGCTGGAGTTCAATTGAATCAATAAATGAAATTTATTCCGACCTAAAATTTATGTATTTTATCGTTTTATTTCTTTTCAACGTTTTCGTGGTGTGAGATGCGATTACAGTGTACGCATGGGGTTCGTAGTCCATTTTCTAGCAGTGTACAATTGTCAGTCGCTTTCGCAACACGTGAAAAATTTTCCGCAAGTTTTTCTCTAGTTGTTCACCTGCAAGGCGACAGAATGTCGTGGTTCTTTGGATCGAGAGGCCAACCTCCGCCGGCCGGCGATGGAGGTCCTCCGGAACAGGGCGGGAACGCTGCTGGCCCGGCGCCAGATCTCGGCCTCAGCCGGGCTGAGAGAAAAGCCATGGAGGCCTACAGATTCGACTCCTCGGCTCTGGAGAGAGCCGCCGAAGCTGCCAAGACCCTGGAGAAGTCCAGTAAGTGGGAATTAGGACGGAAAACGGGGCAGTTTTAAGACACAACATAACCTCATTGTTGCATAATCCCATTGCAGAGCACGCTCATGCGGCGCTGGACTTGTCCAAGATGCAGGAGAACACACGGCAGCAGGAGCTGCAGGTGAAGGCGAAGGAGTATGAGGCCCATATTGAGACTGCCAAGGTAGAGCAGAAGCGCGTGGACTACGAAGAGCGACGGAAGCTGCTGTCGGAGGAGACGAAGCATCAGCAGCAGCGGGCGCAGTACCAAGACCAGTTGGCGAGGAAGCGGTACGAGGAGCAGCTGGCACAGCAACAGCGCGTGCAGGATGAGAATCTGCGGAAGCAAGAAGAGAGCGTGGCCAAGCAGGAGGCAATGCGCCGCGCCACGATCGAGCATGAGATTGAGATGAAGGAGAAGAACAAGTTGAAGCTGCTGGAGGCGGAACTGAGGGCGAAGGCGAAGGTAGACAGGGAGAATAGGGACATCAATCTCGAGCAGATCCGTCTCAAGGCGCAAGAGCATCGCGCCACAGTGCTGGAGGGCATCAAGACGGCCGGATCTGTGCTGGGTGCCGGCGCCCAGGCGATGCTGAATGACTGGCAGAAGGTGGCAACAGCTGCCGGAGGACTCTCCCTCCTTGCGCTGGGCATTTATTCAGCGAAAGGCGCCACTGGTGTGGCTGCGCGCTACGTAGAGGCGCGCATTGGGAAGCCCTCGCTCGTGGGAGAGACTTCTCGCTTCTCGCTTTTGGAGGCCGTTCGGCATCCAATACATCTGCTGAAGCGCTTCCGCAGCAAACCAGCCGATGCCCTGCAGGGCGTGATTCTTGAGCCTAAGCTGGAGGAGAGGCTGAGAGATATTGCCATCGCCACGAAGAACACTCGCCAAAACAAAGGATTCTACCGCAACATCCTGATGCACGGACCTCCGGGCACGGGAAAGACCATGTTCGCGAAAAAGTTGGCCAATCACTCTGGCATGGATTATGCCATAATGACTGGCGGCGATGTGGCGCCCATGGGAAGAGATGGAGTGACGGCGATTCACAAGGTCTTCGACTGGGCACACACTTCTGGACGCGGTCTGCTGCTGTTTGTCGACGAAGCGGATGCCTTTCTGCGGAAGCGATCATCAGAGCGCATCTCAGAGGACCTGAGAGCTTCCCTAAACGCTTTCCTGTATCGCACAAGTGAGCAAAACTACAAGTTCATGTTGATCCTGGCCAGTAACACGCCAGAGCAGTTTGACTATGCCATCAACGATCGCCTGGATGAGATGGTGGAGTTCACGCTGCCTGGATTGGAGGAGAGGGAGCGCCTTATGCGTCTCTACTTTGATCAGTTCGTTCTGGAGCCGGCGGCCGTGGGCAAGAGGCGCTTCAAGGTGGAGCAGTTCGACTACGGTGCCATTTGCAGCCAAATGGCCAAACTCTGCGAGGGGATGTCCGGACGAGAGATCTCGAAGCTTGGTGTTGCCTGGCAGGCGGCACTCTATTGCTCAGAAGACGGCGTGTTGACAGAGAAGATGGTGCTAGACAAGTGCGAAGAGGCTGTTCATCAGCACAGGCAGAAGATGGCTTGGCTGTCTGAGCAGGAGAAGGGAGATCACAAGTCCATCACCGGCGGGAAAGGACAGCCGCAATAGACCATGTTTGCGACGGGAAAATTCCTCCCGATAACCTCAACATTCGCCATCTGCAGCTGAATCTATGGGAAATTTATATTAAACTTCCTTCAGCTGGTGGCTCCTGGAGTGTCCCTGACCTGCCCCAGTGTAGACAAAAAGTGCATGCCGGAGTGATAAGGAAAAGCTAGTGGGAAAAAATGCGGGTAATAAAAAGCGCGGGAAAGTAGATCAAGGCCTATTTTGTTTTTGGGACAACTTCGAGTGTGGCGCCACCTACGCCTGTCGTAAAGGCCTATTTGAGAAAAGTCGCTGGGTCATTGTTGTTTTCCGACAAAGAACAAGCATATTTCACTGTGAAATAAAGGAAAATCCTGTGAAAATGGTTTCCGTGTACGTCGGACTGAGATTCCCCGTGGAAACCTACGCATCTTATGAGAGATTTGCGGTAAATGATGTGATTCTATCATTAAACTGTGATTCTCTGAAGATTGCCGTGGCCAAGAAGGTGAAAATTCCCACCAAAGATATCGGTGAGATTTCCCATTAAAATGAATTAATTGCAGAAATAAAACTGTAGCAAATGTCTTGCAGAATTGATCTACTGCGGACGACCAATCTGTGATGGATTGAGTTTGGAGAGTCAAGGTGTGAAGCCAGGTGTGACGATTCATGCAATGCAGAAGGCGCCACAGAAAAGTCCCCCGAAGCGCCCCACTATTACGCCGGAGCAGAAACAGAAGATTGTGACACAGTTCCAGACACTCCTCAGCAGCCACTTCCAGCGCATCTCGCGACCAGAGGTGCTGCAAGAAGTGTTGGATCAGTTTCCAGGCTTCTACAGCAATCTCGGCGCTCTGGCCTTCCTGCGGGATCCCATCCTTCTGTCCTCAATGCAGGACCCTGAGAATCTCGAGAAGATCCTCGAGAACTACAGTATTCTCGTTGAGGCGGCTCCGATGATCGCGAAAGTGCTGAAGGGCGCCGAGAAGGCCAAGAGCGACACTCCTCAGGAGGCTTACGCCGGAGATGATCAGCTGTCGGACTCCTCGTCGGGTTCAGACAGCATTCTGCCCTCTCCTGCCACGTCATACGAGAACAGGAACACCCCAAGACGCATTACACGGCAGCAATTGGGCGCTGCCTTGGCACTGGCGACTGAATACACATCCCGGAACTCCCTCTCGAACATCGCACAGCGGAATTTGGACGAGAACGCCGAGTCTGGCGAGCAAAATCCCACCCCTGGACCCTCAACCAGTTCTCGAGCTGCGCCCATCTCCACCAGCATGCTCAATGACGTACTGTCGCGCATCGGCACCGCGCCTGGGAGTCAGCAAGCGTCCTCAGAATCTCCAGCCACGGGCCAGGCAGTGCCTCCGGCGCAGCAGTTCGCCGCTGAATTGCAGAGGATGCGCGAGATGGGCTTCCTGGACGACAGGGTGAATCTGCAGGCGCTGCAGGTGTGCAACGGTGACGTGGAGGCGGCCATCAATCTCGTGTTCAGTGATGAATTGTAATAGAAAATGCCAATTGAAATTCTAATCTTGCTGCTCAGTATATTCTCGTCAAGTACCACACATTTTGGGAATGACTTTCTCATGTACAACATTCTCCCTCCCTGCGCTCCTCTCTTCCCGCACATAATCCTCTGACGACTAGTGTTTTTGGTAGAAAAAGACTCTCAGCTTTAAGTTCCCGTTGCCCGAAAGGAGTAAAATCGCTCATTTTCATCAATATATATATATCCTAACAAATCGTGCTGCATTTTCAGCTTTTTCACGCGAGATAATCTTGAGTGCACAAGGAAATTCAGGAATTTCTCTTCTTTCTTTCTTTTTTTGGATTATACAGAAACAATAATAAGTGTGTGAAATGAGTAATAAATATACAACAAATACTGCTCATGATTTGATTAGAACGAAAAGTTCACTAGCATAAGCGATGCGCACTTTGAATAATTTTGGGTGTATAGAAAAAAGCCCGGATTTCACACTATGAGATAAGGAAATCCAGTGCGCGTTCCTTGTTATTATCAAACTTTAGGAGTGCCTCAGAGATTTTCGCCTCCTCGAATCCCAAATCCAGAAGTTCACTTAGTGGTATCAGATGATCGACAATCTGGCGGGGGAGAAACACGTGCGATTAGCAAAGAGATGCCTTATCGGCCACTGGACAGCTCACCTTCTTGTCGTCATTCCCCAGCGCCTGAGTCACTCGCGAGACCCTGTCTAGGGGAAATCCCATTGTGCTGATAGTCGCAGCCAGTTTCTGCGACGACTTGGATAATTGCGTGAAGGTTTCACTCTTGTGGCTCTTCCTCGTGTTCTTCGGCTCTGAAAGCACGCAAACCATCAGCACTCCTCCGCCAAGGAGCGTCTCAAAGGGCACTCACCGTCTTCACATGGACTCTCTATAGTCTGACTGTTGTTCCTGATGCGCCGCTTCTCCGAGTGCCTCTGCACTTCGCTGCTCAGCTCCTGGGCGATGTCGGGCACGCTCTTGGACTTGAGGCGATCGGGGGCGCTCTCTGCGGGCTGCGGCGGCGGCTGCGGATAGGCTGTGAAAGCGTTGGGGTTCCCGTAGCTGCTGTAGTAGTAGCCCCCGTTCATGAGCGCCCCATACGCGGGATACACGTAGTTGTCCGTCTGGTAGTTGAGATACTGTGGCTGCTGGACAGCCGGAGTGGCGTACACTTGCGTGGAGATGTTGTCCATGTCGTAGGACACCTGGGCGAGGGTTTGAGCGAAGCTGTCGTTAGAGTTCTGCACATTTTCCAGCGCCACGCGATTCTGCGGCGCTTCCGTGCTCTCATTGGTGGTGTCCTCAAGACTGACTGTGCCCTTGAGCACTTGCGCCAGGATGTCCAGATCGTTGATTGTCTTGAGCTCGAGGTTGTCGAAGGGACTGGAAGTGTCGCTCTCGAAGTCACTGTAGTTGATCTTGGCGCTGTACGGGGACTTTGGGGCGCGCTTTGTCCCCTGGCAAGTGGACTCCGGCAGCACTGTGGGCATGAGGATTGTGTCGAAGTTCGTGGGTGGACTGAAGTGGCCCTGGGGCGTGGAATGCCTCTCTGTGACCACCTGGGTCGTCTCCCCGGGCAGCTCATCCTCCGAGGACAAGTCCTCGGCACTTGGGTAAGACACCTGCGTCAGCAGAGCCTTCTGTCTCTCCTCCAGCATCCTGCGGCGCTCCTGCTCGCGCGTCAGCATCCTCTCGCGCCGCACCGTGTCCTCCCGGTCGCGAGCTGTTCGCCACTCCGCAATCTTGGCCAGAACACTCAATTCCAGGGTGAACTCGTACTCCCTCGTCACGGTCGGCTGCTCCCGTCGCTCTAGGCGATGCCGCGTTGGCTGTGGCAAGTGAATGATGGGCGGGGGCCGGTAGTTCTCGGAAATCTTCACGGGAACCCCGTCAATATAGTTCGGGGGACTCTGCGACATCCTGCTTCTCTTTCTCTCTCTCTGCTTATGTACACACGAAATTGCACGGAAAAACTAGGGAAAACGCATTATCTCCAACTACACGCGCTTACTCACTATGTCTATCACATTTGGCGAGGGAAGATTTCGCCCTCTAATTCAATTATGACTCAAAAAACTCCTTTTTCTCAGATTTTCTCTGTGTGGAAAAATTGTTCTCTGGTGAGACACTGACAATAACCAGCTGACATTTACTGCATAGGCCTTTTTGGGACACTCTGGGACACTCGAAGTGACGTTTGTCGGGAGAAAAGTGAGGTTATACTTCGCGCGTCTCGGGTTTCTTCCACGGAAAATTGGCCGGAAAATTGATAAATATCTGAACAAACAGACGGTAAGAGTGTGAGAATGAGCTCAAATATAGTGGAGGATACGTCCTTCCAGAAAATCTACTCGCCGGACAATTTGGATGCCTTCAAGCTCGATCCGAATGATATCCTGTTCAACTACTGGCACAAGATAATAGTTGATGTGCGCGGCGAGGGGAAGAAGTTTGATGTAATCGATGCCCTCTCCACTATCGTCACGGGGTCCTTCATCCCTGTGTACTTCCGGCAATTTGGGCACGAGTATATATTCTACATACGCGATTGTGTGCGGGCATTAAATGATCTGATGCGCAACAAGCTGAAGCTTATTGGAAATGGGGGCTCCGGAGACATCCTGATTTACTTGAATGTGGCGAAGATTGAGATGAGCCATCCAGATCCGGACAGAATTGTGGCGGAAGTGCTGAAGAGTCGATGTACGGAAATGAGCAAGAAGGTCGCGTATAATTTATCAGCCTTGGATCAGGACAAGAAGCTCAAAAACATCGTGTTTCGCCTCTCCTTCCCGGGAAACTTCGAGAAGGTGTGCAAATTCATCAAGGATTCCTCAATTCCTCTCTCATACACCATCGAGATGCGCTTGTACAGGAACAACTTGCAGGATTTGAAGCCTCTTCAGATACTGCAGGATTTTTACTTCGAGCATTTGGACATTACCAACAATACTGTGAGTATTTTATTCGCAAAATTCCTTTCGTGTCTTATTTCCTCCTTATATTGGATTTATATCAATCTGCGATATTTTTACCGATCATTTTTTCAGTTTCCTGCCGAATCGCTGGAATCTTTGGCACCGCTGAAAATCAGGAATCTCTGCTGCAACTACAAGTTAAGGATTGTGAAGGATATCCTGCCGAACGTCGAGCGCTGCAATAACACTGTCATTTTCATACCTCAGAAAGGTCACGGAATTCCGGAGACTCACAGAATCCAGGCTAGTATTAATGCCTTGGGTCGGATGCCCATCAATGAGAAGCGAAGTGACACCATAATTCAGTCTTCTTCGTCGTCTTCCAACAAAGTTCCGGCACCAGACAATTCCTTGTGCGTTCAGTTGGCCGATCCCACATTCCACTTTCCCACGTCTGGTGTTCACTGCAAAGCCGGGATCAATCTCAACTTTATGCAGTTCAACAACAATTTGTGGCACTTCGTGATGATTATTCACAATGGCTGCTACTCGCGTCGGGACATCATGAACGGATTATATGCGCTGAACGTGAAGAGCAATTGCTTCCCATATCACTACATCTATGGCGATCGCGCAGACACTTTCTATCTGCTCGACTCTTTCAACGTAATGCACGAGATATACCAGAACAACATGACGCTCACCATTCCAGAGGCGAATGTGACGCTCCAAGTGGAGTTTCGGCTCAATGTCATTGCTACAAAGAAGCTGGACGTGATTAGGTATGAGGTGGCGATTGAGAAATCGCTCCAGGAGCGAGTGGATGACGCCAAGATGACGCTGGATCTCAGCAATTATGCCGTTGCGATGGATAAGCACGATTTTGTGTACGAACTGCGCAATCCGCAGGCCATCACGACGCTCTTTGCGTGCCGCATGGGTCGCTTATCGGCCCGTGTCAACACGATCTTGTTGAATGACAATGAGATCACATCTATAAAGGACGTGCTGCTGCTGCTCTCCGCCCAGACGCTGGATCTCAGCAATAACAAAATTGCCAATCTGGAGGATATCTTTATAATCAACAGTGCGAACATTACGAATCTGAAACTGAATGGTAATCCACTGTGCAAGAAGTACACGAGCTCCTTGCAGTACATCAGCGCCGTGCGAGGTGTTTTCTCTGGCCTGAAGACGCTCGACGGCGTGGATGTGGCGAATGACGATGTGACGAACGGCTACAGAAATTGGGTGTGCAATCTGGACTGCTACAGCTTCGTCACGCAGTTTGTGACTCAGTACTTTAGTGTGTATGACTCGTTGCATCGTGGGAATCTCAAGGATCTCTACTCGAAGCGTGCCATTGTCACTGTGGGCACGGATTTCACCAAGATCAAGATGATGACGATGCAGAGGCAAAAGTGGCAACATTACACAACACTTTCGCGCAATATCCTGAACGTGGCCAATTACAGGCAGAAGAATCATCTCGTGTATGTTGGCTGGAGTGCAATTTATGACGCGTTCTGTAAGCTTCCGCCCACGGAACACGATCGTGCAAGCTTCGGTGTGGAGGTGCCGATCTACACCAGTGAGATGGCCGTCATCACGGTGTACGGGATGTTCAGGGAGCAGATCCAGAGTCTGCTGGACAAGGAGCTCACGCTGGGCTTCTCGAGAACCTTCATTTTGCGCCCAATCGAGGAAGATTGCGGATTATTTGGCGGAGGAGTGCGCTACTTTATTGTGAATGAGAAGCTGAACGTCTTCAATCCAACCATAATCCAGACACAGAATGCATTCAAAGTGCCACAAGAAGTGCAGGAGAAGCCAAAGGAGATCACAGAGGAGGAAGAGAAGGAAATCACCCTCATGTACAGTGAATGCACGAATTTAAAGCCAGGATGGAGCAGAAGGTGAGTTTTTTTTTAATTTAACTTATGTTCGTTAGGGATGCCATTGCCAAAATGATGTCCAGAATATCCTTTCCAATATTGTGTCTATATTACTGGTGATAAGTCGTCGAAAATAGTTGGTATTTCGCATTTATACAATATGAATGCGCTTGACTGGACTTCGGAATGGATAAAGAGTAATTATATTTTTAAAGGGATATCTAAGGACGTTCGCTGTTTGAAAAAAAAAAACTCAATTTTTTAACAAATCCAATATAACTTTAGGAAGTGATTAGCATTTATTCATTTTATTCAGCTTTACTCGGTGATAATTTTTATCAATGTTCTCTTGTAATTTTTCTTCAACACTGTTGGATGAGATTGCGCTCGCAAATGTAGTATTTCTCTCCGTTGCATTCTGCATCATTCCACTTTGAGTATTTAATGTGAACACAGAATTCCGATTCTGAATAACTATTGGGTTCATTCGGCAGCCAATGGGTGAACTGCATGAGCTCACCAGTTTCTATCCAGCGCCACTTCTTATCATCATCGTAACCGTATCCACCAATCCACGGTCCGAACACTCCAACATTCTCCGGTTCTGCTATCCAGGATCCTTTGATGAGATCCACGAGTAAATTTTGCTGTTTCTCCGACCGCACAGAAGCCAGACTCATTCCATACTTTTTGCACTCTCTTTGAGCTTGAAACCAATTGAGCTGTAATTACCATATATTGGTTACTATGTGATATTACACAAATCCACAAGAATCTAATTTCTTACCCTGTTTTTGCCGATGTAGACAATCTTGTCTGATTGATAGTATAGAATTCCATCGTTTGTCTGAAATTTCAATTCACACAAAACGATTGGTATGATAGAAAGAATTAGTAGTTCTTTCAGACCCATGATTGAGGATTCTCAGAGCTCTTTGAACAGCACTTTCCCCAAAAATATTCTGAATATAACTGACATTAAGTTGCTGAAAATAGACGGTATTTGTATTCAGCTGCTGATAAGCATTTTTCGGTCATATGAAAAAAATCACATTTTATTGGAAATCCCCTAATCAAAATAAAAACGTAAACTTTTGTTTTCATGATTATTGAATTCATTTTGCTCATGCATGTGATAAGCAACTTATCGAAAAAATAATTGCTTATAAACAGATAATTTATGTACAAAAGTAGAATTCAGTACGAAAAAACAGTGCAGAAGATTATTAAGACTACCTAGTCTGAGTAATGTATTGTGTTTAATAATTTAAGGAAAATTTAAGTTAAATAAGCAATGATTTCATATTAAAATTTATTATTACGGACTCGTGATGAAGCCTTTTTTTATGGGTTTAAGGAAAACTTGATTTTAAAAAGCACTTACAGACATTTAGAAAGTCATTCAATTTTTGTATTCTTCATATTGTATACAGTTTTTAAGAGGAAAATATTTCTCCTAATGTGAGGGCTATTTCAAATTTCGTTGACATATAAAGTATTTCTTAGAGTTAGTGCACAATGAATCGTTCCACATCCAAAGCTGCCTAAAATGAGCACAATGTTCAACACCATTGCGGTTGTTGGGCTCGCCTGGAGCCCAGTTAGTGTATTTGACAGGCTCTCCAGTCTCGACCCAAAGATATTGTCCGTCTGCTTCGTGATAATCATATGCACCAATCCACGGTCCTGTCTCCCCAGCACTGTTAGAATCTCCTATCCAGCGTCCTTTCATAAGATTGACAAGGAAGTTATTTTCCTCTTGCGATCTAATTGAAATCAGACTCATTTCATGCTTCCCACATTCTTTGACGGCTTGATACCAAGTCAGCTAAAATCGTAATTAGATTCAGTAATATTTTCTAAACAATATTTATTACACTACTTACCAATTCCTTGCCAACAAATATGACTTTATCTGATCCATAGTGTAGTAATCCATCGTTAGATTCAAATGTCATATCACACAAAACTATCGGTAGGATAGACAAAATTATAAGTCCCTTCAGGTTCATGATTGCGGATCTTTAAAACTCTTAACACGACAAGTATTTGGTTCCGTAAAATTTCGAATATTACTGATGCGCACTCGTTGAAAAAATAGGTATTTATACTATATTGATAAGCTTCTTGGGGAAGATTAGTCAATTTTTTTTATATAATTGTGTAGGGCGGAGTTTAGAAGTGGATTTGGTACATTTTAAGCTCTCTAATGGGAATTTTAATCGCAGTAAATGATTTATGTGAGTCAATAATTCGATAAATTGTTGTTTTTTTTTGATTATCTGAATAGATTCCCTGTATTTGCATTCGATAACGTAATGGCTATTTTCAGATATTTCTTTTATCTTGCCATATCTCGAGAAGTGCGACTTTATATAAGTATTAAGAGAGCTTTTTGCATTTCATTAAAATGTACATTATCAGGGAAATGTGAAAATCTTAGTTTGAAACTCTTATAGATATTTTGAAAGTCATGCTATTTTTATTCTTCATATTGTACCTATACAGCTCTAAGGGGAAATGTTTTTCTTAATTTGAAAGTTAGTTCAATTTTCGCTGACATATAAAGAACTGTTTATTAGTGCACGGATGATCATTCCACATCCAACGTTTCCAAAAATGAGCACAATGCTCAACACCATTATAGTTGTCGGGCTGGTCTGGAGCCCAGTTAGTGTATTTGACGGGCTCTCCAGTCTCTACCCAAAGATATTGTCCGTCTTCTTCGTGATAATCATATGCACCAATCCACGGTCCTGTCTCCCCAGCACTGTTAGAATCTCCTATCCAGCGTCCTTTCATAAGATTGACAAGGAAGTTATTTTCCTCTTGTGACCTAATTGTAATCAGACTCATTTGATGCTTCTTGCATTCTTTATCTGCTTGATACCAAGAAAGCTAAAAAATGGTTATTAGACTCAGCAGTACATATTTTGTAAATTATCTATTAGGCATCTTACCATTTCCTTGCCAACGAATACAATTTTATCTGATTGGTAGTGCAGTAATCCCTCGTAAGTCTCAAATGTCAGATCACACAAAACTATCGGAAGGATAGACAGAATTATAATAAGTTCTTTTAGGCCCATAATTGCGGGTTTTAAGATGTATTTACGCGGCAGGTAATCACTTAGGTAAAATTCGGAATATTACTGATGCGCAGTGGTTGAAAATAGACGATATTTATACTATACTGAAAAGCTTTCCAATGGGACTTATAATTCCATCAATAATAAAAATAATTATTTCCCTCTGCCAACAAGTGCTAAAGGATTATTGTATGTACATTTGGATTTTTGTCCCATCAAATGAATGAATAAAGTCAAAAATTTGATATAACGTACTTCCCGGGATTAATCTACTTTAGCAATTGATATCTTTGTTTGATAATTTTCAATTCAATGGTCAGTGGCTTTCCTTTATCTTGCGCACTATCTCGAGAAGTGTCAATATACACATAAATAGTAACAATGCTTATTGTATGCCATAATAATATGCATTATTAATTAAGATTGCTGTGCCAAATCTCAGTGGAGATTAATAGTGGATTGTTGTGGTCGTTTCAGGTGTCTGACAAGGGTGAATTGGGACTTCAAGCTGGCTCTGGAGGTGTTTGTGAGTCTCTATGAGGAGAACAAGATTCCCGCCAAGGGCTTCATTGCCAACCCCGCGAAGAATGCATCGCACTGAGTGGAGGGGATTAAAAGGGATTTTGAAGTGGAAGACTGTGTTTCCCCTGTTTCTCTCTTCGGGATACTTCTGAGGATACTTGTTGAATGGCCCGCCTTGCGCAGACTTTTCCCCTTCGAGAGAGCCGCGAGAGCGGAAGGGCGAGAAAGAGTGAGAGAGAAAGAGAGAGCAGTTAGGGTGTCTTGAGGGATGGCGAGTGATCTTTTGTAACCACGTTTGAATCCTTGACAGGAGTCTCAACAGTTTTATTTGCTCCGGCGGCAATTCATAAACACACTCGCACGAGAGAGCGAGAGCGAACGGGGAGAGAGCGCGCGAGAGAGCCGACAGTTTCCTTGTATATAGTGGATGGAAGAGCCATATGTGGCGGAGCACCACTCGACTCCGGCGAATCAACAATTTTATGCACCATTTGGAAGCCGTGTCAGTTGTCTCTGAGGCGCAGACTAGGCAAGTTGCTCCGCTCCCGACTCCTCTCGAGGCACTTTACGTAAAGTTCGCGTCCCGGAACGCGCTGGATTTCCTGGCAGAGTGAAAGTGTGTGAATTAGTGAGTGGATATAATTTAACAGTGAGGATATTTATATTGATGGTGGACGTTCAGAACACTTGAGCCCATCGTCAGCGAGTGTTTTTTAAAAAATAGCACCCAATTAATATCAATTGACGGTCACAATTCACCGTAAGACAGTACAGCGTCTTGGGTGGAAATTTCTATTTCTGGGGCATTGAAGCACAGTGAAAAATCACCCTCTTCGCTGAAGAACTCATCTCGAGCAAGAGGTGGACCGCAGTGTGTGTGTGAGTTGAATTAATTGCTGAGAAAAGGCAAGTGTGGGATTCGTACACCTTTTCCCGGGTAATTGGCAACACTTGAGGACAGCCAGAAGCTCTTTCGCAGGTGAGACAATTGCTGGGATCAATGCTAACGCTACATTTAATCGGCACTCCTGCCATTTGCGCTAATTGCCGGCAATTGTTGACTTTACATTGTGGGCTTGGGTGGGGGCGAATTGCCACTCTTTGACTCTGCTGCACAAGCATTTTTCCGCAATTGACCACCCCTGCTAATGATTTATGAGCGATAAATAATATAAATTGAATTGATTTTCTGATTCGGGCCACTATTTATTGGTAATAATACAACAATGTGGGTGTAACAGAAGGGGATGTTATTGTTATCGTTTACTCTATTGTTTGGAGAATCTCATTGTGCGTCTCTCAGCGCCCGTCCACCCATCGGGCGGGTGTGTGTGTATCAAAATTTTTCTCTCAATGCATCTCTCCCACCCCATGACGCACTTGTGCCACGCTCTGGGCGAGAGAAATTCGCCGGCGTGTGAGTGTGTGTATGAATTGATTCCGGAGCTTTTTCCCACACTTTCTCACACCTCGCAATTCCCGGAAGGAGAGCGTCCGCCCACGCATAGTCTCTCCATTCACAACTCCACCAATATTTGTCTTCCATTGTGACGAGGGGTGGAAATTTTTCAATTTATTTCCATCATCCATTTTTTCTGCCACTCAAGGCTCCATCGCAATCTGGTGGCATTCTCACAATTTAATTGGCTTCTAATGACTCAACATTACGCGGTCAGATTGCCGCCGGTGCGCCGTGAAAGTGTGGATAAAAAATCATAAAGGGAGAAACTACACACAATGGGTAGGAAGTCCCCCGAGACTCCGTTTTCTCGGTTATGAATCAGCGGCGTCGAGGGGCGCCAGCACAGTTGCGATTTGTGGAGGTTGTCAGTCGGGGGTGGCTTTTGCCAAATCGTATGTAATGTTTATTGAAATTCAGGTAAGGAATGTTTCATTCGGATTTTTTCTTTTAGAAAAATTCGAAACTTTGATATAGTTTCTTGTAAAGCAACTGATTCTAGTTGGATTGAAACTTTCTCGATTTATATTCAGAGGTATTGAATGTCTTGACCATTTATGAATAACACTTTTTTTTCTCCTCAAATGTCTGAATTTTAGTTTCATGCAATAAAATAACTTGGAATTTGATGAAAACTGCACAAGAAGATCAATTAAAGCTAAAAATTTGCCTTTTTGTTAGAATATTAACGTTTTTATACAATTATCATACTGAAGATAGAGAAATAATTTTGAAAATTACGCAGAAAAGAACTTTTAACTTACGTTTCATTTGATGGAACATATCTGTCTCATATACTACAAACTGGAGATCAAAACTCCAGCTTGGACTGTTCTTAGCCCCTGTGCCAAAGACAGGCCGACCATTGTGCATTATACGATCGAGGAAGAAGGAAGCAACAAAGACCCAATTCCGTTGTTTATGGCGCGAAACGGTGAGGAGCGAAAAAGCTTGCTTATGTAGGAGATTTTCTGGATTTTCATCGCGGGTGACGCATTATTATTTATATGTTGATAAATTAATTTCATACTTGACTTGCTTTTATGTGCCTCATGGGCCTGAGGAATGCGAGAGCGTTTTATTGGCGTCGCGCTGTGGACAATGATTGACAATCTTCCAATCTGGTCTCTCGGGCGTCTTGTGATTGCTGAAGAGTGACAGTGGAAAATCTCGTCAATAGTTATAATTACTTGATTGTTTGATTCGTGTGAAATTGAGCTAAATGGGCCACCCTTCGTGTGTGGGTTCTGACCTTTTTCCATCCCCCTAGGACACGACTGGGCAATGGGAGACGCAATAAAACGCAATGAAACACACCTCATCGGGCGGAATGGCCATCAAAAGAGTCTCTGACCCATCAAATCGCCATGTTGACTCACTCCCGGCTCTGTTTGGACAATGCGAAAGGGGTTTGAGGGTGGCTCTCATGTCGTGCTACATTCACAAGTCTCGAAAATTTCACGCAACTAATGAATTGCGAGGCCTTATCGATCGCTAGAGTTGCTGGTAACTTGGCTAGAGTTTGCTTTTTTTTGCCTGGGAAATAAAATGGGACTTTAATTTCTTTGCCTAATGGCTATAATGCTGTCCCTGTGGTTGCGGTTTGATACTGTGCGCTTCGAAGGTGTATGTGAGTAGAGCAGCATCGCTGTAACTTGTGTTTGGGGAATGTTTTATGTAGTTTCCACTGCAAAATGCCCAACCCTTATTCTTGAGAGGATACAAGGGGAATTCATCACTTCATCAAGTGGATGGAGGAGTGACGATTGCCATCCCTTTTCAAGGGGGGCGGCGTAACTTTCCTGAGAACTCTCTTGCTTTCTGCCACTTTCACCCTTCCCGCCCTGTCCACCACGGATAATAAGCGTTCGGGGGGCCAAACGAGCGGATCGTCAAACAATTTAATTTGAGTGCCAAACAAATCCGAACACTGATTCCGTCATTAGCTGTTTTTGCCCTCTTGAGCCTCTTGATGGATGTTGTGTGGATAATAGTGGGACGACGAAAGGGAGCAAAATGTACCTCTCAACACAAATCACACTCGGGCGCGGGGGTGGTCTGGGGACACAAGGGGATGGATGTGAGAAAGTGATCAAGAGAAAACCCTTGCTTAAATGGTCAATCAAATGTTGCTTTTTCTGACATATTTCCCATGGAATATGGACCCCAATCAGGAAGTTTAAGTTTACACAGTCCCTGATGATTTCTCCATCTCCTGCGGCCAAGAGGGTGGTGGCAGGGTTCATGATTGGGTGTTTGTGTGCCTCGGATATTGGCAAGGGAAGAGAAAAGAACAAAAAAAACAGGGGATGACCGCGTGAGAAAAATCGTCAATCAGGACGCAGCTGCTTGAAAATAATGACGCATCATTTATTAAAATGATGATGAAGACATCATTAATCAACAACTCATTTATCCCAAAAATTGGCCAGCCGTATGGTCCAGATCTCAAGCCCAACCCTCCCGATGGTGGCACAGCTATTTGTATTTTCTTTACAATCGCACAGTGAAAAGGGGATGTCCATGAAATCCTACTCATTAGACACTAAACTCATTTTACGAACCACCCAGTGATAAGTTAATTAGCACCTCTTGCTGGAAAAAAGAGCCCCAAAAATCATGGCTCTCGATGCTTTTCCTCGGCGAAAATGTCTCTTTTTCCACCTGATTTACACTCACCCATTCTCTTCTCTTGCGTGTGGGGAAAATATGCCTCTGCAGTCTCTAAATGTAAAGTTTGGAGTAATAAAAAAGGTGAGATCCGAGGCTAAAGGACAAAGAGGGAAAATCACAGAGGCATGGAGCGAGAGGGAATCTTTTTAGAAAAGGGATTTGAAATTTCTTCCCCATCGGGCACGGTAATCCTGTGTCTTTGCCGTTACCACGAGAAAATTGGTATTTTTCTCACACAAACCCCATTTTCATTTTTAATATGCTCAAACTCCGACTGGCTACAGGGATGATGGAGGAAGATGTGAATGGAGGTAGAAGAAATGGTAAAAATTGTCATGTGTATTCCCGGGTCTTCATTCCGCTTTTACCATCTCCTTTCGCCCCAGTGATCAGCGCTGAAGGATAAACAGGGATGTGATAAATGTCACCCGGAGTGAATGTCTCAATGTATGGTTTGTCGAACCACCCGTTGTTATAGCTGTGACGGAATGCGTTGTGCGCACAATAAGGGAGAAACTGCGTGAGGTGTTTTGGTGCAGAATGTATTGATATTAATTCTAATTTTTGCATTACTCTCTTAGCAAACCAATTAGTTTTTGACACAACTTTATGCTGTTCCTCTCTAAATCCCCTCATCGCTGTGAAAAGTCACCTTTGCGCTGTTCTTTGCAGAAATTTCGAGGGATTAATTATTTTTGCACATTAAATTCCTGGAAAGATGTTTCCTTGCAAATTGGAATCGTTTAAATGCTGACTTTTACATTTTATTTCCCACCATAGCAGATTATTTTCTATTAGTTGCCACGATGGGAATTTTCCTCACACTTCCCCGGCCGAAGATACTTCACCGTTTCCCCCCCCCCCCCGCAAAACAGGTCAAATGGAGAAGGAATGAAGAAAACTTTTTCCCTCATGCTCGATTTTCACGTCATCCTCCTTGTCTCCTGGCCGGAATTCCACATCGACTCTGTGCGTCTCAATGGGAATTGGGGCAGGTGGAATGGGAGGTGGCACAGATGGAAAACTTTGCTTTTAATAACCAAAATACGAGGCGAAAAGTCTATCCTCGTCGGGGAGTTGAATTGAAGGGAGAAAAGTGTCCTTTTTGACCGGTGGACCCGCTCGTTCGGGTGGATGATGATGATGATGACGCTGGTGGGAAAAAAGGGACAAAATGGACAAGACAAGAAAACTACATGAAGCTCCTTATTGATGTGGGAATTCGAAGCTTTGACCCTTTTTCCCTTGTGCCGGAACCGCACTCCTTTTCTTCGCCCTCACAAGGACGAGGAGACCCAAAGAAAAGTGTTTGTTATACAATTTGACACTTCATAAGAGTGAAATTTTATTTAAAGTTGAAAGCTCATTGAACAGCTTTGTCCCTTAAATAAAATCCCCTCGAGGATGAAAATATTGTGCTGGCGCGCTTTTGAAATAGTGATTCTCAAGCGTTTTCCACTTGTTTTCCATTTTAGTCCATCCACACTTTATCCTCTTTGGTTTTTTCGGATCATGAGGGATAGTTTGCTTCCTCTCATCATTCCCAAGCACGCTATTCGGCTCCGCGTTGTCACTGGTGACTAATACTTTTGTCCATCAGATTTTCCTCGAAGGATCTCTTAATAGAAAGGCTCTTTGGAAAAATGTTCATGCTTTAAGTAGAGCTGGAGGATATTATTATATTGAATTGAATGTGTCTTTAGTCTTCTTTCATTTGGAAACCTTTCTTCTTTGCCACGGAATTTACGCTCACACATTGGCATTGTAATAAGAGGTTTATTACTCTTGAAATCCTTAAATTAACGTGAATTTCTGCTTTATTTCACGATGTTTTTTACGCGTAATTC